TTTTTTCTTTTTTTATTCTTAAGGTGCCCGCTTTCAAAAAAAAAAAAAAAAAAAAAAAAAAAAAAAAATGCATGGGCTAATACATATTAAAGTTATATATTCTGCATAGCAAAAATGCATGCATAAGTACCTGAACATTATTTCTTTTTTTTTTTTTTTTTTATAAGAAAATGATTAATTATATATAGATCCAAACATCAATATTTTCCGAATATTTTTTTTCTTTTTTTTTTTTCTTTTCCTCTTGTTATTTATGTAGACGAGTATTTTTCAAATGCAATGGAGAAGGTTATAGAGGAGAGGGGAGAGGAGGTAAAAAAACTACAAACATTTTTACATAATAAAAATACGCTCCATTTACAAAAGGATATAATTTTAATTTTACATTTGCAAGTGGGAAACATGCAATAAATTCCTTGAGGTCATTTGAAGAAACTAAAATGGAGAGAAAATAAAATAATAATAAAAAAAAAATACTACGAATTTGTGAGTGTGCCTATGCAGAACTCTCCAGCTGTTAAATCGCAATCTGACATCATATAAATATTAAATAATTGAAAATTGGGGCCTACTCAAGTGCTGTAAAAAAAAAAAAAAAAAAACAGAAACGAGAACAGAAAGGTTTTCCTCAATCTGATGTACATGTGACAGGAAAATTTCTGTACAACATAGTTTTTTTTTTTTTTTTTTTTTTTCTTAGCTCACGAGAAAAATGTAATAATCTACTGCTGTGTCTTTTGGTGATCGGTCTGGGAAATCACACATATGTACAAATGTACATATAAATATATATATATATTTATATATATGTATATATATTCAGGGGCCCATCCATTAGAACGTAAGAATGAGTAGAAATGCGTGTCGTTGCTTTATTTTGTTTTAAGTTCCCTCTTCACTTGGACATGGTTTTACGTCCTAGTGTATTCAGGCTAATGACATAACCTTTATGCAGCTGAAGAGGAAAAAAAAAAAAAAAAAAAAAAAAAAATATATATATATATATATATATATATATATATGTATATGTATGTATATGTATATACACGCCTCTCCAAACTGTGATATAACAAAAATAAAGAGAATGGAAAATAAAATTGCCAACATAGAGATGCGCTCACTGCACTCGAAAAACACACGCTACACTCTTTAACGAATACAGAAAATGTGTTCAAGTATGGGGGTAGAAATATTATAAGATTTTTCAGTATTCATGGTTTTTTCACACTAATCGAGAACCACCCATATGGGTATTTTTTTTTTTTTTTTTTTATTTCCTTTTCTTTTGTTTCAATTCGTTTAAGGAATGTTTATCCTTTAACTACCAAAATGTTTTCAATTTTTTTGGAAAGCATATTAAAATGTGCTAAAAATTTCCCAAATGAATAAGAAAAAACTTTATTATTTTTTTTTCATTTTTTTTATTTTGTACCAACAAATATCCTCCTCAGTTCTTCACAGAATTCTTAAAAATGTCCTTAACACTGGATCCCTTTTTTTTTTTTGAAAAAGTTCACAAACTGTGTAATCAATTTTAAAAAAAAAAGAGAAGAGGGGGTAAAGGGAGTAGAGATCACACCAAAAGGTGGAGAAATAACAAAACGGGATTTTTGATCTTGGTGTTTGAAGGGATATTAAAAATATTGGAATTTGAAAAGTTTTGGAATACTCACCACATGTATGTTGTGGATGCTTCTTCATTCTCTGTCGAGGTGAAACTGGCAGATCAGTAAGCACATAAAATTAGTGTCCAAATTTGGAAGCTACATTTGCACATGAATCATGCATCCTAAATTTCCAGAGATCGAGAGAGATGATGTGATAAACGAATTCATTGAGTGTTTCGATATTCTGCTAAGGAAGACAGACATAAAAAATGTGCAGATCTCGAGGGGAAGAAGTAGGCAAAATGTATCTATAAATTTTATAAAAGATGACCAGAAATGCAAAAACAGTGTTAATGGATATGTGAAAAGAGTTGAAATAAAAAAACATGGAATCAGCTCTGGTGGTTGTTACTGCTTAATAAGACGAAAAGCAACGAAGCTGAGGAAATTTCTTACACACAAAGACTACAGAAGGGATAGGAGAACAAATAGAAATATGAATGAGATCCACAGTGATATAAAACATGGTTTTCCCATTAGTTGTTGCTACACAAGGGAGAATAATATAAAAAAGAAATCAGTAGATGTTGAGAATGAAAGAAATAACAGAAGTTTACGACATTATAAAAAGTTCAATGAATCAGGAGAGAACAAATGTAAATGTTTTAAAGGAGCTCAAATTAACGATTTAAATCAATGGCATATGAACAATTGCAATGAAGAAATAAAAAATTGCCAAAATGAGCAATTCCCAGTAACAAGATCTAACAAAATTGTAGATTCATTAATAAATAATATCCAGAATTATGCAAATTATGAATATGTGGTATGCAGAAAAAAATGTTACGATTGTTTCATGTCTTTAAATAAAAAATGCAAATCGAAGAATTTTGACAAATATGTGTCTATAAATCAGTATTTTAAAAGAAACACTTCTAACAATAACGAGAATGTAAAAAAATCGTTTATATTTAACTACGGATTTTATGCGAAAAAAGGAAAATTTCATAATAATGAAGACACAAGTTCACATGCCTCATTTAGTTCTTACAAAATAAGAAAGGAAATAGAAAAAATTATTAATCATATAAGGAGGAATAACATAAAATATAATCTATTTAATGAAATATTGAAAAAGTTTCATATAGATTCTCACATAATTCAGAGTAAAAAAAACCGATGCAATAGTAATAGCTCTCCTCATGAAACTAAGATCAATAGGTGTAAGAAAAAATACACACACTGTTCTACACCTTCACATGTACGTCTCTTTCGGGTTTATTTAAAATCTATTCTTCCAGTGTATCAACAGGAGAAAACCCCTTCTAACGGTACTCAGCAGTGTGACATGATATGTAGCTATTTTTATGAAGACAAGGACAGACACAAAAAAAGAGGAAGAAACGCAAATGTGCATAAGAAAGAAAACATGCAGAGGAATAAAAATATGAACAGAGTTAAGAGCAAGCATCGAGATAACAATATGCAAATGAACAGAGTTAAGAGCAAGTATCGAGATGACAATATGCAAATAAACAGAGTTAAGAGCAAGCATCGAGATAACAATATGCATATGAACAGAGGTGAAAAGGAGGACGAGCACAAAATGCAGCAGGAGGAAGTTACAAATTACGGAGAGGAAATGTGTCAAATGTTAGGAGAGGAAAGGGAGGAAAATCTTTATTACACGCACAATCAAAATTTGCATATATTGCAAGATTACAAATTCGTTTGTAAAGTTTGCAAAAAAAGTGAACACGTAAAGATTGAAGAGAAACAGATGTTTCAATTGGCCTATCTTCGTTACCTATACAACGTTCATAAATATATCCCATGTAATAAAAAAAGAAGAAAAAAAAAAAAGAATGGACGACCTTATTGTGAGATAAACAATCATACTTCAAACTCTAGTCATTCAGATGAATTTAGCTATATGAATTTTTTTCACGGATACAAAAATAATCATTCAAAAGAAGAAAGTGACTTGGTAACTAATACAAGTGCTGCTAGGATGGAAAAAGTCACTGAAAGTACTAGTTTATTCAATTTCTCTTCTTCCAATTTGACGAATAATATTAACAGTTCAGGAGTAAAATCACATGACTTAATTTTTAGAGAAAAAATGGACAACAAAAATTATACCTTCATAAATGAAAATACAAGAAATTACTATCATTATAGACTAACTGATTGGCTAATTCAATGCAAAACGTGCAGATATTTGCATAAATATGATAACCTTTCCAATGATTACTTACTAAATTTTTGTAAGACGAATTATTTTTTCCATCCTCTATTTTTTCTTAACATGTCAGAAAAAAAAATTCTTAGTTATTTATCAGCTAGCCAAGAAAGGGAAAAAAATTATTTAAGGGAAAATATAAAAAACAAGGTTGAAAAAAGGGATGATATAAAAAATGTAGGTAATGATAACGAACGTGTGAAATACCACTTTCGATCATATTCCGATATGAGCACTTATCGATATGGGGAGATGTTACAAATGTGGGAAAATGTAATGAAAAAGTATGATACAAAAGGAGATACTATTTATAGACCCTTGATGAAGATGAAAGAAAAAAGATGCTCTAGAAAGAAGAAAAAATGGCTAGATGATTTGAGAAGGCAAAATTTTGAAGAATATTACATAAGGATTAGAGGCATAAGAGAAATGCAGCAAAATGGTTACCCGCTTGGCGAATCGAATGAAGATGGACCCTCCCTGAACTGTATGGGAAACGAATTAGACATGCATTTCTTTAGCATATGCGATGGTCATGGTGGTTCGCATGCATCTGAATTCCTAATTCAAAATGTTCATAAAGTGTTTCACTCTCTTTTAATTCATACTTTTTTTAATATCCACCTCTCTTTGAAAATGTTACATCCCCTGTTAGATTTATTATATTACAGAGAGTGCATACGTCAGAATATACGCACCTATTCTGGATCTTGCATTATTAACATACTTTTGAGAGGAAATTATATTTACGTAAATAACACGGGAGATAGCAAATGTGCCTTAGTTACATTTCACCTGGACAGGTTCGAATATATTCAGGATACCTCAGGAGGGGGAGAGGCCACGTGTGGCAGTGAAAAAGATAGAAGGGAAAATAACCGACTCTCAAAAAAAGGGATCTCAAAAAAAGGACTCTCAAAAAAAGGGCTCTCAAAAAAAGGGATCTCAAAAAAAGGACTCTCAAAAAAAGGGCTCTCAAAAGACCACCCCTCAGAGAAACAAATGGAATGCAAAGAGACCAAAAAGGAAATCAGCCGCACGGACAGGGATAGCAACTCTGAGAAAGACAATTCCGACAGCAGCAACAACTGTGATCACTCGTCCTACGTCATCAATCTGAATTCAATTTCCTACAATGAATTAAACTGCGAACACAACTGCAATAATTATATGGAGTACCTGCGTATGTATAAGTTATATTTTTGTGAAAATTTGAGGACTCAGCAAATGAGCATAGGTGAAAGGAAGCACTATTGTGAAAAAATTAACGAGAAAGAAAACAGAGTGGTGAGTCCTATCTCAGATGATACATTTGGAGACAATGACATGGCGAAGGAGGGGGAAAAAAAAAAAAAAAAAAAAAAAAAAGAAAAAGGAAAAGTGCAACTAGATAACCATTTGAACGGACAAATTATAAAGCTAAATAATTTTTTACTAAATGAAAAGGGAAAGCAAATAAATATAGGGAACCTTTCTTATGAATTAATAAAATTTAATAGATTAGATGGTTGCTTACATCCATCCAGAGTTATTGGAGACTATGATTTAAAAAGAAAATACAATAAGGGAACTCTCATTTTGTCAAATGATTCTAATGTGTATAAATATGACATGAACAATATAAACTTTTTTAATAGCATTCATTATATTTATTCATATAAATTTTGCAATATGTGTAAGAGGAATTATCTCCTAAGTAGCTATGGCAAAATTGCTCCTATCAGCCAGATAGTTCTTTTGGACACTCCGGAAGGAAAATTTCAAAGAATGTGTAATAAATCGGAAAGGGAAAAATTGGGCTCTCTATGTTTGTCTAAACTTTGTTGTAGTCCTATTTTGAATGACGACCAGGCACATAATAAAGTAAGGGGAAAAAAATATACAGAATTGTTTTTTAAAATTTATAGGGACGATTCATCGAACAGTGATTTAATTAATAATTCTACAGAGAAAAGAGAGAAATTCCCTGGAAACATGATGAATGAACGATTTCCACCCTATATTAAAATAAAAAATGTTTCTTTAAACAATAATTATTTATGTGGGAAAAATAGAAAAAATTTCTTCCATTTGCTAATCATTGCCTCAGACGGGGTTTTCGAATATATTAATCCACAAGTCATCTTAAACATTTTAAAAAAAAATAAATCCGTACACGCGAAAATACAAAAGATATATAAAATTTATAACTCATACAACGTTTACGATTTGTGGACAAGCATACCAGGGAAGAAGACTCAAAAGGATATAAATAAAATGATGCATAAATACATGTTCACGAAAGAAGAATGCACAAAATTAGCAAGGGACATTGTTAAGAATTCAATAATGTGTGGAAATATTGACGACAGTACATGTTTTTGTGTGTTCATATTTCCCACTTTTTTTTTTTTTTGCCTAACGTGATATAATTAGATACAAGTTTTTTTTCCCTTGTGAAGTTATTTATTTGGTAAAATTGTTGCCTGACCTTGTTCATATTTTTATTTTATTTTACTGTTATTATACTGTTATTATACTTTTATTATATTTTTATTATATTTTTATTTTGTTTTATTTTATTTTTTTGTGTGACCCCTCCGAACGGAAAACCTTCTAATACGAGGAATGTCTTTACAAATTGTGAATATATATCTGGACATATACTGTACATAAAAGCGAACGGATGAGCATTCCAGTAGAGGACGTTTTACGAGTCTCCTTGTTCTGTTCTGTTTTTTTTTTTTTTTTTTGTTTTTCCGTATTCCACGGCTAGCCATTTTGTAGTATTTTCCGCAATAACGCTTTTGCTTGAAACAAAATGTATGAACAGGTGAAAAAAAAAAAAAAAAAAAAAAAAAAAATTAAATAATGGAATAAAATAAAAAAAAAAAAAGTCTTCTGAAATGTTTGCCACTTTAAGCAATTAAATAGTAGTGTATGAAATGTGTAGATCTCAGCTCAATTCACTTAATCCCTTTTCTTGTAACTATGTTTAAATTGTTTTTCCACAACAGTCAATTTAATTTTTTTGAATAATGTACATCAAATAGGTTAAAATAGAGAATTAGGCACACAAAAAAAAAAGAAAACTGTGTAATTTTCTGTAATCCTTGCCTTTTCCCAAATTTTTCTTCATTCCCTTCTGCACAGCTTAATTTTGACATGAAATTTAAGAAGTTTTTTTCCTTTTAATTAAATTTGTATAACCCGGTCTCATGGAAAGAAATAATTAGTATTATTATGTTCACGTCAAAAAGTTAATGAAACGTTTATAAATATTTGCATTGCTTCCCTGCTCCAACCTCTCCTAAATTTTTTCACTTTTACATTATTGCAATGCAGGAGAAGTAGAAGAAGCGGAAGAAGAAGAAAAAAAAAAAAAAACATCTCCCATTTGCGCAAGGAGCGCATTTTCATTTATGCTAACTCTTGTTCGTTGCTAGGTTTTTACACAACCGAGTTATGTTAAAATATGTTTGTGACAAATTTTCACCCTTTTCCCTCTAATTAAAAGGAAGCACACTACGTGCCCCCCCCCCCCCGGCCCTAAGTAGGAAAATTAAACTTTAAATTGCGCTCGTGATATTGTATCAAACATTTATAAGTGTATATTTTTGTACATAATTTTGATGCTTCTCTGTTTTATGGCTTTTTTTTTTTTTTTTCTCTCTCCCTCTCTCTCTCATGCTCACTTTCACCCTCTTTATGAGACCTTATTAAGACGAAGACATCCTGCACATGTGTATATGTGTGCATGTGGGTCTGGGGTGATGTTTTCACATTACAACGGGGTATGAACCATTCTTGTGATATTTCTTCCGTAAGACCATACCTGGATGAAAAGGTTCGTTTATAGAGAAGGAAAACGAAACCCATTGCCAATTACCTTTCAATCCCGTTGAAACAAAATGAGGAGAAAATCATTAACTAACAGCGAGTCTAGCGATTATGATGAATATATGGAATCGAGTGACCTGGATCCGTTTGACTCAAGTGATGAGAGACACGATGAAAGAATCAGCGAAGGAAACATCAAGAAAATAAATGAGTACATTGAAAAGCTAGACATATTGAACAACAAACTGGATTTAAAAATAAAGCTAAATCAGCAGAATGAAAAAGAAAATCTTGTAAAGAACATTGATAATATAAATATATACATAAAGAAACATTTATCCTTTAAGAACAGACTGAATGGAATTAATAATTCCCTCAAGGAAAAGTGTAACTATGATGCGTTTTCAAAAATAGAAAAGGTTTATAAAACCATATCCAATGTAAATTCGTCTTATGAGTATATCACTTTAAAAATTCAGGTACAAGATTATGTGAAGCGAGTTGAAACTTGCATTAGAACAAATCACATGGACGCTATTTATCCCTTAAGCCAGTTTTTGAAGTTAAGAAGATACATATACAAATATGGTAGAAGTGGATCAAGTGAGAGGGAAGGGTCAAACAGCTATATCCACCTGAACAATCCTAACCGTGCAAAGGGAGCGAGTACTCTTATGCACAGCGAAGACACAGTTATTGAAAACGACGTGATTGACTATGTCAAGTATAAGGAAAAACAATTTTCTGAAAATCAACCTGAACAACAGAACCATGCTCATGCAGAGGCATACAAGCAGATATATCAAACTGAGAAAGGAAGTATAAATCTTCTGAACTCTTATTACGACCATGTTAGGGGTCTTCTCGAGGAAGAAATTTGCGAGTGCATAAAATCTAAGGACATGAATACCATAAAATTAAAGATAAACCTTTACATGAGCATTTTCCATAATCGAGGGGAAGAAGACTCATTTGTGGTTCAGAAAGGCAGAAGTGTGGATATACGAAAGTCCAATAAGGTTTGTAGTGGTGTTGCTGGTAACAATGGTGAGGATCGTGATATGGGCTCTGGTGAGGATCGTGATAAGGGATCTGGTGAGGACCGTGATATTGGCTCTGGTGAGGACCGTGATGGGGGCCCTGATGAGGACCGTGATGAGGGCCCAGATGAGGACCTTAATGATGGACAGGTGAGGAAAGGAAACCCTATAACGGAGGTGCAGGGCCATGAATGTCCAAAAACTTCGGCTGAAGAGAAGTTGCTTCATTTTGATGAATACTTATTCATATGCCACGTCGTGATGTCGTTGGTAGAACTGGAAGTGAATAAACAACTAGACTTGCTAAGGAGACAAGTAGTAAGCAAAGAAGACAATGTATATATCGAATGCATAAAAGGGACATATGCATGTCTGTATAGATATAACAAATTTTTTGAAAGTTTAGTTGAAGATCATATAGTATATATTATTTACAACAGAAAAGTAGAATTAATTTTTAACAATGTGATAAAAGCAATATACACAAGTTTTTTCAATGAGATTGAATTATTACATATTGATAGTTATGATGAATTAAAAAATTTTGATAAAAATGTTGAAACCTTGTCATTATTATGCTATAATTTTCAGAATATAAAAAAGTTTATCAACAATTTAGCAGAGTTGAAATTTCAAAACATAATTCGTACCTTTGATTTTGTCAATTTTATAAATAAAGATATGTTTTCTGAACAGTCAGGCTTATATAAAAATTTACCCTATATAAATTTTATTCAAAATTGTATATGCGCTTATATTGATAATGAAATAATTTTTATAAAACATTGTGTAGACAAAGCTTTTGTTTTGAGTGATGATATTATGTTATCCTTAATTGATGATGAAAAAAATAATAAGAATACAGATTTTGAAAAGTTTCATGATAATATTATTAATTTTGAAAACATAATGATGAATAATAGTAACGAATACACGTCTACCTTTCTGGATGATGCTTTTTTTATTTTTCAAAAATCTGTTTGTAGGAGTATAAATATGAATGATATTAACACTATTTGTGTTTTGGTTAATCACATAATGTTATTTTTCTCCACCACCTTGAAATCATATCTGTGTGACAATTTGAAAATAAGCAAAAATATATACGCCTCGTTCATTCATGATAGTATACATATGAAGCAATTTTCATTCACATCCCTGATTAAAAGTATTGATGATACAAACTACATTGATGAAGGTCAGGGAGGGAACAGAACTGTAACCCTAGCACAGAATTTAACTAGCTCGTTAAGTTATGTGCATAATGAGAATTACAATTCTCAGGGAAGAACAAACCATATAGATGGACCCAGTAATGAACGCATCTACAATGGAACGAATTGGAACGGATTCCATCGTAATGATTCCATGAAGAATGATTTAAGTCAGATTAATGAGGGAAAGAGTAAGGAAAAAAGTATATATGAATATTTGACAGTGGAGCATTACGAAAGTATATTCAATCCCTTGTCAGAAAAAAAAGGCAATTTAGAAAATCAAGCGATTAATTCAAAATTTAGTTATCCACATTGTGTAAACAATATAGATTCGTGCTATCAGTATATTCAAAATTTTAAAATTTTTATTAATGATTATTTTAAAGAAAAATTTTTAAAAAATAAAAAAAAAAAAAAAAAAAAAAAAGATACACAAAATTATATACTAATGTTTAATAATTCTTTCGCAAATTATGATAATTTGTTAAAAGATTTTGAAAAGTTAAATGTAGAAAATTGTAAAAATTTATTAAACATTTTAAAGGTTCATTTTATTAGCCAATTGGTTGTAATTGAGACTGTCAACTTTGATATATCAAATGAAGAGTATGCATACTACCAGTTGAACGATCCTTACATTAACAATTTAATCAATCGGATGAAGTTAATAGTTTATCACATTTCCTTATATTTTAATCAAAATATTTTTCACACAGCTGTCAACCTTTTGGCTGAGAAGGTAGGAAATATATTCATATATATATTAAGCAAGCTGAACCTTAGTGTTTGACGAAGCTCTAAGAACGGAAGTCATCCCTCTACCTTGCACTCCTCCTCATTCCCTGCATCCACCGTGCAGTGATGTAGCGTCCAAGTGGTCGCACATCATCTGCCACACATAATATATGCATGTATATATGTATGTATATATGCATGTATATATGTATACACACACATGGTCGTGTGTCTAATTTGATCAATCGAAACCACCGTAACGCCACCTCTACCCAACCTATACAGATTTGCAAATACATTGAACGGATAGTGCACACTAAAAAATTCAGCCTTTACGGGTGTGTGCAAATAGATAACGACATAAGAAGCCTGATGCTATTTTTTACATCCCTCACGAATATCAACGTAAAGAAGGAATTTTCTAAACTACTTGAAATATGCGAACTGTTAAATATAAGTGATTTGCAAGACTTCAAAGATTTCTATGATGAGAATAAAAACAACTTGAGCACAAACGAAATTGAAAATATCATTTCACTTCGCAATGACATTTCAAAGGAGTTGCTAGAATCTATTAAGTTGTGCATGCATTCGAATCCACGTTACTCTGCACATGAACTATGAATCCACTACACACACACACACACCCCTCTCTTCCTCTAACTCCATATGTTGAAAGAGAAAAATGAGCTGTGTCAATATGAGAGACATTCAATTCAAGGTATATATATATATATATATATATATATATATATATATATATATATATATATATACATAAAGAATTTTTTATAATAATTCATCACCCCAGGAAGTTACACCCTGCTTAAGGAAATATTTCTATTCCTCAGCTTTAATCTCCTCCCCCTCGTGTGCATTTCTTGGAGAAACCACATTTCAAATATGTACACGTCACAGATACGAAAAAATAAATAATAGCAGTAACAAGAATAGCAGTAATAAGAATAGTAATAATAATAATAAAATAACAAATACATATAACGTCACATCGTGTCACACCGAAAAAGTAAAGGAGGTGCAACCGCTGGGAAGACATATACTATTGAGGACAGAAACGAGAAAATGCCTACCATGGGCATCTGCTTTTATGTTTTTTTCTGTATCCATAATTTTTTCTGTGAATTATCTCCATTTTTATTGGCATTCCTTCAATTTCTGACCCTGTTGTGAGAGGAAAGGAGAAAAAAATACGAAAAAAAGTAAAAATCATACTTACGAAAAATTCAACAACTACCAAAAGGCAATAATTAAAAAAACTGCAAAAATGTATGAACAGTCAGAATTTTTCCAGCATAAGTTTTTTTTTTTTTTTTTTTTTTTCCGCAAATTGATCATTTTCTACTAACCTTCATATTTGTCTATGGCCTTCTGTGCATCGTTCATATTTTCGAAAACGCAGACACCTGTTCCCTATCACATGGAGGAAAGTGCAAAGTAGAGAGAGTGTTTATATCTATGTAAATTATTGCAAAGTCTGGACATACGTATATATCAGGATTGGACAAGGAAATGATCCCTTTCATTTAACCCTTTTTTCCTCTTTAATCATTATGCAAAAAAGATCGAAAACAGGTAAAAAAAAAAAAGGAAAGCTTACATCTGATCTATCCGTGTGGTCGTAATTTATCCATGCATTTACAACGTTGCACACGTTGCTGAAAAGTTCCTGAACAGCAATATGAACAGCAATATGAGCAGCAGTATGAATAGCAATATGAACAGCAGTATGAATAGCAATATGAACAGCAGCATGAATAGCAATATGAACAGCAGTATGAATAGCAATATGAACAGCAGTATGAATAGCAATATGAATAGCAGTAATTTATTTATTCACACGATTAATCAGTTGGGGAAAGGGCAGAAACGTACACATGAGCCTTAATGACATGCATAAATATATACATCAATACATGCACATGCATATGAACATTCACGAGCTAATGAAGCGACAAGAATTACTACCATTAGGTCATTCTTAGAGATAGTGTAGTCCAGGTTTGAAATTTTCACGTGCACTTGTTGATTCCTTTCTTCATAGTTCTTGCAAAAGGGAGAAAACAAAAATAAAAAAAAAAAAATAAAAATAACATAGTATAACACAAAATGGGATAATTGTGTGAGTTTTGCTGAACACTTTTTTTTTTTTTTTTTTTTTTTTTTTATTCCTTTTTTTTTTTTTTTTTTTTTTTTTTTTATTTTGTTTTTTTTTTTTTTTTTTTTTTTTTTTTTATTATTTTTCTTTTTTTTTTTTTTTTTTTTTTTTTTTTTTTTTTTTAATCTTTTTTATGAACATTAATAAACTGTTTTAACTCTTTTCGTACTTTAAAAAAAAGGGGAAAAAAAAAAAAAAAAAAAAAAAAAAAAAATAACATAGTATAACAAAAAATGGGATAATTGTGTGAGTTTTGCTGAACTTTTTTTTTTTTTTTTTTTTTTTTTTTACTAGCCATTTTTATTTATATATATTATTACATGATAGGTGTTTCTTCTGCCATATTTGTTTATTCTGTTATAGTGAGTATTTGTTTTATATTTATCGTTCTACATATTCAAGGGGTAGGGGAGAAAAAAAAGGTTAGATGGGATGGGTTGATGAGTGGGTGGAATGTCCAACGTATAGTGTTCACAATGATTTTTGTCAATGTCTTAGTGTATATGATCAGGCTCATTGAGACATTGGGATATCTTTTTACATGTCCCTATGGCTTATGGTGTGGAACATATTATGCAAAATCTTTGTTTGACATACGTATAGACTAATTATTTCTTCTCATTCTCCTCTCATAATTCCTTACGTGAGTATTGTTATAGTTGTCATACGATCTATGGTAATGATGTTTTCTCTGGTGATGTCCGTCTATGGAAAAAAAAAAAAAAAAAAAAAAAAAAAAAGGGAAATACGGAGGAACATGAATAAGGAGAAATATGAATAAGAAAGAAATAAACAGAAGTTCACTTATTGCATGAAAGAGTTCCTTCCGCTTTGCTTGTTTCTTCCTTCTCAGTACTCTTTCTATCTCTATCTATATATCAATCTATTTATATTTAATTATTTTTCCAATAATCACCATTGTTGTATCTTCTGAATTCCCTCATGTTGGTAATTCACATTGATACTTTTGTTTGTACAAAAAAAAAAAAAAAAAAAAAAAAAAAAAAAAAAAAAAAAAAAAAAAAAAATTTTTTTTTAAAAAAAAAAAAAAAAAAAAAAAAAAAAAAAAAAAAAAAAAGGATATTAATGTCCCTATTAAATTATGAACATTCATATAAAAATAATGAAGTTGTTTAACAGGGATAAATTTTGATTTTGTTTAATTACATCATCAAATTTGAAGAAAAAGGGAAAATTTACAATAATTTCTGTAAATTTAATTTAAAATCATGAAAAGAAGAGGCAGAAAAAAAAAAAAAAAAAAAAAAAAAAAAAGTTTGGAGAATATACATTTCGATTGAATAAAGAATAATGTGTACTTCTTCTCAAGTGTACATATAAAATATGCAAAAGGAAAAGGAAAAAAAAAAAAAATAAATAAAATAAAACCTATGGGGATGCAGCATTTTGGATGACTTTGCCCGAGAGGGTGTCCACAAGCTTAAGTATGTATTATGTATATATACAAACGTATGCACGTGGTATATATATATATATCACGTACGGTGTATATACGAACATGTAAATGTATTTATATTATTCCTCCCTCACTACATCTCAGGAACCCTGTATAAAATACTTACCTTATATACATATGTAGTTGCTTCACATGTGCATGTGCACGAAGAACACAGATGTCGGTTAATAATTATGCAGATCCAACTACGCATATTCTGCTAAAGAACAAAGAGGGGAAAAAAAAAAAAAATAAAAATAAAAAAAAAAAAAAAAAAATGAATTGATCTTGGGACTAGATATATATACATTTTACATATATTTGAGTGACGAATAATTTTTTTGAAGAGAATCTTTTCTAACAAGTAAATGAACAAGTGAGGGAAATGCAAAGAATTGTGTGCCTACGAATGAATGTCAAAAAGAAATAAAACCAAATTGGGAAAACCCAAATAAGGCAAATCTGAACAAAATAGTCGCTATTACGTACTTATCCAAAAATTTTGAATGTATATAATAAATTGTATAACTTTCTGAGCACCTATTTAGGACTTGTTGTTATGCTAATTTGATCTCACAATCGTTGAACATTTTGCAAAAAAAATAAAAAAGGAGAAACAGAAATAAATTGGTGGGGAAGCCAAATAAACTGACGATTTAATTCCCTGCGTTGTGCCCGAAATAAATATGAAGAGAAAAAAAGTTGTCAAATTGAAGGAGGAATATATACCTAAAGGAAATTATTGTAAAATTACTTATTAAAAAATGAGATGGCATATTACTGAGGGTGACGATGAGAGACAGACAAGAAAGAGAAATTGGGAGAGAGAGAGAGAGAGAGAGAGAGAGAAGGGGAAGAGGGAAAATACTTTTGTTGATTCCTTGCATACAATTCCTTTCTATAATCACTATTTTCTGACAGATATGTACAAATGTGTTCTATCACCAAAGTGTGATGTTTTTTTCCCCCCCCTCCCAATCGTATCTTCATTGTATAACTTATACAAGAATGTAGATAAATAAAACTTATATATATATTATATACATGTACCTTTTTTTTTTTTTTTTTTTTTTTTTTTTTTTCAATACAAATTGTATTTTTCTTATCATAGTTAGTAAGGATGCATTGCTAACAAACATTTTTATGCAAAATGGTGATAAGGGGGTATCAGAAATTGAGTCCAATAATTCTCAATTAATAGTTAATTGCATAAACAAATTGCACAAGAAAAATCTTCAAACAAAGTTGAAGGCTATAAATGTAAGAAAGCGTTCAATGGGGTTGTTTTTGTCATCTCCTTGTAGTGTCAGCCCGCTTCATGTAGATTCGATGAGAGTGTACGCAAGCTGACGTTGAGACAGTACCAGAAAATGTGCATATGTACATGCACATATGCACACATGCACATATGCACACATGCACATATGCATACATGCATATATGCATTATTTGTTTTCCTTCGTCCATTTGCTTTACATTTACTTTTGCTCCCCTGGTGCACACTATAGCTTCTCGATGTCTTCCTTCGAAATTGTGACATTACATTCTCCATCCATTTGCCCTCCATTTTCACACATTCATAGGAACTGATTCTGCATCTGAGCAAATATGAAGATGATGAAGTTAGCCATCTCTTTTCCTCCTTTACAAGCGTTTATAAAAAATTGATATATCACCCGAATTATGGATTAAGAGAATGTAAAAAAAAAAAAAAAAAAAAAAAAAAAAAGAGACAAGTTTTTGAGATTACTATAATATGCAGCAAATGCATTTTTATGCATCTAGAAATGTTGAGGGGCACATACATGTCTGTACTGTTTTTAGGAATAGTATGAATTTTTTCATAGGTTCCTAATCCTCTTGTCTCCATTTAATTTGCTCATTTAAAATTAGCTCCTAATCATATTTTCATTTGTATATGATTTACTCTTCCTTCTTCCTTTTGTGCAGACTTAAACGTGTGCTTAAAATTGTTCATACAAAAAATCAAAACAAAAATAAAACCCCATCTCAGCGTATTTCTACCACCCCTCTTCGTGTCTCTCTTTGATCATAACAAAAATGTAATAAAACGAATTTTATCATCTCATTCGCGCGATTTGTATATTTTTTGTACATATCTATTTGTGTAAAAAGAAGAAAAAAAAAGAAAAAAAAGAGCACTGTTGCTATTCATCGCTGTATGTATTAATTTAACAGATCGAATCTGTGACGCACCTTTTTTTTTTTTTTTATGATTGTTCATCATAATAAGTTATATTTCTCCCTGACTTGTGCAGGTAAAAAAAATCGCAGGAGAAATTTTACAGACCATTTTCCCACTTAAGGGAGGGATATCCAATTGCTTTGGACGAGAGAAAGATGAAAGAGGAATCCAAGGCGTAGAAATAAAAACAAAGAAAAAAAGTATAGCAAAAATAAGATTGCAGGAGGATGTTAAACTATACAATTGCATAAAAAAGTTGAAATTGAATTTTATTAATCTTTATAACTGTCTCAAGTATGTAGGAATTTCACTCAGTGAGGAAGTAACAGTTAATTTGAAAAATAATAAGAATGATGAAGAATATAGTTATGATGTGTATCTGTTCAATGTTCTTTGTTTGTATCCCTCCATTTTGTATATTATTATAAAAATAGCAAAGAAGGAGAAATTCGATGGAGAGACAGCAGAGAAGGAGGAGAAGTTTAGTGGAGAGACGACAGGGATCGAGTATGAAATGGCACTCACATCAAGGGGTAATAATATGGACCCAGTAAAATCCTTCATAAAAAAAGAGTTTCGAAATTTCTCAACCACCTTTAGCATCTTCTTTAACGCATTAAATGTAATTTATAAAGAAAATAAAGAGGATGAAAGAATAAAAAAGATGCTTTTTTTATCAGTATACAATATCATATACTTGTTAAAAAAGCACAGAATTAATTACTATGATTTTGATGAGGAAAAAGCGAATCTTTCCATTTTAAATTACATTAATTGTGTTTTAAATAATAAAGATGAGTATATCTTGAAAGGCATAAATCATTTATTGCTACTTTATTTCTTATCGAATAATAAAAAAATGATTAACGAAAATTTCTTGAAAACATATTTGTCACTAATAAAGCAAAACAAAATTGCGCGAAATGACGTTTTTAACTACACCATTTCTTTGTTTATTTTTATTTTTGAAGGGAAAGATGTACAAGATTATTTTTTTTTTTTTGTTTTCTTATTTTTTTTTCTACTCCTGCATGAGGTGACGTCTTCGCTTGTTGTTTACTACGACATTCTGCACCACTTGTGTGATCATTTCGACATGCGAGGGGTGGAAGCGTTAGCTGGGGAGGCAGTATTAGATGCAGTAGTAGATGCAGTAGAAGCAGTAGAAGCAGTAGAAGCAGTAGAAGCGGTAGAAGCGGTAGAAGCGGTAGAAGCAGTAGAAGCAGTAGAAGCGGTAGAAGCAGTAGAAGCAGTAGAAGTGATAGACGCAGCAGGAGAGAAGGATGGCCAAGAGAAACAAAGCAACGGAATGATCCCCTCAATTAATAATATGAGACAAAAAGTGAACGGTGAAGAAAGGGGAGAAAAAACTGAATGCACGTTTGCAGAATCGGATTGTTACAGGATCCTAAGCGAAAGCATACTGCTTATACCCTTAGAATGCATACTTGTTCAGAAAATTGGAGAAAATCATAATTATTCATTTAAGACAACATCCTATGTGTATGACATCTTAAGCAATATATATTATTCCCATAAGAAGAAATCACATAAGAAGGATGGAAAAGACAAAAATAAATTTGAAGAATTAAAAAAAAAAATAATTGAACAGAAAATTGAGGAAAATAACTTCATCAGTACGTACATAAATTTTGTCAAAATGGCAAAATACATGGAAAAAATTGTTCTTAGTTGCTTGCACTTGTTAAATGAATACATCAAGGGAATGAAGCAAAGGCTAATGGAATGTGAAGTAATGAAACTCCAGAAAACACATAATCAAGAAACAGATGAAGCAATTAAGAATGAAAATGTAACAACGGGTAGAAGGTCCCTTTCTACGTTTGAAAATTTCTCCAATTTAAGGAACGATAAATACAACGATGCACTTAACTTCATTTTGAATTTTTTAACCGAACTAAAGTGCATAATTTTTCCATTAAAGTTAGAAATCAAGAAAGACACATCATGCATAAACACTAAAATGAGCACCAATGTTTTGAATTCCTTTATATACACATTAAAATATACCTTCAGGATTGCATGTGTTCTAGTGGAAGAAGGTAATCATGACATGATTGAAATTTTTAAGAAGCATTTTAAGCTTCTGGAATTTCTCATGACAGGGAAAGAAGTGGAAGATGAAGATACTGCCAATTTGCAAGTGGATGTATTTTCTGTTTTTATGAAATTTCTAAAACATTATAATTTTGATAATCTTCCACAGGAGCAGAAAAAATGCGATGAAATTTTCTTCAACGCCATGGAAATTAGCTTGAACTTGCTTATTTTTATTTTTTCAAGAAATGAATCGTTATGTTATTCCTTTTCTCGATCTCTCCAAGTGGTAAGAACTCGGCATATTACTCGTCACACACTGAATCGTGCACCTACAGGGAACCAAGCGCATGAAAATGGATTCGATTCTGTATGTGAGGCTGCTTTTCTTATAACTCTTTTTTTCCATCCTTTTTTTTTTTTTTTTTTTTTTTTTTTTTTCCAGACCTTGCTTGGATCCTCTGTGAGCAAAGAAAACATTTTAAAGAAGATGAAAATCAGCGTGCATCTAATTAATTTTATGAAAAACAGATGCATCAAATTCTTTGATTTTTCTAAAACGATTCTAGAAATATATGATTATTACCTCATACAATGTATATCTTTGAATTGTAATGACCATGATGATGTGGTGATGAATTCATTTTATTCTTCCTTGCTGGAGGGAAGAGAATGTAACTTGGGGTTGTTTGAAGAGAAGTTCTTCCTTGGTATATTCAGTGTGTATATGAGAAAAATGGAACTATGTCAGACCTTTCCTGATAAGTATTTTTCAGATTTTTTTGTTCAGTATGTGATGAGAACGGGGAACGGTGGCAGTGTGGTGGAGGAGCAGCATCAGGAACAGCAGAAGAAGGAGGAGATGGAGAAGGAGGAGAGAGAAAGCCTGAGAGACGACCCATTTAAGGACTTACTCACACATTTTCTATTTATGATCTACATGAATGTGGAGTATGAATATGTTGAGACGCATTACCAGACACTTTTCTCCTCATTGAAAATTGGAATGGAAAGCATATTGTCATACGTCCAAGTAATAAGAGATATGTACAAATTGTGTAAGGATGATGATGATGAAGATGTTAGGAAAAGAACGACGTGGATGTCTATCGAATCTGGTTCTGAAGAATTTAATGGTGAGTATGATGAAACCGAAAGTGATGATACGAATGACATGATAGGAGATGTCTACTTGAAGGTTCAGTTAAGCATGAGAAAGAGTTTAATAAAGCTAATCTACATTGGAGAATCCATGAGTGAAGATTTAAAAAAGGAATATCAAGAGAGTTACAAAGAGAGTGGTTCCAAACGAGAAGATGATACTGTGCAGATAAATTTGTACTTAAAAAGAAATAATATTTTGTGCAGGAAACATCTTTTGAGATTATTGAATTTATATAAAATGTACTACAAGGTGGAAATTTTCTCCTTTTCTGATTTGAAGAGATTTACACTTTTCTCTTTTGATATCCCTCAAATGAAAGAAAAATATGTGAGGACACAAATTGGAGATAATACTTCTCAATTTATAAATAAAAAAAAGCGATTTGATGATTTTTTTTATTTTATTTATTCGAATATTCAATCAGAATTGTTGTTTCATCATCTTCTAACTTTAAAGAAAAAGATTGAATCAGATGAAGAAAACGAAATGGGACTTTTAAACTTGTTCTTATATATTTTTAAGCATTCACAGAATAGAAGCGATGGAAGAAATAAAACATGTACCCTTGATAATGTAAACATATCAGATATCGTGCTCCTTATGAAAAAGATGAATGAATTTTCCGTTTTTAACATTTGTAAAGACATTCTGAAAGATCACTATGTCAAAGATGGTGATTCTATAGATACTATGGAACAGGATCTCATTCACGAGTTGTATAATTTTAAGACAAAAAGCTTGTTAGATTTACAAATTAAGTTATTTCTCTTTGAGAAATACCTTTTACACTTTTGTAAAGCAAGAAGCAGTAATGAAACTTGGGTAGATAATTCTATTGATGATGAAAAAACCAACGTGATGAATAATACAACCACAGATTCATTCATCGAAGTACAGCAGTATGAAAAACAAATACAGAATCTGAAGTTTCGAATTCCACAAAGTATGCAGGACTACATAGATAGGAACTTCACCCTTAACATTAAGGGAGAGATGGAAAATGTGAATTTTTTTTATCATTTGATATGTACAAGTAAGGTGTATCGAGATTTGAATATGTTTAATTATTCTGTTGTGAAGAGAAAAGTACTTCTAGAATTAACTACCCCTCAGTATGTTTCATTAGATAATTTTGATGTTCTTTTCGCGTGCCTTTCTTTTATGAAAGATGTCATTCCTGGAGATTGTAGAAATCTTGAGGAGCCATCTACAAGAGATAAAAGTGGAATATTTAATGAAAGTACCCAGAATGGTACACTCAAGAATAACGTCGATTCTGCTAAGGAATCTTTTTACAAATATCTCAATGTCGTGAAAACATTTTACAAGAAAATGTATGAGGAGCAAAGTGTAATTTATAAACAAAGAGGTAGAAATATAATGGAGATTCTCATTAGTAATAAGGATGGTAGAAAATCAGCACCTCCAGGGGAGAGAAGCAAACAAAAGGGAGAAAAAAGTAGAGGAAGTAAATTTAAAAAAAAAACAGAATCCAAATTATTGCATTCAAAAGTGGGAGTAGGAGTGGGAGTTCGGGTGGGGTTACATTTTTTGAAGTATATACATGAGAACTGCCAAAAGGAAGGGGCAGTAATATACATGTCTAAATTTAAAGATATGAATAATTTCACAGCAGATTTGTTAAAGGTTATCTATTTCATTATTTCAGTTAATTATTATGATAACCGTTTAATTGATGACGAGGTGGTAAATTTGGTTATTCAAATGACAAATCTGTTTTTAGAATTCGATGTGAAAATTATAAAGTCGTATGCTAAAATATATTTTTTTTCTCTTCCATCCAGTTGTATTCATTTTTACGATTATTTTATGAAAGATGTATTTCGTTTAAACAAATTAAAATTAACTGTTCATGGGTTCAGAAAGCTAAAAAATAAAATATTAGATGTATATGTTAATACTTATTATTTGTATATTCTTTTTTCGAATATAGAAAAATGCAAAAATAATGATCTTTTTGTTGACAAGACATTTTCCATTTTGCTAATGAATTATATTTTCTTCACCGAATTACACAACTTGAGAAGTTCAGATATGCACAAGTTTTCTTTAATCAATTCATATTTACACATGAACGAAGGAGGAAAAAATTTATTTCTTTTATCAGCTCTTCATGAATCCTTTGATTCGCATGAATGCCACATCTTAGGATTAGAACCGTTTCGGAGGCAAGCAGATGTAGATGCTAATCCAGTAGAATCTGTTGAATGTACGCACCATCGAACATATAGCAACGATGAGCTAGAAAATCATGGTGGTACCACATCTAAATGTTTTTCGAACCCGTGCTCCCATAAACACCTGAAACATACTGACCATGTTGCAGAATTAAATTCAGATACAAGCAATGATGTCTTCCTAAGTGAGCCAAATGAAAATCCTCCCGTTTCGAACTTTATAAATACAAAGAGTAAGGAATTACAAATGAGTGAAGAAAATGAAATGACAAATCGAGAGAAATTAAACAGCAGCAAAGTGAATAGATCCCCAACCATGTGCCATCTGATGGTAAGGGAACAATGTGAAGATGTAGAGGAAGAGAATGCTTATGCATCTTTTCATAGCGATTCCCAGGAGTCTCAAACTTTTATGGGCCTCCCAAAAAACAATTGCACAAAAAGAGGAAGACCATCTGAGAATTACAAAAAAAAAAAAAATCCATTGCATTCGCTGAAGAACCAATTAAGGAATCCATTTCTTATGATCGATATGAAGAAAAATATTATTGGTTTGTATTCATTTCTAATTGAATTAAATTATTTGAAAATTCTTCTGTCTATGTTGAATACGTGCTTATCCCCAGAATATTTTATTTATAGCCATGAATTACATGAGCAATTTTTGGCCTTTTTGAAGAATCACAATTTTGGTATGACCGATTTTGTAAATGATATTCGAATTGTTGGAGATATTATTTTGGACTATAAAAAAATTAAAGAGATGGGAAGAGATAAATACAATCCGAATCGCACATCTAAATGGGAAGAAGAGAACAGTGCCTCCTTTTTGAAGAAACATAAAAATAAATTTTATCTATTCCTTTTGTCTCTGCATCTAATTTTACGTCTTATAACTATATACCCAAACGAGTGCATTAGCATAACGAATGAATCCAAATTACACGACATTATTAATTTCAATAAGCTTCTGTTTTCAAACTTGATAATAAACAATCAGCTGAATGAATTAAGATGCATAGCTAATGACTATGTGAACACCAACTTCCATTATGATACTTTGTCCAAAACGCTTATGTTCAAGTATAAGATAAAAGAAGACGACAGTGAACAGTTCGAGGACGTAACTGCCAAGTTGACTTTGACCTTCCTGCCAAATTACCCCTTTTCCCACCTGGTCATAAGTGACCGGATCGAGTCCCTAGGTGAGCATGTGCATGAAAGTGGATGATCATACATATGTACATCCACGCACAAGCACACGTACATGCACAGGCACATATATACACCCCTCTGTGTTATGAGAACGAACTAACCATCTCGAACCATGCGTGTGATTAAAAAAGTTCCGTTTATTGGAGACACTTTACCCAAGGGAAGTGCGATACCTTGGATGAGGAGTTCAGTTGATGACACATACATGCACAGTTTTTGAATATCACCATGTATTAAAAAGAAAAAAATTCTACAATTTTCATTCCACGTTAACCATTTTCTAAACAGTACAAAAAGGGGTTACATGAAGAGTGAAAAATTTTTTTTATTTCCCACTTAAAAACTACTGTTTGATTTTCATTGGTTCCGTCATCTGGGAGTGAATTTTTTTTTTTATATTTTTTTCTATTTTATTTTATTCTTTATCCTGTCATCTAATCCCCCATTCTTTAACAGATAAGAAAGCCTACATCCATAACTCCATCAAGAGTATGTACAAATATGCAAGGACTGGAAATATCAACGAAATGTTTATCAAATTTGACAGCATTATGAATGACTATTTTGAAAACAAGTCTCAGTGTAATATCTGCTTTATGATTTTATATGAAACCAAGACGTGTGACAAAACCTGTTCCCATTGCAGTACCTCTTACCACAGTTACTGCTTACACAAGTATGCTTCTGCTCGCGCGTCTCCTTTGAGTTTGCGTTAACTTGACCTTTTTACAGTTTCATGAGTTTATGCCAGTTCATTGACCTTTTTACAGTTTCATGAGTTTATGCCAGTTCATTGACCTTTTTACAGTTTCATGAAATTATGCCAGTTCATTGACCTTTCTACAATTTTTCGAATTCCTACTCATTTTTGCAGATGGTTCCTGACGTCCCATAACACCAAGTGCCCCTCTTGTCAAATGCAATTCACGTCATGAAGAGATACCTGAGCAGATCAGCAGCAAACATCCATCCATTACACAAAAACACATTACTTTTTGTTTAATTTTTCACACCTTTTTTTCCTTTGCATGAGATTATGCATATAGCCATACGTCCTTCCATGAGAGAAGAACATTTTTACTTATTTTCAAATGTATCTATGAACTATATTTTTATTTTTTTTTATTTTTTTTTTTTTTGGAGGTTGGGGGAGAGGGGTTCTCCTCTTTCGAGACTGAGATACAACCTAGGTGTGTGGGATGTATCTGCTTGAATGACACAACCCTCTCATCCATTTTCTTGACCCGTTCGGCCTGTTCATTCTGTGTATACCATTTTTGGATGTATCCATACACCTTGTAAACTTTTTAATCGTTTTCTCATTAAAAAAAAAAAAAAAAAACAAAAAAAGTCTACCATTTTAAAGACACACACATACGCACACACTGGAGGAAATGAGAATTGGTCTCTCCGCTGTGAATTTCTTGAGAACTAGGTTTGTAAAAAAAAAAAAAAAATATATATATATATATCGCTAGAAATGTGGCTCCATTTAACACTAGTGCATGCACACGCTGCATGAGAAATTGAATGTATTTAATTTACAAAAAAAGAGAAGAAAGTGAAATGTTTAAATGTTCGACATGGAGTGGGCAGTAAGGAAAAAGCACCAAGTGTGAGGGTGTTATGCACGAAATGTGAGTTGCGAGTATGACATATTGGGGAGAAAATATGGGGCGAGAAGCGGGGTGTACTAAGCTGTACTTGTGAGGGGTGCAATTCACAGTGAGAGATGCAAGGGACAGAGAACCTTTGAATGTCATTTAGCAGAGACATAATTGCAATTTTGCAGAAAATGAAAATGCACATGAATGGAAAATGTAAGTGTATGGAATATATGTATACACATAGATGTATGTATGCGCGTGTGTAGTAGAAACTGTTCCTCTGCACCAGATTTAAAAATAAAATGAAGAATGTAAGTACACATACTCTCCTTCTCTTCCTCCTTAAGACTACAGACGAGTGCCACTCCGCTTTGTTGTTGCACCGTCAACATGGTGAAAAGGCTAGCTATTTCGTAATAGTTCATAACAGTTTGACCCCTTTTCACCCAATTATGTGGTGTTTCACAGCATTTCATAACATTACATAATATTACATAACACTTCATAAGAGTTCGAGGTGTATGCATGAATACCACTTGGGTAGTGTGGTAGATATTAGGTCCGTTGTTGTATTTTGTCCTAATGGGGATTTCAAAAATGGATACTAAACTGGTTCTAACTTAGATAAACTGGTTCTAACTTAGACAAATTGGTTCTAACTTAGGCAAACTGCTTCTAACTTAGACAAATTGGTTCTAACTTAGACAAACTTCTGCTAACTTAGACAAACTGGTTCTAACTTAGACAAACTGGTTCTAACTTAGACAAACTTCTGCTAACTTAGATAAACTTCTGCTAACTTAGATAAACTTCTGCTAACTTAGCTAAATTGGTTAGGTGAATCCGCGGAAGGCGGAGAGTTGACCTGCGGCGGAGCGGTTGGTAGTGGTGGCAGACTTGGCCTGAGCCTTGTGTCTTTGCTTCTTCCTACTGGGAGAAGAAAAATCAGGAATGGAAAGATTCCTTTTGACTCTCATAGATTTGGTGAATTCATAAGAATTTTCTGGGTTCATTGCATGATAACTGGATCGATTAAATTTTCGTCTTTTTGATGAAGAAGAGGAAAGAGGGGTAGAGCAATTGTTACTATCGTCGTAAAAGGAAAATTCTTCCTTAGTCTCGATTACATTTTTTTCTTTCATATCATTTAGTACTTTTATACTAGCACGCTTGATAAATCCATTTGAATTTTTTTCATCATTTGCATATTTGTCTGAAAATATTGCAAAGGATCTTCTTCCACTTTTTTTATATCCACCCAAATTTTTAAAAGTATCATTTATTAATTTGAAAATTATTTTTGCATATTTATCATCAGATTTGCACAGAAAATGAGAAATCATAGTAGTTGTTAGTAAGTTTTTTTTTTTCTGTTCGATTTCTCTGAATGTTTTTATGCCAATATAATATTTCAAACAATGAACATACCAATTGTATACTCCAATTCCATCTAAATTATCAAATCGAATGTCTGAAAACCATGGGTGTGATAAAGCATCCGCTGCTGTTATTCTGTCATTTGGATTGTACTTCAACATTTTAACCAATAAATCGATACCTAACTCATCTATTCTTCCATTTGTTATTACATTCAATGCATCCTTTTTATTTTTTATATTAACATTAAAGAAATCTTCCTTTAGTGGGTAAAAACGAGAATCACTAAAGAACTCAAGTTCATCATTATTTGGTTTTCCTAAAGAGTTAACTATTCTTATTATTAAATCAAATTCAGTTACTCCTCTGAAGAGTGGTTTACCTATGATTAGTTCACAGATAATGCATGCAGCTGACCATATATCCACATTAAGTCCATACTGAAAATCTTTACTATTGTAGTAATCTTCTTCTCCTTCGATTCCTCCTTTTCTTTGTGCTCTTTCTGCTTCGATTCCTCCTTTTCTCTGTGTCTTTTCTGCTTCTATTTCTCCTTTTCTTTGTGCCTTTTCTGCTTCTTTTTCTCGCCCTCGTTCTCGTTCTCTCATCTTCTCCTTGTCTTTATGTTTTCCCCCACCATTACTACCACTATTGGTATTACCATTATTATTGTTATTATTACAATTGCTACTTCTACACGCAGAGTCAGCAATATTGTTGCTCTTGCTATTATTACCATTTCTGACATTCCCACCATGATGATACTTATCACATGTTGTAGAATTCCTGTGAGCAGCAGTGCATGGTTTGGATTTCGCTTTCGCTTTAGCTCTTCCCTTCTTTCCTTTTGCAATTTCAAATTTGGACAGTAGAACCTCTAAAGGACGATAGTAAATAGTACAAACAGTAGGAGTCATGTCTCCATCATTTTTTAATTCGCGACATAATCCTAAGTCACCAATTTTTAATAAATATTTATGATTTTGTGTTTGTTGCAACATAACATTTTCAGGTTTCAAATCTCTATGACACATTTTATTATTATGTAAATAAGCTAATCCATTTAATAATTGGAATGATAACCATTTAGCCTCCTTCAAACTTAACCCTGCTTGTTCATCACTAATTTTTGTCTTCTGGATTAATCGCTTCAAGTCTCCACCATCACAATATTCATATGCTGCAAATATAAATTTTTGATCTGCTGATAATGGTGCCATATCTAATTTTGTTGAGTGGTGAAAATTTGAAGTATAATGTTGTAATATTTGTCTATTAATATATTCACTTATACATTTCTGTCTATCAATAGTTACATCTATCAATCTTAATATATTTGGATGTCTTCCTATATTTTTTAAACAACTCAATTCTCGTAATGTTGTACAACTGATACCTTCATCATTTATTGTTCTCAAATCATCACGAAAAAATTTAATCGCATATACATTTTTCCTGAAGAAAACAAACTCATCTGTGTAGTAATCATATGGTAAATAGTTCGTATTTTGATAAAGGTCATTATTGTTATTATATTTTATCACCTTTCCTTTGTAAACATCTCCATATGTTCCTCCCCCTAGTTTCTCTTCCAGAGATACTGTCGAATAAATGTTATTAAAGTAAATTTTGCACTTGGTCAAAGTTATCCCATACATGGTTTTATCTTCTTGGTGACAAGCAGCCTACAGTGGGCTGTGCATATACACCTGTCCGATGAGATTTATAACGCACCTGCTGTCCCGTTATAAGCGGTTCAGATAGCGATTCTGCTAAGCGGTTCAGATAGCGATTCTGCTAAGCGGTTCAGATAGCGATTCTGCTAAGCGGTTCAGATCGCGATTCTGCCAAGCCGTTCAGATAGCGATTCTGCCAAGCCGTTCAGATAGCGATTCTGCCAAGTCCTCCTCTTGACCGTTGGGTTACCCGTTTGCGATCGTGCAGAGGGTAAAGATATATGGTACGTCAAGGTGAATCCCAGCAGGAAAATATGGATGGCAAATCCCATTTGGAGGCATAATAGCCAAGCTCCTTTTTCGCTAGCTACGGGTCAGCTAGAGAGAGAGATTTCCCAATATTGCATGCGCAGTTGTATGTATATGCATTAATGTGTGTATGTATGCGTGCATATGCATGTGTGTGAAGTAAAACTGTGAGGCCGGTGAGAAGTACAGCCTCCAATGTTTTTGCATGCGTGTGTGTACCGAAGCAGATCTTAAATGGAAAATGCTAGATGGAGATTACCCCAGCGAAATAAACTTACAGAGGTTAGATGTCAAGAAGGTGAAATAGTGATGGAGCAGAAATGGAACGGGGGGAAAAAATTTGCACTTGAGAATGAAAGAGATTAGAAAAAAGTTCGGGGTGTGATGCGTGGCGTGTTATGTTTTGACAGTAATATTTTGGAAGCATCATTCCCTCTGTTGCGATGAGTAAATATTATCCTTGGGACCTCAGGAATTGGGTATAAAGGAAGTTTGCGTTGCATTCACTTAAGAGTGTGTAAATGATTAAGCATGAATGGAACATTTTTCTTACACGCGTGCTTAACACTCGCCTGTGCTTCTTTCACGTGTGCACTTTATATTTTAACAAATGTTTCTCCCTAGCATTGCACTTATCTCTCCCCTCTCTTACACTTGTTCTCCACCCTCACACCCTTGGTATGCACCTGCTAAGTGTGTAAGCATGTAAAAAAAAAAAAAAAAAAATGCACACTTATAAGAAAGCCCTTAAAAAACTTTTAACATGCACTTTTATAACGAATACACTAATAGAAGATTTTGTAAAATTTTTCAAAATTGTATTCTTATTTGACATGGGCTTAAATAAGCTCAAAGGAAATAGTCTTTAAAAAAAAAAAAAAAAAAAAAAAACATAGTTCTAAAATAGACAAAGTGTAATTGAATAGATATTTTATTTATCGAAAAACAAAAAAAAAAAAAAAATTCAAAAAATTAGCATATTTAAATGAATTAAAATGAAATTAAATGAAAAAAAAAAAAAAAAGGGAGAGTGAGAGAAAAAAGGTTTCGTGCTTGATCCAGAAAAAAAGAAAAAAAAAAAAAAAAAATGAGGAGTGGGAAGAGAAAGAAATGGGAGAATGAAAAAGGCCAAACTAAAAACACAAAGTGCCAAATGCGGTCTGCGGAAAAAAAAAAAAAAAAAAATAATAATAATAATAATGATAAAACAAAACATATCAAAATGTAGCATAACGAATGAATTTTTTCTTATAATAATTCTCTAATGTGTACTTTAACAAAGGCTAATTAGAAAAAGAAAAAAAAAAAGGAACGAAATGGAAAGAACAAAAAAAAAAGGAAAGGAAAAGCTTAAACAATTTTATCACCCTGAACATTTATGGACAGAAAAAGTCAATGTTTTATTTTATTTTTTTTTTTTTTTCATTTTTTTCTTAGGCACCTTTAATATTTCTCACCATTTATGTGGTGAGACATATATACCTATGCAAAACGAACATTTGCATAATGTTTTCATAAGAATTGTCATTCTTTCATATGCCCCCTTTCTACCTAAAAAAAAAAAAAAAAAAAAAAAAAAAAAAAATGGAACATAAGAGTCTAAAATTATGTTATTGTTCTTTTCTTAATATCGTTAAGACAAAAAAAAAAAAAAAGCATCTTTTTTCATTGAAAATTGTATACACGATAGACCTGTTGAAAAATGAAAAAGATAAGCCAGAAAAATAAAATTTGAAATATCAACCCCTCGTGAAACAAGAAAGAAGGATAGATAAGGAATGCGACCATACATAACCATATTTGTATAGCGAACATTCTGTGTGTGTGTGTGTGTGTGTGTGTGTGTGTGTATGTGTGTATGTATGTATGTATGTATGTGGGTGGGGGAGCGATATATCTAGTACAACGTTAAAATTTCCTTCTACTTGTCACTGTTTTTTTTTTTTTTTTTTAAATTTGTGAAGATACAGGAGTACTTTTTCTCCATTGGTTATTTTTTCTTTTTCCCCATTTTTTACAGTTTGCATTCATTTGCGTCTGTCATATTGTTTTCATATTTTCCAATTTTTTTCCCTCCATTTTGTACATCACTTCTGTACAATGTAACAACTTTTTTACAAAACTTTTTATTCAACCTAAACATATCATCAGTCTCTAAAAGTTAGCTATACGACATAGACACGTTTTTTTAATATTTTCAATTTGTAAGTGTCTGAATTTTTTTTTTTTTTTTTTTTTTTTTTCTTTTTTGTGAAATAAAAAGGAAAAGAAGAAATTAAGACAAATGGTTGAAACTTTTGAATCTATGGGCTAACTTTTGTCACAAAATGGTGTAATGATATGAAATATGTTGGCATGAGAAGTCACACGCAATTCCTGCACAGTGTCTACCCATAGGTAGCAGGTGGACGAATGGACATGTGTGTTAAGGCAGATTATTTACATAACAAGTTCCACCCGTTTCTCAGCCTTGTTTGCTGCCTTCTTTATGGACCCTCTTTCGGTTTTCTATGACACTTCAAACGCATTTTAGCCATATTTTAGCCATATTTTAGCCATATTTTAGCCATATTTTAGCCATATTTTAGCCATATTTTAGCCATATTTTAGCCATATTTTAGCCATATTTTAGCCATGTTTTGGCCATGTTTTGGCCATGTTTTAATTTTTTTTTCCTTTACACAACAAAAGGTACCACATATTATTCGTTGCTTTGGGGAGGGAGGATAATTATTTATTTTTTTTTTTTTATTTGCTCATTTATTTATTTTCCTATTTATTTTGCTTTTTTTTTTTTTTTTTATTTGCTCATTTATTTATTTTCCTATTTATTTTGCTCTTTTTTTTTTTTTTATTTGCTCATTTATTTATTTTCCTATTTATTTTGCTCTTTTTTTTTTTTTTTATTTGCTCATTTATTTATTTTCCTATTTATTTTGCTTTTTTTTTTTTTTTTTTTTTTGTGGGGGTGGAGTTGCGAACCTGTTTTGGTGTGATGCATGGGTAATTTAACGCATCCCAAAATAAAGTGCACGAGGAACTGCTGAGTGGGAAGAGGGAAAGGTTTCAAAATTCCGTGCTCACCATCATGTTCTCATGAGAATACATTAATGAGTGAACAGAAAAGTATCTTCTAATCGAGAATTCTCACGTGTTCCTTTGGAAATATGCCTTAAAAAATATGCCCTAAAAAATATGCCCTAAAAAATATGCCCTAAAAAATATGCCCCAAAAAATATGCCCCAAAAAATATGCCCTAAAAAATATGCCCTAAAAAATATGCCCCAAAAAATATGCCCCAAAAAATATGCCCCAAAAAATATGCCCTTAAAAATTACCCGCTTAAAAAAGGCAAATATCCATGGAATACCCCACCAGGCATACATCTCCACGCATACATCCTCGTATACTTCTCTCCACACATACATCCTCGTATACTTCTCTCCACACAGACATCCTCGTATACTTCTCTCCACGCATATTTCTCCACACACGCTTCTCCACATATCCACCTTCTGAATATGCACGCTTGTATTCCCTTCTTTGCTTATGCAAGAGATTATTAACCACCACCACTCCAACTCCACACCCAAAAAAAAAAAAAAAAAAAAAAAAAAAAAAAAAAAAAAAAAAAAAAAAAGAAAAAAAAGATGGAAGAAAAAAAAACAACAGAAAAAAAAAAAGAATAAAAAAGGGAAAAAAAAAAAAAAAAAAAAAAAAAAAAAAAGAGAAGAAAAATGAAGAAAAATAAAGAAAAAAAAAAAAAAAAGAGAAGAAAAATAAAGAAAATAAAAGAAACATAAAAGCTATGCAAGATAGTATAAAAGGCTGCAAAAGCACTTTAAACGACGAAAGAACGGTTAAATGATTTATGGCAGTGCATAATTTTTGTAGTTTATGTTTATTTCTCATTTTGTAAGCAACAAAATTTTGTGCCTGGATTGGGTAGGGGGAGAAAAGGGAAATTTTCAATTGTTCCGTTTTTCCCAGGTTTTGTGGATAGTCTGAGGGAGAAAAAAAAAGAAAAAAAAAAAGAAAAAAAAAAAGAAAAAAAAAAAAGGGAAAGAAGCGACAGAAGCGACGGAAGCGACAGAAGCGACAGAAGCGACGGAAGCGACAGAAGCGACAGAAGCGACAGAAGCGACGGAAGCGACGGAAGAGAAACGGAGGAAATACAATGAGCGTATCGTAGCATGAATACCAAAAAAAATAGCACGTTTTACAAAAGGCTGAAAAATAAAAGAGTCTTAAAAGAATTCTCGTATGTTTCTTTTAAAAAGGAAATTGCGAAATTGTATGAGAAGGAGAAGAACATTTTTAAGCAAACACACAATGGAGTTCTATCATCTGACGACATGGAAAAATGTGAACATCAAAGTGTAGAAGATGAAGAAGGAGATGAAGGAGACGAAGGAGATGAAGGAGATGAAGGAGATGAAGGAGATGAAGGAGACGAAGGAGATGAAGGAGACGAAGAAGAGGATGGACAGGAGGATGGACAGGAGTATGGACAGGAGTATGGGCAGGAGGATGGACAGGAGGATGGACAAGAGGATGGACAAGAAGATGAAGAAGATGGACAGGAGGATGGACAGGAGGATGGGCAGGAGGATGGACAGGAGGATGGACAAGAAGATGAAGAAGATGGACAGACGGATGGGCCAAAGATGCCCCCTGCGGGTAGTCTCGGATTGCTGGTCAAGGGTAGAAAAGGACATGTGTTGAATGGGAGGAGAAATGGAGATCTAAGATCAGGATTCATCAAAGGCAGAGAAAGGAACATATGCGCTAGCGACCAAGGAGGAATTAGGACAAAGGATGATGTGTGTGATGAGGACACGGAAAGTTACCAATCATGTTTATTAGAAAAGCGTTTCGAGGTTGTAGATTACATGAGTGGGATGAGCCGCTCAAGTACTAAGAAACAAAAAAAAAAAAGAGAAAAAGGAGAAAAGAACAAAAAGGAAGAAACAGTTTTAAAAGATGAAGTACGTCATAAAGTGGAACAAAGTGAGAAGACAAAAAAAGAAGCCGTAAAAGAAGCCGGAAAGGAAGCCGTAAAAGAAGCTGAAAAAGAAGCTGAAAAAGAAGTGATACGACAAATATTGAAGATCATCCTAACAAGAAAAAAAATTTGCGAAATTGTAAAAGCGCACTTTGAAGAAAACAGAATAAAATTCGTTAGCAAACGTATGATGAAACATATTCTAAAGAGAACAGGAAAAAATGTGGATTTCCGTGTTATCAAGGTTCTGTTGGTGCAGAATGTAGATAAGAAAAATATTAAGAGTACGCTTAATACAAAAGGTAAAAGAAAGTTATTTAAGAATTATATTTTTTCAAAATATAAAATTCGTGCCATAGAATCGATACTCATACAGATTGCCCAGATAGATGAAAATAACTTTACGCATCATGAATCGTACAAAGAATTGGACATCTCATCTGATGAGTACTTATTATGTATTCAGATTGTATGTCGTTATCTTAGACAAAATGAACAGAAGGATACACCAAATTATGAAAAATACAAATCCATATATAAACATCTTAAAAAACTTTTGCGTGGAAATCCAAGTGCACAGGTTCATACTGGTACTACTGATGGTAATGGTAAGGGACCCATTCAGGGCATACCATTGGTGGTGGATACACAAGATGATAAGAATATATCAAAGAAGAAGAAGAAGAAGAAGAAGAAAAAAAAAAAAAAAAATAATAAAAATAAAAAAGATAAAAATGTTGTCACGGAAGAGGATATTTCACCCATTTGCACCAATGAAGAGGGAGAAAATATAAATATAGAGGAAATTTGTGTTAGTTCTAATCATAGAAGACGACAAATTAAGAAAAAGAAAGGTATGAAGGAAAATTTCATTTCTTCAGTCAATGTAATTTCGAAGAATTTCATTACACAGGAAGAGGAAGAAGAAGAAGAAGAAGAAGAAGAGGAGGAGGAAAATCAATCAAAAGAGACAAATATAAATACAAAAAGACTTCTCAAAATAGTAAATGAAGAAATTAAAAAACAAGATTTAGAAATAAGCACTTTGAAAATATCACTTGAGTCAATTGGAAGGGATGTTAAGCTGCTATTAAAAAGAACTAACATGGAAATTGATTCTTTGGAAGATCATGTTGACAATTCCAGAAGGAATCATTCTCCATATTGTATCCCTTCAAAGTTTATACCATTTAAGGACGATCCTTCTTCATATCACAACTTTGTCTACAAAAAAGTGGGAGGAGATGAAAAATATAAATATTATAATACCAATGATTATCTCATCATGCACACAAAGAAGCCCATCACCATTCACCCCACACATGTTACCATAAACATAGGAGATGTAGAAACTTTCAAGGAAAAATCATTCATCTTGATAAAGCTACTGAATGAACACATTTGTAAAGAAGAAACATCAAAAAGTATAATTGGGAAGAACCCAATGAAAGGTAAACTATCTCTGAATTACTTGAACGAAGAAATAGATAGGCTCATTGGCATTATTACTGCTTATAATAAACAGTATAACTGTGTTGAAGAGAAATGGATTCAGCCATGGAACTTATCCGTGTACAAATCCGGTTGGGAAGGAGAAAAGGAAGAAATTGCAGATGTTGCAGATGTTGCTGATGTTGCAGATATCGCAAATGTTGTAGATGTTGCAGATGTTGCAGATGTTGCAGATGTTGCAGATGTTGCAGATGTTGCAGATGTTGCACTTGACGAGGATGCCCATGTTGAAGAACCTGCTGAAGCACCAACGAGGGAGGAAACTATAGGAATCAGCGAAATGGGCGAAATTGTACATATGAAAGAGAAAAATGCATGCTTGAAAATGGACCAAAGTGATGAAATAAATAAAAAAGACATTAACATTATGGCTAGTGAAGGCCCTGTAAAAAATAGAGCACTAAATGGGATGAAAGAAAGTGAAAACAAATTTTCAATATATTCATATGGCACAAAGACATTCCTAGGGAAAAATAACAAAAGTATGCAAACAAAAAAAAGAGAAAAGAAAAAAAAAAACAGCACCAAGAAGTATGTTTGTAATTCCATGACCAACACACTGATGAAGGACAACAAGCTCAATGAAGAACTTATATCTATGCAAAACAGCAAGAGGGAAGATATGATAAGGTCTCATGATATTTATTCCGATATGCCCATTGTTGCGAATTCTGCATATAGAAGGAAAAACTACTTTCAAGAATATATGAAGTATTGTCATGAAGGAGAGGGTGAGGTGGAGAAGGGCGAGAAGGACGATAACTGGCAGAATGGTGATAACTGGAAGAATGATAAATGTGCAGCATTGCATAAGCCTCTTCACATGCTCGCCAGAGAGGGGAAAAGCACAGACCTGAAGGAACGTGAAAATAATGTGATAAACAATTTTTCTAAATTAAAGAATGAAAGAAAAGAATCTTATCATATAAATCCATCCCTAGAAATGAATATTGATTCCATAACAAATCAGATGAATTTGAATAAGAAAGAGACGAAAAAGAACAAAACTGAGGAAGAGAAAAATGAACAAGGTGAAAAATCGAATGTTGACAAAGGAAGATGTAAGGAGGAGAGGGAACATGTGGAGAAGGAGCATATCGAAGAAGAGAACCAGAGGGAAGAGAACACTGAGGAGTGTCTATATGATGAAGAAAGGTTGAGTGATAACACAACGGGGAGTGCCGACAGTGTAGTTTACAACTATAATTTGTATAATGCCATTTACGACCTAAATGAACACTTTTCCAGTGTCGTAAAGAATATGTATTTGGATAAAGGTACCAGAGGAGAGATTGGGAATACAGAAGAATATGAAAAGGAAAAACTGGAAAAATTGGAAAAATCAAAGATAAAATCAGAAAATATCAAGACAGAAAATATGAAAGGAAAAAAGAGAAAGCGAAACAAAGGGGGGAAAGTCAAAGTCCAGGAGCATATGGACGAATCTGCAAAAAAAGAGAGAAAAGCAGGAGACTCACTTGTCAATGGAGAAAGTTCACAAGTTGAGAAATTGCTAGAGGAAAAGTTAAAGAGAAAGGCAAAAAAGAAGGAAGAAAAAAAACGAAGAAAAGAAATGATGAAGGAAGAAAAGAGGAAAATGAAAGAAGCGAAAGATGAGGAAAAGAAAAAAAGAAAAGAAAAAAAAAGGGAGGAAAAGAGGAAAATGAAAGAAGCAGAAAGGAAGAGGAAAAGGGCAGAGAAGGAGAAAAGGGAAGAGGAGGAGAAAAGGGCAGAAAGGAAGAAGAAGAAGAAGAAGAAAAAGACAGAAGCAGAAAGAAGGGAGAAAAAGGCAGAAAAGGCGAAACGTGCAAACATATCGAATAGATCGAAAGAGGAGAATAAACAAATGGAAGGAAGCATGAGAGAAAATTCCTTAAGTAGAGATGACAACTCCAATGAAGAAGGACCAATAGTACCTGTGCAAAACGACGATTACAATTTTATTGATGCAAAGTGTAATGAGAAGCAGAAGAGAATGATGATGACCCAAGGTTTGTGTGGAAAATCCATCTATGATGAATATATAACTCAGGAAAAAGCCATTAGAGGAATTATCAGGAAAAAGTATATACGGGTAAGTGGTTATGGAGTGTATAAGACTATTGGTTTTGTCGTAGCGTGGTTAAGTTCATTTGTATGGTCTCTTTGTGAGCGAAGCCAATCTTTTGGTCGAGCGCTGCACGACATCATTCTCGCGATAATCTCTTGAGGTCATTCTGAGACAACATGGGCACTATTCCGCTGCAACCGATTTTCAATTTGGTTTCCATGTTGTTTCAATTTGGTTGCAACTGACTTTCAATTCTGTTTCCATGTTGTCATTTTGCCATGTTACCATGTTGCCATGTTGTCATTTTTCGATCGCTCTGGGCCCAACTCTCTCATCATGCCTAATTCCTTATTACAGGGAATCCTCAATGTCAGGAGGTTCGATTATGGATTTGTGATTTGTAACGACAGAAAAATTCACATCACGTCCAAGAAAGATATGAACAGAGCAATAGACGGAGACACCGTGGTGATAAAACTGAAGAAGGTGAACGAGGGAGGAAGCGACGCGAATAAGCATGTGAGGAAGCAATTTACTAACCAAGTGTCGAAGCAATTTACTAACCAAGTGTCGAAGCAATTTACTAACCAAGTGTTGAAGCAATTTACTAACCAAGTGTCGAAGCAATTTACGAACCAATCGAATATGAACTCGAATGGGAACCCTAATTGGAAGCCAAATGGAGAGACGGAGGAGGAATGTACAGGTAAAATTGTTTACATAGAGGAACACCACGGATCGAATATAAAGTACGTATGCATATTCAGAGAAAAGATGAGGAGGCAAAAGTATAGTATGGCAATACCATTTAAAAAGAACATCCCATTCATTAAAGTAGAAAATAAACATATCATCGAATTCATGAAAAAATGTAATGTTATAGATATAAGTAATCAGTTAGTATATATAAAAATATTTCAATGGAATTCAAATGAAATGTTTCCAGAAGGGAAGATCGTTGAAATACTTGGACAAAATGATTTATTTCATAACATGCAAAATGCTATATTACTGAATCATAATTTAAATTTTAATTTAAAAGAACCGTTAGAAGATGATTATTTAAAAGATTTAAAAAATAAATATATTTTATACACCGATATAGTAAAAGAGGAAATAAAAAGACGAACTGATCTAACCAAAAAATGTATTTTTACCATTGATCCTGAAACTGCAAGAGATTTAGATGATGCTATTAACATTAGCAGAATAAGCAAAAAAAGAATAATGAAGTGTAACTTTTACATCCAAGTTATTCACAATTTAGTAGCACACAATGGTGAAATTGAGGAGTCCATTTTGGACAAAAATCTACCCCTTTTCGTTAAGGAAGATAACAACTTTTTTGAAAATTTAAAAAAGAATAAATATATTCAAGAGATGGAGGACATTAAGTATGAAAATTTCGTTAAAGGGAAAATGGAAGAGAAAAAGAGGGAGCAGAAGAGGGAGAAAAAGAGAGAAAGGAAGAGGGAGGAGAAAAGCAAAAAAATAAAAGACGATACAAAAACCGCTAACCACAATGGGGAGAAAAAGAGGAAAAATCATCCAGAAGCATCACTTGCTCATGTACACAATCAGGTCAAGCAGTTCAGCGAGAACCAATATCATGAGAAACGTCAAAAGGGCAGTGCCACGATCCATATGGAGGAGCAGTACCCTCTGCAGGAAAGCAACAGTAGCAAGGAATATCTAGACAATCACTACAACATCGTGAGAAGTAACAAAAATGAAAAATGGAAATATGATTTTATAGGGACGTCGAAGAATTACATGGACTTCTCAGAATCGGGTATAGACACGGGAGGAGGAAGTTCCCGTAGTACCACCCATCAAGGAGAAAAACACAGAGATAATCAAAAACAGAAAAAAAAAAAAATTACAGAAAATTTTGAAAATCAGTTTGAAGATGATACCTATACATATAATTCTGATATGGGAAAACAAAATGAGGAATCACATATTTTAGAACACAAGGAAGAAGGAGCATATGAAAGTTTTCATTGGAAAAAACGGATTGAAAAAGCGAAAAAGATATCTACTCCAAGGATTCAAGAGGAGAGGAAAAAAACGCATGGCATTATGATAACACCCAGTGTATCTGAGTTCACTTCAGAGATTGGTAACCAACGTGATGATCACAGCGAACTTTCGCATCTAAATTCGCAAGAAACACACGCTGAATTGAAAAAGAAGAGGAAGATGCAGCGGGTTCAGAATATTTTTTCATCGAAACGGGATCAGCAGTACCATATGAATGACACCTGGGTTGGGGGTGGAAGTAGCATTGATGGAAGCGTCGATGGTAGAGTGGAACAGGTGAAAAAAGGAGAACATATCAAGAATCGCATGAAGAAGTATAAACACCTTTTTAAAAAATATCTGAATGAGGATATAGGAAGTTATGTACTTAGTAATCACGATTTATTTTGCAAAAAATGCAAACGTTTTGTAAGCATGAGTGAGATAATGAAAGAAATGGGTCCCACCAAATGGAAAAAATATAATTTATTTGAAGTAGGAGTACATATAACAGATGTGTCTTTTTTTATTAAAGAAAATTCATCTCTAGATATTGATGCACGCAATAGAGCAATGACTATTTATTTGACACATACATGTTTCCCTATGATATCTCGAATTTTAAGTGAATCTTTGTGCAGTTTGGATCCAACCAATAATCGATTATGTGTGTCTGTTTTTTTCTACATGGATAGTTCAGGAAAAATTGATCACAATTCCTTTTTCATCAAGGAGAGTATAATAAGTAGTAAAGTGAAGTTTACATATGAGGAGGTATATCTCATTATAAAAAATTATGTAAAGTTAAGAAAGATAATCAATCAATTTGTAAAAGAACAGAAAAATGTGCGTGTTTCTCGCATTCCTAAATACATTGCAGAAGAAAATCACGTCAGTAAAATTCAATCAATTCAATGGGAAAAAAGACAAGACGATCCTATCACCAATGAGCACAGAGAGAGGAAAAGCAACACATCCCACAGTGCCTCCACTCCCCCATTAGATGCCACCCCGATAGAGATGTGCACATCTGTGAAAAAAAATCCGATTGAAAAAGATCAAGTTAATAGGAAGAGCAGTATATACAGAAAATTTCTGAACTTTCATTTTTACGGCCAGAAAAAAAAAAAAACAAGTAGCATTTGCGAAGGTGTAGAAAAAGATTTGCCAAGCGCGTTACAAAACAAATTTGAACATGACAAGATAAATGAACAGAAAAAGGAGAGATTGTCGGTGCACAATCAGCATGAACAGATAGTATGGTCGTCACCCCTGTCCCTGGCATCTTCAGCATCATTAGCAGCTGAAAACAAAACGAGGAATTGCTTAAAGGAGGAAAGGGAGGATTTATGCATGGTGAATCGAAACAAAAGCAAAAGGGTGAAGAATGAAAACAAGTTGATGAACGAACGAATTTTGCAAAACAGTGAGGTAAAACATGGAATAAAAATAATAATAGGTATTTTCAAATCATTAAATAATAAGAATTATAAACTATCATACAAAAAAATGTTTCAAATTGTAAAAAATTTATATTATATGCATAAAATTACAAAACGGGCAAGAGTAATACGAAGGAATAATGGATCTTTACTTTTTAACAACAATAAAATGAATTTTATACTATCCAGTACATGTAGCCCCATAGGAATTGTAAAGAATAAGTACACTTTTGCAAATTATTTAGTAGAAGAATTAATGCTAAGTGCTAATAAATTAGTGGCAATTCGTCAATACTTCAGCAAATACAGAGATATTTCAGTTTTCCGTTGTCACACTTTGGGAAATATTATTGAAACAAATGATATTATTGAACTTTTAGAAAAACATGGAATATATTTACAAGTTTCAAATTTGAGACATATTCTAAAATTTCTAGATGAAGCACGAAATATCTTGAAACAAACAAATAAAAATATATCCGACATTGTTTGTGCATATGCAAAGAAAAAAATGATACGCGCAGAATATCACACTTTTAAACATATAAAGGATAACAAAATGAGCACGTATCACTACGCTCTTTCTTTTCTTCTATACACACATTTTACATCTCCCATTCGGAGGTACCCAGATATAATGGTTCATCGTATAATGAAGAGAATCATCAGTGATGAAAACAAGCTCCTGGCTCACGTCTCCACAGCGCAGGAGATCTTGACCTCTGTGGACACCTCGGACGTGGTACGGATGAGCAACGATTAACGCCGATTAGAAGTGATGCAGCACCGATTAGAAGTGAAGCAGCACCGATTAGAAGTGAAGCAGCACCGACGTTGCAAAACATTTCTGCATTGTCGCTACACTTTTACGCCATTTTGTGAAAAAACAGCGCTTCCACTTTTTGCCCCACAATTTCTCGCACCACTTTCTCCATAATTTCCCAATTTCCTATATCTCCCATGCAGGATATCATCGAAAAAATATGCGAAAATTGTAACAACTGCAAGGCAAAATCCAAATGGGCCCAGATAGACTGTGAAATTGTTAGGAAAAAAAAAAAAAAAAAAAAAAAAAATTCTGCAACTGATTGTAGAAAAAAGAAAACCCCCCCTTACGCTGTTGTGTAACATTTCAGGACACAAAGCGAGACGTGTTTTTTCCATCATTTCTGCTTTTTCCATATTTTCCTTTCTTTCATTTTCTTGTATATTTAACGTGTTAATATTAATAGCTTTATATTTTGTACCATCCAATGTATATAAATTTTTTTCCTTTTTTTTTTTTTTTTCAAGGCCTTTTTTTGTTTGTATTTGCAAAAGAGAGACTACCCGGGGTACAACAGAGGTAAGTAGTCCCGTCCTTCCTTAATCATTCCTCCATTTGTTATTCCTCCACTTGTTACTCCTCCACTTGTTATTCCTCCACTTGTTATTCCTCCACTTGTTACTCCTCCACTTGTTATTCCTCCATTTGTTACTCCTCCACTTGTTATTCCTCCACTTGTTACTCCTCCACTTGTTATTCCTCCATTTGTTACTCCTCCACTCGTTTCTAGTTTTCCCATTTTTTACCCCATGACTTTACCACACATGTACCCACCCTTTTTGTAGGAATCATCATGGATATATACAGAGACAAGTCTTCCATATTCTTTAAATCATTCTCCTTTGAAAATGTATGAATGGACACTACTGATCATGGTGCCGAGTGCACATTGAGAAATGCCTACAGAATTTTCTAATCATCATAAACACAAATGCAACGTTTACATTACTATATCTGATTATCCCCTTTTTTTTTTTTTTTTTTTTTCCCCCACCCCAGAATCTCTACCACAGCGGCTTCGAAAAGCATATTAACAAAATGAATAAGAATCATCAGGTATAAATTTTCAGATAACAGTTGTGTCTTTGCATCACCATAACTACCACGTGTGTATGCTAAGGGATAAGAGAGTAGTAGTATCCTTTATATCACATGAATGGCTACCCATCAGTTCATTATATGAGCCATGTCCCAGCATACACACATAAACACATATACACAAACATACAAACACGAACACATTTGCACCGTTCCACCTTTTTCAGGAATTTCTGAGCAACTATATTATTCAAGCTAATACTGTCAAGCAGGAGGTAAAAATGAAAATTAAACAAAAAGGCTAGAGAAGAACCATTGTACGGATGAGAAATCCGGTTTTTTCAGAAGTATGCATATGATACAACTACACACATTCATTTTCTCGTCTCCTTTTTTTTTTTTTTTTCTCTCTCTCTCAGTTGACTCTTATTGTGTATAGTACTAATAAGAGAAAGGTGCATTTACGAAGGGTATACAAGGTAACGAAGAGAAACGAGAAAGAATAAATTCGGGCGAAAAAAACATAAAAAAAAAAAAAAAATATAACATTGTAAACCCATTTACGTTTGTGTTTTTTTTTTTTTCTACTATTTTGCAGCGCTTCGATTATATCCCTTTGTATTTTTTCCCACTGAATACAATGCCTCCCTCTTATTTCTTGGCTGTCGCACTTGAGAAATGAAAAGAGAATGAATAATAAATATTACAAAATGGTACTGGAGGGTATGTGTATGTGTGTGTGTGGCAGGACCTGTGATCCAATATAAAAGAGAGCCACATATTAAGGAATAAAGTACAAGTGGAGTGGGGGGTGAAGGGCTAAATTAAAAACCTTTTAAAGAAATGACAAAATCTGAAGAGAATTTTTTATGAAAAGGAGTTTAAGCCAGAGGAACAAGAGAAATGTGTTATTATAATATATCCCCTTTTTATTAACATCATGTTTTATTTTTCACTTTACAATGGAGTGTATCTGCTTTGTTTTCACCATTTCCCACATTACAAGCGAAGGAAAAGTGATAAAGGGATTGCACTCTAAGCATAAGCTGAACAAGCAATGTTTTTTTCCATTTTTCGCGCCTTATTTTTTACGCTTTATTTTTCGCGCCTTATTTTTTACGCTTTATTTTTCGCGCCTTATTTTTTACTCTTTATTTTTTTTTTTTTTTTTTGTTAAATCCAAAAGATATTTTTTGTGTGTAGTTTGTTACGTGACACTAATCACGCATTTTGCCACCAACTCAACTTGTCACTACCTCAATTTGTCAATAATCAATCGTGTTTGTGTAACAACCCTCCTTGTTAGTAATCCAATTTGGCAGTGACCCAATTTTCTATCTTTCCAGTATCGCCGTTTTTGTTTCCCACATTTTACCTCGCCCCAGAGGAGGAAGAAACGCATTCTTGCGCTGCAAGCAAACGAAAAAAAAAAAAAAAAAAAAAAAAAAAAAATCTTCTCCCTGAATTGGGTTTTTTCACCCTTCACATTCCCGAACGGATTTTTTTTTTTTTTTTTTCTATGGACAATATGAAGAAATTATGTGTGTATAATTGTACCATAGGGGAAACGTGTATTTTTTGTTAAACTTTTGATGAAGTAACCTGTTTGTGTTCCTCATCTCCTTCTGATCAACTTCTTTCGCAAGGTGCACACAATCTGAACTAACCAAAGCATGAACAACATAAACATTTTCGTGTACCTGTTGATATGTCCAATCAATTTGATACACGTGTTTGATATACCTAGTTCTTTATTCCAACTAAGAAATAAAACTGACAAAACATTTACATATGGGTGGCATGAAGGTGGAGAAGTTCAGACAGGGAGTGGATCCCACACTGAATATGATGAGATATACATGTTGGAGCTAGCCAAAGTATACTACCAAATTGTGCTTAAGAATAAAAAGGATATAAGACGAGGACAAGAAGAAAATTACGATTTAGTGATAAGTTCATTTGAGAAGAAAGACCACGTGGGGGAAGAGGAAAAAATTTCATTGCGAACTGTTCATGTAAAAATGGAGAATATACATTTACTGTATAAACATGTAGAAAACAAATCGTTCATTGAAATAAAAATAAAAAAAAATCATGTTATTAATTATATAAATCTATTCAGAAACAGTTATTGTATATATAAATTAAATGCAAATGATTACAATTTGATGAAGAGTTCATCAGATCATACCAAGTCAATAATGATAAGCTCGTATTATACATATATCTTGATCGCACTATTTTCCATGTTTATCTATGTTGAAAAAAGTTTACTTATAGAATTCCCAGTTTTGAAAAAATACGAGATACTTTTAACATTGTTTGTAATATTTGTCCCTATAATAATGTACCTTTTTTTATTTTATTACTACCTCAGCGTTGAACAAGTTATTCTCATTTATATCCTCTTTTATGCACTTTTCACAATTTTGCATAATAAAAGAAAAAATATAATCATAAGGAAGAATGGAGAAAAAAATATCAGAACAGTTGGCAATACTGATAATACATCAGATAGAGAAATAAATTCACCATATGAAACTCGTAACAAAAGTTTGATTCATATGAGACTAACGAATATGTGTATTACTTATATATGCATATTTGCAGTAGACTTTTTTTTTTTTCCAAGAAAGTTTAAAAAATCAGCTTTTTATGGGAACACATTAATGGATTTAGGAATAGGAAGTTGCATAACATCTAGTGCTTATTCGATAAATAAAAAAAAACTTTTCAAATCCATTCAAAAGAAAAAAAGTATAATCGATTTGAAATATTTTATTTTGTTTTTCCTAGGTATAGCTAGATTTGTTGCAATCACACTGTTTAGTTATAATTACAACATAACTGAATATGGACATCATTGGAATTTTTTCTTAACTCTTTTTTTTTCTTTTCTAATTTCGAACATAATATTTCATATAACAAAGAGCATTAGAAATATCTTCCTTCTCAGCTGCTTTTCTATTGTCTTGTACGAGATTTTTATATACTATTTTAATATTAAGAGTTACCTCTTGGATTACGACACACAAAGGATAAATTTTTTTTCTAAAAATAGAGAAGGAATTTTTAATACCATTGGGTCTATAAATTTATATTTATTTTCTTTCTCAATTTGGAATGGATTTGTCCTTCAGGACGAGACCGTGGCACCCGTTTCGACATGTCAGAATGATCAGACATGTAGCTCGAATGAACCAACAATTGAAGAAAACCGACACCCCATGGGCACTAATTCGACACTAGCCATTTCCTACTCACACCACTTCTGTCCCAGCTCCAGCTACTTCCCATACTACTACCGCTTCTATTACAGCCACTTTTCTGCTTATTTAGAGAATTATTTCCTCGTCTCCAGAATGAACCAGTGCAAGATCTACTTCAATCTGAAGCTCTTTGCTCTATCCATGTTCTTCTATGTACTACACAAGATTTTAAATTTTTATGAAAACTACAGTGTAAGAATTCTATGTAATGCAAATTATATTTTTATATCTTCATCTGTGAGTTTGTTTGCATGTGGCCTGAGTTATCTTGTTGAAGCATTATTACTTGGGGAAAAAACCACTGTCACCATTTTAGACAAAATTAATAAAAATTCTCTCCTAATATTTCTTTTTTGTAACATAATTATGGGTGTTTTTAACCTTCTATTTCAGTCACTTTTATACCCATTCCTTTTTGCTTTTATTATTTTAGTTATTTACACATTTTTAATGTTACAGTTTGCATCCATAATGCCGATCGTCCCAAAAAAAGAGAAAGAGGAATAGTTGAAAAGATTCTCAAGAGCTAGAGGAGGGGCCCTCTACAACAATCCATGTACACGATGAACAACAACATATATTATACGCATTACACACACGTGATGTTGAAAATTACTAGTATCGCGTAACATGCCTCTGTGTGGTATTTATACCTCGAATGTGTGTTTTTTTTTTTTTTTCTTTCTTTTTTCAAGATAAAATGTTTGTGTGCGTTGAAAAAAATGGCCAAAACAAGCCAAAAAAAAATGATCGAACAGCTTAAGTATTTTTACCTTTTTTTGGAAAATGATTAATTTTGTTTTTTATTGAACAACCCTTCCGAGATGTAATTTCTTTGCTCACACATTCGTGGGATATGAAAAGGTTGGTCTCACGTGAAAGAATAAAGAAAAAAAAAAAAAAAAAAAAAAAAAAAAATTGCTAACTTTGCAGAAAAGAAAAAAAAAAAAAAATAAAATAAAAATAATATTATAATATATCTGCATCCCGTTTTGTGTAAATGAATATTCACAATATGGTGGACAACCCTCTTCCACTTCTCATGGTTGTCAGGAAGTTTAACGGGCATAACACCGTGCACCTTTATCTTGTCTCCTATCTTTTTCCAAAGCGGAGGAAAACGAACAAAACGAAGGAAACGAGTGAAATGAACAAATGAGCGAAATGGGCGAAATGGGCGAAATGGGCGAAATGGGCGAAATGGGCGAAATGGGCGAAATGGGCGAAATGGGCGAAATGGGCGAAATGGGCGAAATGGGCGAAATGAGTGAAATGAACAAATGAACAAAACGAGCGAGTTGAAAAAAAAAAAAAACTTATGTACAGCTGTACGCACGACGTGGCCAACAACCTTTTGGGTTAATCTCTCAATATTGCATAACTTGCAAGCGGGATTATGGAAAGAATTTTACTCCTCTTCAAGACTTCATTAGTGGATTTCCCTTCTCATAGTGCATGTCCATCGCCACTTGAATGTAATGAGAGAGTTCACCCCTTTCCATGTTGATTTTGTTTTTCGAGAGAATATCATGGAACACCTTTACGATATTTTCCTCGTAATTTTTTATTTGCAAATCCACCTATTCCAAAAGAAGGGGGAAAAGTGAAATATAATAAAATAAAATAATCGATATCGAATGTATAGACAATCAATGGATCACCCAGCACACATCACCCAGGAAGCGTCTCCCAAGAAACACCACACCACATACTTGTCTCTCTTTTTCCTAAATTAAGTATACGTCTCCAAATTCAAGTAGTACAACCCGATGTAATAAAATAAAGTTACTTTTGAATAAAGATCGATAAGGTTCATCTCGTGTTCTTTTCTTTCGTGCGAAATGATACTCTTGAGCTCCTCATTTATTGCACATTCTTCCCTTATTCTGTTTTGTAATAATTTCAATTCTCTGCTTTGTTCATTATGTTTCTTTTCATGTATTTTTTTCTTCAGCTCTGATCTAAAAAATGGGCAGAAATTTTTTCATCACTGGGAATGTGTATATCTATGGGGCGTGTATGCGCATGCAAATAGTGAAATATAGGGAGAAAAAAAGTGAAAAAAAATAGGGAGAAAAAAAGGTGAAAATATATAGGGAGAAAAAAAGGTGAAAATATATAGGGAGAGAAAAGTGGAAAATAATGAATGTGTCGCTTCCCAAGCACAATTGAACGCGAAGAAGAGTACATTTCCTTTTTCAGGTTTTCATTTTCCCTCCTTTCGTCACTAATAGACTTGGCCATTTCGGTCTGCCACGTTTGTATGGAAGTCTATGAAAACAAGAACAGAGGAATGCCATATGTGTGCGAAACCCATTTTCAATGAGTTCCCATTGTGTCCTTTCAATTTGGGGAATTGTTCGTCTAAAAAAGTTTCTTCAAAATTGTATTTATCATATTTTTAAAAAAAAGGAACAACTCTGGTGCTTGTATCTAGCAGCGTTCAAGACAAAATAAAAATTGTTCAAAATACTTCCTATACCTTTGCTCTTTCCTTCACATCCGTTTCAAACCTTTTGCAAGCACTAATGCACATTTTGGTAATTTTTTCCTTGTCCTGTCTTTTTTCCTTCTCCTTTTTCCGCCCAATTTGTAGCAGTTCTAATGATATGTTCCTGTACTTTCTGGAAGGGTGTGGGAGGGGAAAATGTGACAAGTGCAAGCGAATACGTATGTGGTGAGGGGTATGTATGTATGTATCTATACATGTACACATATATGCTTTTTCTTTTTTTTTTTTTTTTTTTTTTTTTTCTTGGATGGGTTGGCTATCAAAAACTGAAGAGATGGATAGAGCCGCTTTGCTCTCATGCGTACTGAATTAAAAAATCTACATCCAAGAGTACTTGATTTTTTATTTGTCCAATTTGGAGGATATGTCTTTTTCGGATTTTCCTTAGGACATTTTCATACTTTTCAATTAAATAAATTTTTTCCCTTTGTTCTTCTTCATTTTTGTGTTTGTAAATTTCAATGGTCTTGATTAGCTGAGTTGGGTTTTTTGTGAGTTGCATGTGGAGTGGATGTCGGTCAATTTTGAAGATGTAAAAAGGAAGACTATATATATAACAGTTGTTTATACAGACGCAAAGCGCAAACATAAATGCACATGAATGAGTAGGGATATGCATATGTGAACGTTTTTTTCTGTACATTTATATTTCTCATCCTACTCGACGTTTTCGGTTTTTTCGACATTTTCGGTTTTTTCGGTTTTTTCGACTTTTTCGACGTTTTTTTCACCTGCGGAATGGGACACACATAATCTCCTTTTGAATCATCTGCGACAGGGATATCATCACTTCAAAGGAGAACAGAAAGCGTGAACAAATAAAATAAATAAATATATATATATATATATGGTGAAGGGGCGTAAGGTAGATATATGTCATCACTCGTTCTCTCCTCTCATGTAACAATATCGTGAACACATTTGATGATTTCACATTATGTGAAATTTTCAATTTTTGGATAACCTTCTCATTAATGTCTTCTTGGATATTTCCCTCGTTTGTACCTTTTCATTTTTGTGCTGACTTTGATTTTTTCCACCAGTACCATTAATTTTACTTTCTTTTTGTTTTGTCTCTCCCTTTTGTAGATTTTTCTTTTTCCTCTTTTGTATTTTTTTTTCCTTTTCTAGCTTGAACTTGAGACTGTGTAAATGCTCAATCAGAGTTTTTAACTGATAAGTCCATACACACCAAAGTTGTATACATGTATGCATATGTATGTTCGTAGATATATATAGGTGTGAAGTTTCACGGGTGTAGTTGCTACACGTTTGATTAAGCTTATCAACATTTTCATTACTTTTTTTTTTTTTTTTTTTTTTTTTTTTTTGTGAAATAATGTTAACTATATAAGTCACTGTAAAAGAAAAAAAAAAAAAAAAAAAAAAAAACTCACCTGTACAGCTATTTTATATCCATTAACTAGTTTAGGGTTTTGCTTAGTTTCCCGGTTCGGATTATTCAAAGTAATCGCATCTTCTTTATGTAATTGTTTTGTGTTATTAGTAAAATGATTGGGACTTGACATAGTGTCATTTATTTTGTTTTCATACTGAATTGTTTTCTTTCTTTTCATATTCGAAAATAAAAACTAGACACATGCACAAAAAAAGAAAAAAAAAAAAAAAATACTCTCGATAAGGTGATGTGTAAACTATTGGTGACTTTTCCACATGTGTGTTCTTGCAAGTATTTCCTTTCAAACAAGTATGGGGAAATATATACCATTAATTTTTATCAGTTGAGTAATGAAAGTAAAAAAAAAAAAAAAATTTGAGACAAAGATTAAGACAACAATGTGGACAACAATACAAACAAAAACATAAGCAGCAACATAAGCAAGAAACGGAGAAAAAAGTAAAAAAAAAAAAAAAAAAAAAAATTTTCTTGGGAAATTAATTTGGAATACATTTAAGGTTACGCATATATTCACCCATTTTGTATTTCCTCTTGACAGTGTAAAAGTTGGAATTTTTTTTTTTTTTTTTTTTTTTTTTTTTTTTTTTGAACTTTGCACTGCTTTTTAAAATTGCTCACCTTAACGTGTGCATAGCAGAGGTTTAAGGTGGGGAGAGAGAGAGAATAATTTCCAAAAAAGTGTGAGCACAAATATGTATGTGAATGTGCGGGCAAGCTCTTGGCATTTTATTACTTTCACGTTTCTTTGGCGTTATTTTTATCCTATTTTCCATCATATTTTCGTCCTATCTTCATGCTGTTTTTACTTTTATTTTATATTGTTTTGTTCTGTTCTTTTTTATTTTTGTTTACACCGCGTGTGGCTTGTGGGCAAGGGCCTAGTGGTATAGGTCCCTTTTGCTGGTTCCCACCACTTCCCACCGACATTCTCAATTGGGAAGTGAACTTCAACTATGCACACAGATACACATGCGTGTTTCTACATGACGACTGAAGTAACAGCATGGTGTGCTTATGCAAAGAAAGAGAGAGTTGCAAAGAGGACAAAAAAAATAAAACAACACAAAACAAAAGAACCGTGCATTTGGTACGCATGCATTATAGAGGACATGCAGGACGTCTCTGAATTGCCATTCCGATTTGGTAGCACACTTTTTTTTTTTTTTTTTTTTTTTATTTCATTTTTCTCCGCTTTTTTTCCTATGTTTTTCCATTTGCTTTTTTATATCTTTTTTTTTTTTTCTTCCATTTTGTGTGAATTTCCCTGAATAAATTCCCCTTATGTGAACTATTCAAGTGTGAGTGTAGGAAAAAGTCCGTAAATGAGACTCAAACGTGTACATGCTGAGAAAAATTACAACGGATTTTTAACCTTTTATTAAAAACTTTGTAATTGACAATTCGCACTTGGATCGAGATACCTTTTTTTTTTTTTTTTTTTTTTTTTGCATTTCGTGCGTTGTTTTTGTGCGGTTGTTTTCGTGTAGAACAATCCCAATACAACCGCTGGTAAGAGGTGTAATTGCAGGTAGAAGGAAAGACTGATTTGATTAACCATTTATCTTATTATCCTCCACAAGATAACACACAGAAAAAAAGAAAGTCTACCCCTGATAGGTTCCATTCTACCCACCCCCTTCACACATAAACATAAGTATAAACGTAAAGTTTTTTTTTTTTTTTTTTTTTTTTTTTTTTTTTTTTTTCTCTCTCAAAATGTACATGAGAAAAGTATTCAATGTGATGGGACTGGTGTTGGGAATAGGCAGAGCCAGCTGCATCCAAAAGAATATTGGTGAGAAGAAAAACATGCCAAGAAGTTGGATTGTCGAGCGGAAAGGGAATTCCAATAATATGCAATTCTTGGGAAGAGCAATAAATATGAAGAGGAAAAGCTTGCAAAGTCAGAAAATTTCCCGAAATTTAAGATACGCACAAGATCAGGAAAGCACACACATTGATCAGAAGCAAGATATAAAAAGAGGAGAATCAAATGAAGACATTTGCTTCATCGCAGGTGTAGGAGACACAAATGGATACGGATGGGGAATTGCAAAGGAACTGAGTAAAAAAAATGTAAAAATAATTTTGGGCATATGGCCCCCAGTATATAATATTTTTATGAAAAATTATAAAAATGGAAAATTTGATAACGATATAATTATAGAAGAGAATAAAAAAATGGAAATTTTAGACATCCTTCCATTCGATGCTGCATTTGATACATACAATGATATCGATGAAGAAACGAAGAATAATAAACGGTATGTAAATTTGGAAAAATATAGTATTGAAGAGGTTGCTAATGTAATACATACTAAGTATGGTACTATAAGCATGTTAGTTCACTCTCTAGCTAATGGAAGAGAAGTTGAAAAGAGTCTACTTGATACAACTCGAAGTGGTTATTTAGATGCACTAAGTAAAAGCTCTTACTCTCTCATATCTTTGTGTAAACATTTTTGCAAATTTATGAAACCACAATCAAGTATTGTTTCATTAACTTATCATGCCAGTCAAAAAGTAGTACCAGGTTATGGTGGAGGAATGTCAAGTGCTAAAGCAGCCCTAGAATCAGATACGAGAGTTTTAGCTTACCATCTTGGAAGGAAATATAAAATTCGTGTCAATACAATCAGCGCAGGTCCTCTTAAATCAAGAGCTGCTACAGCTATTAAGAAGGTTAGTCCAAAGAATAATATCACCCCTTCAGATGAAAATGAAATACAGAAAAAAGAAAATTACTCATTTATAGATTATGCTATTGAATACTCGGAAAAATATGCACCTCTACAGCAAAAGTTATATTCTACAGATGTCGGTGCTGTCGCATCCTTTTTGTTATCAAAACAGAGCCGTGCTGTCACTGGACAGACTATCTATGTGGACAATGGTCTCAATATCATGTTTGGCCCAGATGATTTGTTTCAAAATGGAGAAGCGGAATAAACTTCTTGTTCTTGCCAACGTGCTGAGACACACAGGAGAGATAGTGCACACACGTGACGCTGTTGTCACAGCCACGATGCGACAGCCACTCCTTCAAAGAGTAAAAAAAAAAAAAAATATAATAAACTAAAAAAAATAAAAAATAAAAAAAAAAATAAAAAAAAAAAAAAAAAAAAAAAAAAAAAAAAAAAAAAAAAAAAAAAAAAAAAAAAAAATAAAAAAAAAAAAAAAAAAAAAAAAAAAAAAAAATTAAAAAAATTAAAATAAAAAATTTATACGAAAAAAAAAAAAAAAAACTGAAAAGAAATGTGTTAATTAAATACCCCCATTTGTGTATTATATAAAAAATCGAAAAAAAAAAAATTTTTTACACGAAAAAAAAAAACCTGAAAAAAAAATGTTCATAAAATGTTCTTAAAACTAACAATATAATGCTATCAAAATGGTAGCAAAATAGTCCTAATTATTCCTATTTTTAAAAAATACATTTCACTGGAAATGGGAGAAAAGCGCGAGAGGTTTTATTTTTGTTTTGGCTATATTGACGCTCATTTCTCACAAAGATTTGGGGAGGATACATCCTATAACTCATAAAGCATAATAACCCCTTAAGACTTATACTTGGTAATTTTTTGGAGCTGTTTTTTATATGTCATATAGGTTGGGTCTTCCTCTGTTTTAAAGAACGGATAAATATTTTTAAATATTCCATCGGCGCTTATAACAACTTCGTCTTCCTCTTCTTCTTCATCATCGTCATTTTCAGAATGGTCATTTTCATCATTATCATTTTCACTTTCAGAATTGTCATATTTGCCAAGGGAACTTTTCCCGCGATCTTCTTCAGCGTCTGATTCTGACACACACACCCATTTTGCATGCGATACAGATTTTCTCACATTTTTATGAAAATTAGGATGTTCTTCAGTTTGTTTCTTTAACAAATTTGTAAACCATATCTTCTCATTTTCCTCCAAGTCAAGATCCGAATCCACAATCAATTCTTCGTTTTTATCTGAAAGTTCGTTTTTATCTGAACGTTCGTTTTTATCTGAACGTTCGTTTTTATCTGAACGTTCATTTTTATCTTGTATATAAAGGCCTTCATCAAATGTAGTAGCGTCATTTTTGTTACTTCTCTTCAATGGAGGAGAGTCATTTTTTTTTACTTGCTCATTCTCGTCCCTTCTTGTGTAAAATTCATCATCATCTATTATATCTTCTTGGGGAATATATCGAGGTACTTTAAAAAGTGTTGTGCTCTTACTTTCCTTCCACCTGTTCTTTTTTTCCATTCCTTCTATATTTTCAAAAAAAAGGGAAAAAAAAAAAAAAAAAAAATTTCGTTATGTTAGGTTTGTTTTCCCCAAAAAAAACCTTTTTGGTTACAACTATATATTTTTCTACTATTAACAACTGTTTTTCCTTTTTTTATTTATTCATTTATTTTTTCACATAACGCTTGTAACTGTTAAAATCTTTTCTCTTTAAAAAAAAAAAAAAAAAAAATTGAGAAACACAAAGAATGGGAAATGCCTGATAACTCAACTCATCATTATATTTTTAAAAATGAACAAATTGGCAGTTTCAAATTGGGGGAAAAATATCTTTCCCAGCTAAAAGTAGCAGCTAAGTTTGTTTACAACGTTCACTGTAGCATGTAATGTACTACATAAATATATATACATATATATACATATATATTGTATGCAAAATGGATCTATATTTTATTTTATTTTTTTTCACGTTCCTTTAGCCCTCCCCCACGTGATGCCACTGGTTGGGAAAATATCGGAAAAAATATATGTTTCTCAACCCATGGAACGAAAAAAAAAAAAAAAAAAAAAAAAAAAAAAAAAAACAGTTGAGTATTTTTCAAACATTTTTAAAAATGCAAAAATGGAAACTTCTAATAATTTATATCAACATGCCCTAATCTACTGAAACATTCTTAGTCGGGGCATATCACATGACGAAACGGAGTAACGAAAATAAAAAATGTAAAAAATTTCCCAATCGATACTTCAAAATGGATGACCCAAAAAAAAAAAAAAAAAAAACACCATTTTGCCATATCCTCCTCCAAAATGGGTTGTACATATATATATATATATAAGTATAAATTTAAATATATATATTTATATATATGTATAAATAAAAATATTTATGTGACCACACACTGCGTACGCAAAAGACACGTGGTGTCTATGTGGGTATAAAGTGCCATTTGTTATATGAAGGTCAGAAAGGGGAATAAGGAGCCTTCCTTGAAAGAGCCCCTTGGTAAAACAAAATAATCAGGAATTACTTGTTATGTACTTGAAAAAAAAGTGTAGATTATTCTGGAAATTATCATAAAGATGCATAAAACGTCTGGATCTTTTATAAGAAATATTATGTTTAAAATGAACTTTATGTATTTTTTTGGTAGAAACATTATTATGGTGCGTTTTTTTGAGACTTTTTTTTTTGTCTCTATTTCGTTGGTAAATATAAAGAGCTAATTTATCCTCCTCTTGAAATACCATATTGTTGTAGGATCTGTTTTCCACATTTGTCAATCCATTTTTATACAAATTTTCCATGCACTCGTTGCAGCTATTTCTGCACCCTTGCCATCCATACGAGCCCATGTAGCTATTATTTATTTCAATTATTTTGTACAGCTTGTTCAGTTTGTTTTTCCACAGTAGCGTTCTTTTTCGATTCACTTGGTGGTCCACTTGATGATCCACTTGATGATCCACTTGATGATCCACTTGGTGATCCACTTTTCCAGCTCCGATTTGTATCTCCTGAATGCACTTTCTCGCATGGATGCCATTTCCCATTCTGGTCATATATTTTCTGAGTTCATTTGGTGTCTGTATATGTTTTTCAGTTTGAGAAGTACTATTAAGTCCACTTTTTTCCAGATTGCCCATACCGCTTCGAACACTTCCACCACTTCGAACACTTGGCCCCTTCTTCCCCAGGTTTTTCCTTTTCCTCTTGTTGAGCTGAACAGATCTATTCTTGTTAATGGCTATCTGATGCAGAATGAGAGGAATGGATCCGATGAGCGGTCCCAGAATAAGCCCCTTAGAACCAAAGGTACTAATTGATAAAAAAAGAGAAAGGGAGACAAGCCATGCATGTGTGTGTGGGATTTCGGTATAAATAGTCGTGGTAAAATACATATAGATGAAAAAATTAATTATTAATAATACTGTAGATATAATTTTTTTTTTCTGAATTATCCATAGATGAACAATAATGACAACTATAATTATTTCTGGGGATATAACTGGAATGAGAGACAAGATGATACAAAGTAATGTTGGAACATATATAATTGGGAATTCAAAAAAGGAAAATATTAACCAAATGTATAGAGTGTAAAAGTATACTCTTTTTAATGTACATATAATTATAGCCTTTAAATTTTTGGTAATGTTATAAAAAAAAATACTAGATGGATCAACTACTAGTAATATATCTTTCAAATAATTCAAGACGGATTTTTTCGATGATATTAAATAATATAGTGCTGTGAAAAATATGATTCCCTGAACAATTGCATCAAATGTGTACATAAAGAAATTAAAAAATATGAACAAAAAAAATATCATTATTTTTATTAGCCCATAGCTGTTATTAAATATCAAATGTTTTGTTAATTTTCCTAAATCTTCTATTTTTTTCAAGGAAGAAAATAAACTGTTTAAATAGTTAATAAATTCCTTAAATTTAAAATTTTTTTCCTTTAGAGGATCGTATAGATTAACTCTACGATCAAGTTGGTGATTCTTCTCTTCATATGTTTCTAAAATTTTTTTTTTTTTTGAATCAAGCATACACTGTTCACTTACATCTGTGGTACATTGCTGATATTCTTCTACGTTTCCTTTTGTCACTTTCCTCATGGAACTGATATCAAATATGGTGTTAAAAATATTCTGATTTACACCAGGATTTTCACAATTTGGGTTGTGAATCGATCTGGAATTGCCATCTGGACAATTGCTGCTTTTAATCGAAAAGAGAAAAATATTTTTTGACAAAAAATGTAGTAACTTTTTTAAACTGAAGGATGTGTTATTATCGTCTATGTCACCTAAACATGCTTCGATGGAACATTCTTCACCAGTTTTGGGTAAAAAAATTTTATAATTTTTTTTTTTTTTTCTTTTTTTTTTTGTTTCATTCAAAAAATGGAAAATACGTTTTCTAACATTAGTCAAGTTATGTCCATCTATCATTAGAGAAAATCTTTTCAAAAAAAGTGGAACACAGCAAACACTTATCAACCGTGTCTTATTTTTTAAAAAGCTGTATGCATACACATGATCATATATGTCAAATGCTCTTTTCAAATGCCTCGAAATGGATTCTAAAGTTTGATTACTCAGAAAAGGTACTTTGTTCACATTTATTAGTTCGTACAAATTTTCGATATCATCTTTTCCTGGTTTGCGATAGAATTTTCTGAAATTTTTGAAGATCGAGGTCTGTAAATGTGGGATGAAGGGGTAACACGTGTGCATGTGTGTATGTATGTATGTGGTGGTGGTGGGGGAGTGATTATGATGGTTAGGATTGATTTGAGATTGTGTCATATGTGAGGAATAAACATATTAGACGCGACGAATGGAGATGGGATGGGACATGCACCTGTCATAGTTGAACCGCTTACAAAGTTCAAAGAGTAGGTGCTTTCTTTTGTTTGAACTCACGTTTCGAAAGTTGGAGGAGAGGTATGCGTTCACTGAATTAATTATATAGAGAGACTCTCCATATATATTAATGATAAATAAAATAGAAATGGAAGAGAAAATAATTATTGAGAAAAAAATGATGAAGACGGTAAGAATGTCATTCATGTAATGCTTGTAGAAATAGGCGTAAACGAAAGAAAGCCTGCGACAGTATTTCGTGTAATACTTTTTGAATATAGTATAAAAGTAAGAAATCCATATAATCTTTACAATTTTGTAAAAGAAAAAAAAAAGTAAAATAAACATACCAAAGGATAATAAAAATTCTTTATATTTATGGAATATTTCTTTTAAGATATAAAAAAGTATAAGTCTGTGTAGAATGAGAAAATAAATTTCACTTGCATTCCTTTGTTCATAGTGCTCCATGTGATTACTGAAATTTTCTTTTTTTTCTCCCTTTTTTTCTCCCTTTTTTTCTCCCTTTTTTTCTCCCTTTCTTTCTCCTTTCTCTTCTCTCTTATATATTGGCTTAATTATTAATAAGAAAATGTGCAAATATATATTTAACTCTTTCTTTACATTTTTCACAATTTTGTGAAATTTCTTTTCATATTTTTTCCATGTTCCCACTTGGTTAACAAAACTTATTTCTCTCTTCCCCTCCTTGCATTTATCTGAATAGGCACAATTTGAATTTTTTCTCATAATGTCTTCTTTTGTGTAATCCTCCAATTTATAGTGCGAAAGGCTCATCAAAGGTTGCGTCCTTACATTGCCACAATTTCCAATTCCATCATAAGAACCATTTATCATCCACGTCTCTGCTATGATTTGATCTGATGAGATATTCTCCTTTCCCCTCGAGATATCTCCATTTTCATTTTTCTTTTTTTTTACAAATTTTTTTTTTAACAACTCGGACAATTTCACCTTAACATGGTGCAGGGGGATAGACACGATGAAGGCCCAGAACAAAGAATAAAAGTAGTATTTCAAAATTATGTAGTTGTAATACACACACAGTATGAGCAGTATGCCTGAACAAGTGAAATGGGCGGAAATAATGTAATGTGTGATACAATGTGGTGATGTGTGATACATCGTAGTGATGTGTGATACATCGTAGTGATGTGTGATACATCGTGGTGATGTGCAATGGGATGTGGTGCCCCTTCTGCACGTTTTAGGTCGAGTCCCATATTTAGCTGTTGCATCAAAATGAAGAATTCGCTTTCACACTCTTCTTCATACCTATTAGATACACGATGAAGTGGACGATGGCCTTTTCCGTCTCGTGCTTAAACAAATTCCCCTTATTCATTTTTCTAAGTCATCTTGTTAGTACAGTTGAACGGGGTGGAATTAGAAGTGGGAGGAGTGGCAGTAGGATTAGAAGTAAGAGTAGAGATGAGACAAAGCGAAGAAGGGGAAAAAACAAATATAAAACAAAGCAAAAAAGTGAATTAAATAGGCGAAATAAATGGGCAAAATGAATGGGCAAAATATAACTTGTACTAACTATAGAGAGACCAACTGAGTGAGGGGAGGAAAATATATTCAATGATACACTACACACATTCTAAGCAAATGCCCATGGTTCCTGCCATGTTCCATGAGGTCTGTGTCATGGTATTATGTTCTTTGTGAACATAGGGCATGCAAAGTGGGAGTAGGAAACAAGTGCATAATAAAATAAATAAAAAAAAAATAAAAAAAAATAAAAAAAAATAAAAAAAAATAAAATAAAAAAAAATAAAAAAAAATAAAAAAAAATAAACAAAACAAATGAAACAAAAATAACTCCTTAAATAATGAGTACGAAATCGAAATGAGAAATGGCTAAACTCAGAGGAAGATCTACTCCACAAGAAAACTACGCAAGCGGGTTTGTGTTCTTTTTAAGAAAAAAAAAAAAAAAAAAAAAAAAAAAAAAAAAAAAAAAAAAAAAAAAAAAAAAAAAAAAAAAAAAAAAAAAAAAAAATTTTAAAAAAAAAAAAAAAAAAAAAAAAAAAAAAACACTCAAATGTGTTACATTTTTCACTTTAATGACTATTTTACTCTGGGGGTTGAGGGAAAAAAAAAAAAAAAAAAAAAAAAAACGTAAAGGCAAAATAATAATAGAAATAAAACCTACTTTTTCCCTGTAGCAATTTTGACCTGTTCGTCGTTTTTACACAAAAGGGTTAAATGAATAACATAAGGTAGAAGTTACACATTTCCTCCTCTTTTTGTACTTTCCCTCAGAGGAAAAGTTTTCATTAAGCACATGCTGAATAGGAACAAACTTTACGAACGTAGAGGAGAATTAATTAAAAAGAGATTACTAAATCAATGAAAAATAAAAATGGGCTAGGGTCAATCAATTGATAAATAAGGAAATTCACAATAAGAGAGATGTACAAATACAATAATTCGTGAAGGACATACAGAATTCCATACATTTTTGTTTAACGACAACCTCCGTGAGAAAGGAAACACGCAAAGTTGATTACTTTGTGGGATTTGCATGATAAGGAAAAGTAAAATAAAAAAAAAAAAAAAAAAAAAAAAAAAAGATTCAAAGAAAAGAGGAAAAGGGTAGAATTTTTTTTTTTTCTGTGGTCTAAATATGACCATAACCTTATCTTATTACACATTTTTTTTTTTTTTTTTTTACGCATATACAACCCCTATTTTGTTATTTCCAGCAGAAATAGCTGAGATGACTCCGTTTCACTTTTTTACTTAAGAAAAAAAAGGCATCTCTACTCCATTAAGCAAACTATAAGTTGTTAATCCAACTTTACTCCTCTACTTCAAAGCATAAAAAGAAAAAAAAAAAGAGCTTTTCTCCCCCGTTGGCTATACAACACAGCTCTAGACCAATTCACACGGGTGAAATTCCTATAGACATCTAGCATAACTGAAGTTGGAAATCAGGATGAATTTAAAAAGTAGGAAAAAGGATAGCAGCAAAATGTGTGGAATGGAAAAAGTTGTGTGTAAATATGAAGGATATTAATGCATAAAAAAAAGAAAAAAAAAAAAAAAAAAAAATTCATACACCGTTTAATGAAACTTTACAATAATATAAAAAAAGCACTCGTGGCAAACCTTTACTTCTTAAAAATGGAACAAATGTCCAAATATTTCAACAAGGAGAAAGGGAAAAAAATACAAATAAAGTATGAACACAAATACAGTGATGATAGTAACACCAATTGGATAAAGGAGGAAAAAAAAATCTACACAAAAAAAAAACACAACCTTGAAAAGGAAAATATAGAAATTTATCAAAATGAGCAGCTAGCCAAGAAGCTAAGTACAAATGTCATGCAGGAGGAACAAAGGAACTACACCGCCAGAAGGCTAAAGGTAAAAAAGAATGAATTAAAAAAAGTTAATAATGAATTTAGAATGAAGTCAATTAAGATAAAGAGAGAAGAAGCACATAACGGAAGAGAAGATCATCAAAAATGTAGTAAGGGGACAAGAGGGACTAGTGTGAAACGTGAAAATTATAAGGTGGAGAGTGATATTATGAATAATGCTAACACTCAGAATGGCGATGAGAGGGAATTAAAGCAGCACTTCCTACATACGTACTACAAAATAAAAGAAATGCGAAAAGATATTGTGGCACCTGTGGATAAGTACGGGTGCCACATGTTAAGTGAAAAGACGGAAAATGAAAAGGTATATCGATTCCAAACATTAGTCTCATGTATGTTATCTTCAAGGACGAAAGATGAAGTTACTGCAGTGGCAATGGGCAGGTTGAAAAAGCACGGGCTGACTGTTCATAATATTGTAAATACATCAGAAGAAAAATTAAAAAAATTAATATATGGTGTTGGCTTTTATAACACTAAAGCAAAACAACTTATTCAAATTTGTCATATTTTGAAACAAAAATACAATTTCGATATACCACATACATATGAAGAATTAATAAAACTTCCAGGAATAGGGGAAAAGGTTGCTCATCTTATTTTACAAACAGCCCTAAATAAACATGAAGGAATAGCAGTAGATATACATGTACACAGAATTGCCAACAGATTAAATTGGGTAAATACAAAAAATGAGGCTAATACACAAATCAAGTTAAAAAATTATGTACCAAAAGATTTATGGTCTGAATTAAATGGTCTTATGGTTGGTTTTGGCCAAGTAATATGTAAAGCGAAAAATCCCCTCTGTGGTAAGTGCACACTGGTTGATTATTGTCAGTATTACAAAGATAGTCAAAATGGAAGTACTCCTACTAGAGGAGGAGGTGGTACCGGTCTTCCCAATTAATACCAGTGAAGAGTAGAACTTATTGCAGGGATGAACACACCTCATTGTGATGAATCATATTGGACTATGTTTCATTTAGGCACTGAGAATCCTTATTCCAATTTTTTTTTTTTTTTTTTTTTTTTTTATGAACTGTTCAGAAAATTCATTAACGAACATTTTTGAAAGGTAAGCTATCTCATTTTTTAACCCACTTTTTAATATCTTGGCATTACCTCGAGATATACACACATTACCGTTCAGGACCTACGTACTTATGGTTTTTTGTCCTTCCCTTATTTCTTTGACCTACTAAGGAAATTTTCACGGGGTTGCGAATGTCCATTTATTGTATTATTTGGACATTGGGATGTGTGGAAGTTTTAGTGTTCCACTTTTCAATGTTGCACTCTTTAATGCTACATTCGCCAACTCACCAATTCAGGAATTTTTTTTTTTTTTTTTTTTTTTTTTATTAAAATGACCTTGCCGTTCATAACATTTGAAGGTCGTGCCCAACATTCGGTGGTGCCAAAATAAATTTTTATTTTAAAAGAACTTAAAAACTAAAGCAAAAAAACGGACGAGAGTAAGCAGGGAAAACTTCGCACATTTGCATAAGTCAACAACATACTCCTCTTTTATGTTAATTAAAAAGAAAAAAGAAAACTACATAAATTAAACACACATATACACACACAAAAAAAAAAGAAAAAAAAAAAAAAAAGAGAATTATTAATAAATTCGTTTATATTTATAAGTACAAAATTTACAAATGTATCTGCACAATGAAACAAAGACATAGTGACAGGGAAAAGTTAGAATAAACCGAGATCATAAAATCGAATATTATATACACATACGTATTCATCACGTATGTCCAGTCTCACAGATTTGGACAACAACAAAAAACAAAAAAAAAAAAAAATATATCAAGCGGTTTTGTGTGCGTTTATGACACGTATGAAATAGGGTAAGTCCCACCCCCACATATGCGTCTGTTATGTGTAAGACACGTCTCAAATTTACTGCTTCACCAGGGACAATGCTCTCCAGCCGGGCAAAATCCATATTTGTAAATTTCTAAAAAAGGGGGGGGGGAGGAGGAGGAGGAAGAGAAAAATGCGTAATCGATAGATTAAATGGATTATAGGAGTGGTAAATGAATATGTGATGCTAGAACAAATGGACGAATTATAGGAGGACTTTCTATGCATGCAGTATTCCATGACCTACCTGAACTTCTGAATCTGTTCATACATATCAAAGGATATGAACAGATCATTGCTCCATAGACAGTACAGGGAATCAAAATGATTTTTCTTCAAAATGTATATTAACTCATCCCCCTCTTCTTTATTGGGATCGGAAATATATTCCGTCCTGGAATTCATTATTTTTCGAAAATTTTCATTATTCATATAATCAGCTGGTTTATATTCGCGAGTGAAGAATAACCCTAACTGTATCACTCGAACATTGTTTTTTTTCATTTTTTCAATGAAGCAAGTGAATATAGTGATGCACTGGGACCGATTTAACTTGTCAGTGTATAGAAGTTTGCTAATAATAATATCTTTTAAATTAGTTAATCTTCCTACAAAGGGTAAAAGTTCATCTCCCTTTAATTTTACGTCTAATACAAGTCGTTCTAAATTTTCAAATTTGTTTTCAATTTCGAAAATTTTCATATTCCATATTTTTCTGCGCTCAATAATTTTTAAAACGTTTTCCATGGACTCCTCATCCTTAGCGTCTTCCGCTGATCTGTGTGCCCTTTTTTGTGCCGTTTTTTGGGCTGATCTTTCATACCGCTTCTCTGATTCCCCATTTATCTTTTCTCCACATCTGTAATACTGATTATATAAAAAAAAATCATTCATCTCGAATGCATAATCGATAAATTCATTTGTAGAATCGTTTCTCTGTTCATCTTTAAATCCCTGTTGAAATTTTTTGGAATGGACATCATCGGGGTCTCTATTTTCCTGTTTATCATTTTTATCATTGCATTCGTTTGGATACGTCACTTGTCCTATAGCTGTTTGTGTAATCTCCTGTTCGTCTGTTTCTCCACCAGCTATTTGACCTTCTGATGGACTGGGAGGATGGTTAGAACTCGTGTCTCTAGAGAGACAAGAATTTTTCTTTCCTTCTTGAAACTTTTTTCCGTTTAAAATAGTTGAAACCATGGGATGAACCCCCTCAAATATGTAATTAGTGTTTTCTTTTCTGCAATATATACGAATATCTTTCAAGTGTGTGAAATGTTTTATGACTAAGTTGATAATCATTTCTGCACTTGTATTCTCATTAATTGATAAAAACAAAGATGAGGCGTTGACAAAATATTTATTATATTTTTTGAAAAAATGTAATTTAAATATGTCTACATCTAGGAAACGCACATCTAAATTATCCCATGCATATTTCGTATGAAATGCTTGATAAAATGATCTACTTAATAATTTACAATTCCACCTTTTCGAGAAGGGAATAAATGATAGAATATTGCACACGATATCGGCGTTTTGGAAAATATTTTCTTTTTGATTTCTCAATGGAGGGATTAGAACTTCATCCTTTAGATATATACTTTTATCGATTCGGTTGTCATTACCGTTCACATGTCTTTTATTGTTGCAACCATGGATGGATGGAAACAGTTTACATTCCTCTGTTCCCAGACGCGCATACTTATCGAACATGATATCATAGTGAAAATTTCTTTTTTTGCTTTTATCCAGCGGAATAATGTCATCACTGTCAACCATTTTAGATAAATGACATTCCGCTTCTATTAATTGTGCATTAAGTGTTTGCGGTTCAGTGTGTGCATCTTAACGTGTATGCTCCTGTGCACGCAGCTGTGTTTGTGTTACGAGAAGTGTTTTTAAAAAATGGAATATGACCCAATCGATGGGATAGTGAAAAATATAAGGCATAGAAAGCAAAATGCAAAATGAATGTACAAAATGTAAAGGTTAATATAGGAAACACAAAAATTAATATGTTAAATAAAACATTGAAGATAAAAAGATCCAACGTGTTGTCGCTGAAAAGTCACCAACAGTGCATCACAGCATTGTTGTTATGAAATTCCTATTGGTGCTTTTTTTTTTTTTTTGTGCATGTATGCGACAGAGATAAATGACTTATAAGAGGGATGAATTACAACTCCTCTTTTTCAAAAATGCGATACAGGAACGAACGAAAAAATGCAAGATTTTTCATTTTCCAAATGGACATGTGGAGTGCACTCTCGAAAAGAACATCCCTGTCTGCAACTTGTAAACACGCAAAAAAAAGGGGGGGGGGGGGTAAGTTAAGAAGGGTAGAAAAATGGCAAAAACGGTAAAAGCGGAAAAAACGGTAAAAACAATAAAAGTAAAAAAGAATTGACTCACGTTGGGTGATGTTAACCAAAAGTAGAAGTAATATTAGCTAAAAGGTAGTTAAAAAATAATGAGCACACACGCACACACACAAAAAAAAAAAAAGGAAAAGGAAAAGGAAAAGGAAAAGGAAAAGGAAAAAAAAAAAAAAAAAAAAAAAACAGGCCAATATAGTGCCTACTATGCAGAAATTATTTTTAATTTTTTCACCTTTTTGTTTTATTTTATATATTTATATGTATATTTTGTTTTTTCCAACTTCGAAAATTTTAAAACAATTTTTCGAAAAGGTTTATCACTTTATAAAAATTTTGAAACATCCACTGCACCTGCGGTCCTGTGCTCGGTTACCCATATTGTGCATACATTTATGTGCATCGGTTCATGCTTGAACTTTTAACAAGTGTATGAAAATACAAACGTCCATACACATTCCCAAGAGTGTATACGTCCACTCGATGCACCATTTGGACACATGCTAATTCTATAATGAGTAAGAACATAATGCGTACTGATGAGGAACGAAAGGAGTGTAGAGGCTAACTGTTTTGCATGTTAAACACAGCTGATATGTTATTGTGTTATGAAAAGGTTAATGAATGAGAAATACGGAAAGTAATGTGTATAAAAAAAAAAAAAAAAAAAAAAAACTCCACCTAGTGCATATATTTTACTCTATTCTGCTGCACACAGACGTTGTTAAAGGAGCAACAAAGGAAAGACGTAAAATGAGAGGATAATCGTATGAACGGATAAGCGAATAAGCAAATAAGCGAATGAATAAATTTCCGCTGCACACAAAGCGAAACCGGCAAAACTGAAAATCTACAGCGAGGAGAAATGCACACGAATTAGCGTCATGAAAAAAAAAAAAAAAAAAAAAAAAACATCTCTCATATACAAAACCCAAAATGGGAAGGAAAGGAAAGATATGTTAAAACTAAACACTTGTAATACGTTCCTATGTGAAAAATACATTGTGTAGGCACATGTTCACAGTTGTTTAAGTTGAAAGAACACGCAAGTCGCAAGTGATTTTGTTCATATGACCAAGTGCATATTATCATATGCACACAACCATCTTCACTCTCGCAGAAAAGGAACTTTTTTTTTTTTTTTTTTTTTTTTTTTTTTTCGAATGTGCAAAAGGGATGAAAAGAAAAAGTGAAACTCAAGAAGAGAATTTCAGCGCTGCTAAAAAGAAAAAAAGGAAATCGTTACTTGCTGCTTCCACCTCCCGTGAACAGAAAAAAGAGAATTACCTTTCTTGCAAAACCAAGAATTTTAACAATTTGGAGGAGTTATTCATTGAAAAAAAATTATTTTTTTTTAATTTCTTTTTAAGTGCTAAATATAACAAACAAAAAAAAGAAAAAAGTTCAGAATGTGATAAATCAGTTGGGTCGATTGCATCAGTTGATGATACTGAATTGGGAATGTACTGCCTTAAGAATGGTGAAAAAATATTCTTCGAACAGAGCGAGGGCCATAAAAATAGGTGGAATGAACAAAGAATAGCGAAATACGTGCACAGTGCAAGCGAGAGTGGAAAAATCGGGGATACGCAAGAAAACAGTGCAGAGGAGGGAGAGTCCAATGAAAAGACAAATGAACCAAGGAGGGGGAAAGACACAGTCGAATTTTTCATCGAAAAACACTCTAACATTTTATTACAAAAGAACTTTTTTTTTTACGTAAAAAATTATATCCACAACATTTTGAGAAATGTGGATATTTGTATACAGGACAAGCTGAACGAAACTTTTTTTGAGTTTTACAGCATTTTTAAAAACAATAAAAAAAAGATTTACTTAGACAATTCCGAAGAATTGTTAAGTGATCTGTACTGTGACTTCTCTGAGGTGTCGGATGACAGTGATTACAACTACTTTTTTGAAAAAGCGAACCAAATAAATGAATACGAGGGGGAGGAGGATGCAGTGGATGGAGAAGAGACGAATGGAGAAGAAGCGAATGGAGAAGAGGCGAATGGAGAAGAGGCGAATGGAGAAGAGGCGAATGGAGAAGAGGCGAATGGAGAAGAGGCGAATGGAGAAGAGGCGAATGGAGAAGAGGCGAATGGAGAAGAGGCGAATGGAGAAGAAGCCGATGGTGCAGAGGAACGAATAGGTGAGTGTAAGGAGACACATACAAGAGGCAGCTCAGACGATTTGAGAAAAGAGGTGGAATTCCACTCATGCGGTGGAGAACAAGGAATGGAGGGCATTGCTAGGGGTAAGAAGAGCAGGGATAATTACCTCATTCCAAAGTTAAGCAAGAAATTTAGCTTGTTGCACTTTCAAAAGAGGAATTCTCTTTTATCAGTTGATGATGATAAGAACAGAAGGGAGGAGAAGGATCGTAAATTTAAAAAGTATGCCTGCTTCCGTTGCAGAGAAATGGGGAGTGCCGGTTCAAATGGCAGCTCAGGTGATGGTTCGGATGCCGATTCAGGTACCCACTCAGGTAATCGCTCAAGTGAGGGACAACGGATGTGTGATGAAATGTATCACCATCAAGGAAACTTGAAAGTGTGCATGCTTCAAATATTCATTTCTAACTTAACGAAAGAAGAACTACTTTTTTGGGGGAAAGTGAAAAGGTATATAGAGAACTCTCTTGGGACCATACAATCATGGGTGTTTTTCAGAGGAATGGCAAATTATGTTGAAATTCCGTATATAGAAATTATAGATGAAATTAAGGAGCGTCGTGGCGAAGAAGAATATTTAAGATTTATAAAAAAAAAAAAAAAAATACTCCTTTTAAGAAAAGAACAAAAAAGCATCAAATGCTTATTTGAAAAAACGATAAATTCTGTTCGAATTTCAATGAAATATGACTTAACATTAAAGAGTGAGAAGTTTAACTATTTATTTAAAGATCGTATATATAAATATAAAAAATTTATAAGAAAAAAAATTTTTAAAAAAAACCCTACTGAAAAAAAAGACATATATAGCAACAAGAACGTTACGTGGAATTTACACGATTACATGAATCCCCCTGTTTTTAAAAATACCACCAAAAAAAATTATGATTTTTCAATTCTTATTCATAGTATGCATTTGGAATTATATGGATATATTTATATGCGCAATTATGTATTCTTCTTAATTATCATGATGGAAGTTTATTTGTTCATATATTTTAATGACCTTGGATACACATATTCTAATAACACAGATTTGTTTCTAGACCAGATTTTAAAAAACCTGTTTACTTGACGACAGGTCACACGAGAGGGATAAGGGAGCATCAGCTCTTTCAGTATAATTCCACCCTATTGAAGAGAAACATGAGTGAGACCCATAAGTACATGATGCACAACGGTTGTGTATACACATATGATTGTAGAAAATCTCTCTCACTCTTTCTGATCCCTGTAAATGAACAATCATACACGTAGATGTCCTCATTTACTCAATCTTAACAATGTGTACCTTAACTAATATTATTCTCTACTTCAACATTTTTTTTTTTCATTTTTGTGATGTAAACCCATTATGTGTGCTCATTTTTTTTGATGACTTTTCACCCCTCCTCTGGGTCTTCATATTAACACATGATCGCTGCGTCTCACAAAAGCAAAATATGAACACGTCAGAACAAAAATCAAATAAATTAAAAAATGGGAAAAAAAAAAAAAAAAAAAAAAAAGAGACGGACTTCTTTTTAGTGCCTTTCGGGAAAAGAAATAAACAAGTAAAAAAAATTAGAAAATTGTTTCTTTTTTTTTTTTTTTTTTTTTTTTTTTTTTTTTTTTTTTTCTTGTGGAAAAGTCTCACCTGAACGTTGAAAACAAATTACAAGTTGAAGGGTGGGTAACAAAAAAAAAAAAAAAAAAAAATCCCACAAACTCAGTTCTACGCCAAAGGAAATTTTTTATGTTCAATCGACTCTATATAAAAAAATCCTTATATGTATGCAGAGAGCATACAAATAGGGAATTCTAAGTGAGTACATATCTGATGAACAATCGTTAAACAAAGCATTCAGACATGTAGGACATTTATGCGTGAGGTTCTTTGAAAAAAAGTAGTTTACTTATCATATTGGAATAGTCTATATATAGTAAAGGATGGGGGGTGGTGGTGGTGATATCTGCTATATTTATGAGTGCATTTTTTTTTTTTTTTTTTTTTCTTTTTCATTCTTTTTTTATGAGACCAGCAGTAAATTTATTTTACCTGTATATGTAAAAAACGAAGCACATTTTTATTTTGGAGGGGGGGGGTGGGGGGTGAAGAAGTGCATATATAGAAGGAAAAAAAAAAAAAGGGAATTAAATGTAATTTTTTTTTTTTTATTGTGAAACCTTTCAAATGTGCTGTTATTCTACGAATATTGGATCAGTTATAAATTTTACAACCATTCGTTATGATTTATCATATATATATGGGTTCTTGCTTTTTCTCTCATTTTCCATGTAGAGCGTATCTCCCTGCAATTCACAACTTTTTTTTACATGAGGGTGCATTTCACAATATTAAAAGAGAAAAAAAAAAAAAAAAAAAAAAAAAAAAAATGAATAGTGAATGGGGATTTTACCAATGTATAAATAATTTTATTCTATATTATGCACTTTAAAGTACGACGCTAGCAGAAATGTACATTTTCCAACAATATCAGTTTTTACTCCATTCACTATTCATTTTTTTTTTTTTTGGGGGGCTTGGTCACGTTTTGTTCATTTTATTTTTTTTTCAATATTTCACCCGGTAGGTGTATCCACCAAATTGCCTCCAAAATTAAGCGAACAGATATGCTTACATAGTGGAAATGAACTAAATATAGTAGCAAAAAGAAAAGGGAACCGAGCCAAGAGAATAGAATTTAGGCATTTTAAGGGGATATACATATATATAGAAAGAGGAGTATTTATCACGGTTCCCATTTTACAGTGTACTAAACACTTGCATAAATATTGTGCACATATCACCCAGCGTGTTATATATATATATATATATATATATATATATGTACTTTATATGCTTCTAGTGAATTACCATTCCCCTCTCTCGTTTACCTGGATAAATTATCCCTACCCGCTTTTTTTTTCTCAGCTACCGTTCTACATGTATAATATAAATGCATTCTCAATGTAACACATTTTTTTGTTGCCATTTTTCACCCGTATGCACAAAATTAGGAAGGCGGAAAAAAATATGTGCCATATGAATTACTTATATGCAACATGCATATACAAACATATTAAAATAAACACATTATATATATAAATAACTCACTTTGCACAGTTCACCTTTGTTTTGTTTTGTTTGGCTTTTCTTTTTTTTTTTTTTTTTTTTTTTTCATTTCAGTTATTTTTTTTTAATTTTTTTTTCCCCTGAACGTTTATAATATTTTAAGGAATTACAATCATCCAAAAAAAAAAAAAAAAAAAAAAAAAAAAAAAAAAAAAAAAAAAAATTACAAATTTGGAATAGTGAAGGAGAAATATAAATTTCCTTTTAATTGTACTATAACTATAGTATTAATAACTCTCATTTTGAAGAAAATACAAGAATAATCTATAGAAAGGGCTTTCTTTAAACATTACCCATCGCAAAAAATGGTAAGGCGCGAAAAGATTGAAAAAAGTGAGTTGGCTCCATTGTTTATGCGTGTATACAAAAGGAGGAATATTCATTCGAATATATATATATATATATACATCGCACGAGAAGATACATATATATATTAATACTAGTTCCTTTTAGTTTCTTATTAACTAAAAACACGTTCTACGTAAAAGTTTGCTTATAATTACATACCTTGGACTTGTTTATTTTACGGCTTGTGATAAATTAGCTTCTGCCGAGTTGCAAGGAAATTTCATCCATGAAGTGAATATATTTCTTATGTGAAATTTCAAAATTTTATGTGCACATTCAAGGCATTACCTATGAAATAGTTGTGAACATTGTTGTATGTAAAAATAATAAATTTGTTAATTCTTGTTTCCATTTTTGCAATATACTCTTAACCACACAATCGTCTCACCCCACATATTCTCTATGCCTCTTCTCCTCTGTAGTCGCTTAAATTGCAAAAAAGATTAGCAGCGTCCGTTCTGAAATGTGGAAAAAATAAAATATGGATGGACCCCAATGAAATTAGCGAAATATCGCTAGCCAATTCAAGTAAGGGGAAAAAAAAAAAAAAAATGTGTATTCTTTAATGAACAAGTCATATTTTTAAAACTCAATAGAAAAGAGAGAACTGTTGTGCACAGTAGGCGTTAAAATTTGAGCAAAATAATATTAAGTGTAAATTTTTTTTTTTTTTTTTTTTTTTTTCTCTCTCTCCTTGTGCAGGATTTAGCATAAGAAAATTGTATAAAGAAGGCCTGATTTTAAAAAAGCCACAGAAAGTACACAGTAGAGCAAGAGTTAGGCTTTATAAATTGGCCAAAAGGAAAGGAAGACATATGGGTATAGGTAAAAGAAGAGGTACAAAAAATGCAAGGACAAATCAAAAAACTTTATGGATTAAACGTCAGCGTGTGTTAAGAAGGTTATTAAAAAGATTGAGAGATGCAAAAAAAATAGATAGACATTTATATCACTCCTTTTATTTAAAATGTAAAGGTAACCAATTTAAAAATAAGAGGACCTTAATTGAGGCAATACAGAGGGAAAAAACAGAAACCCTGAAAAAGAAGTCAATAGCTGATCAGTTGGAGGCCAAGCGATTAAAGGCCCAAATATTACGAAACAAGAGAAAATTAAAAAAGGACAAGGAAACACGCTAAAGGAGCATTTTTAACGATTTCTGGGCATATCTACAGGGACGCAAACACATATATGTAGTACACATATGTAGCACGCATATGTAGCACGCATATGTAGCATGCATATGTAGCATGCATATGTAGCATGCATATGTAGAACGCATGTCGGAAACCAGTTGTAAATGGACGTTTGCGTGTAAATACATTTTTAGTTTAAAAAAAAGAAGAAGAAAATAAAGATAACCAAGTGGATTGTTGCTACAAACGCTTATTAGACATGGAAGAAAGAGATCAAAAAAAAAAAAAAAAAAAAAAAAAAATCCTTGTGAACATTAGCAGATGACGCATTTTTATATGTGTGTGCGAGGGCAATGTATGCTGCATATGTATTCCCACATGCATATACATAAGAATGTACGAAATATATATACGTCATATTTTTCTCACTTGTGTTGATGTGATAAAATATAATAACATCTTCTCCCCCATGCACATATATGCTCAAGTGCTGTACATGTACATAAGTGCGCGATTTTCCGTTTTACCATGTGCGAGTGTAGCACTGTAATAGAAGAAATAAATAAATAAAATAAGAAGTGAGAAAAATGAAAAAAATGAAAAAAATGAGAAAAAATTAAAAGTGCAAATAAGACGAGAAAAACGCCACAGCACACACCCATTGCGCCACTTTAAAACTTGAACATATTTAAAAATTAAAAAAAAAAGAATATACATATAATTTTTTTTTTTTTTTTAAATGGCATATCTTCAACAAACAAAATTTGCTAATATAAAATAAAAAGGTTTCTTTTATAAGTTTAAAAAAGCATTAAAACATGTACAAAATGGATAACTTGCTGGGGAAAATATGAAATAAAAAATAAAATAAATAAATATATATATATATATATATATATATAAAAGAATAAAATAAAAAAAGCATACATCGTCGGCGGGGCTAAACCTAATAAGTGGTAAATGGGTGTATGACGCTGCTTCACATATAGGAACACACAAAAATATGCACAAAAATAGAACAAAAGCGGGAAAAGGGAATAAATATAATTACAACAGCATGGTAAGGAAAGTATACAGTGTGTGTTTTGTACGTATGTTGTTATCCAGCTTTTTTGTGTGCACAAAGGTACATATTTCCCCTGACAGTTCCTCCTTCATATTAAATTACGCTTATATTGCATGAGCATATTTTCAGAAAGTAACCTCTTTATCTCATTCAGAACAATGGCGTTTTTGCGTTTATATTCATTTCTCTCATTTTGCAAGGTAGACAATTCGTTAACATAACTTAACTGATGTAATTTTCTTTGTTTATTTATATTATCAATTTGTTCTTTTAATGTTTTTATACTATTTTGTAAATTGATATCTATGTGTGTGAATATCTTCATGTGCTCACTCCACATGACTTCCTTATATTTATTCATTAATTCCATATTGATAAGAGCATTATGTAAATTTTCTAAAACGAGTTCATATTTTTTCAACGTTTTTGCCCATTCTTCGACATTTTTACTTTCATTTAATGTCTCGTTTTCAATATTATAATAATTTAAATTTAACTTTTCCATTTTATCATTTTGTTCACACCTTTTTAATTCATTTGGTATAACTGAATCTTCTTTTTTTAAATACACAGACGGGGGTACATCAAAATTTTCTAAATAATTTTTTATTTCATTTTGTTTATTCATTAACATCATTTCTTCTTCAACCATGCTTTTTGCATTTTTCTCTAATTCTTTATCGTATGAATCGATATATGGTAATGCATTAACCAAATCATGTAGCGGGTTCAATTCGTACAATTTCTTATCTGTTTTTTTCTCATTCTCACATTTATCATTATTGTTAAACAATTCAAACACCCTTTCCTCATCTTCTGTTTCTCTCGCTATAATTTCTGTCTCCATTATTATTATTTTTTTTTTTTTTTTTTTTTTTTGTTAAAAGTTTGTAAAATTGTTAACAAAAAAATATTTGGATAGCATAGTAATATATACACCCCCCCCCTCAAACCAAAAAAAAAAAAAAAGGGAAATAAAGAGGGAGTATAAATTGCTATGACAGAAATATATTCTCTTTTTGGATATATCTTTTATATATTTGTCAAACTATACAACGGGATATTGGAAATTACAAAAAATTGGATGAACTTTTGGTGATCCATTATAGTACTATATAATTCATTCCAGAAAAAAAGATTAAATGTAAACCTACTCCCAAATAGGTTAAATAGCAAAAGTTGAACAGTAAAAATAAGTCAACTTTTATTTTATCTGTTTTTTTTTTTTTTTTTTTTTTTTTTTTGTATTTTTGAGAAATTATTGTCCTTCTTCCAAGTGAAAACTTTTGCCCCACAAGTTTCTTCATTTCTGGAAGACTGCAATTTGGGATATAACATCTTTTTTTCAGTCCTCCACTTTTTTTTTTTTTTTATTATTATTCCGATTTCAGCGCAATCAAGAGAGAATCAACAAGATTAAATAACGACGTAGCTGAGATTACTGGAAACGTCCACCGAATAATTCAGGAATTCCCAATTTTATTGAGCCCATTAAATATAGCATCATGTACATATATTCATATATATGTGTATTATGTATGTATACTTATGTATAATCGAGGACGCAAATTTTCCGGCTGCGTAAAAAAAAAAAAAAAAAATTATTTTCCGTTTCCATTATTTTTCCTCCATTTATTTTATGCAACAATAGGAAAAAAATTTTATTTTGCTGAACACATTTTTTAAAATAACATATTTTGCTTTTTGTCGCAATTTAATTTTATTTTCAAGTGTCTTGATTACTTGAGGGATATACACCTCGAATCGAGTGGCGAATTGGGACCCTTGGAAGACGTAAGCAGAGAAGAAAAGCCATGATATGAATGAAAAATAAAATAAAAAAGCAATTTCATTTCTTCTCCTCACCCCATAATCCTTAGGGAACCATTATGTAAATGTATATGGCAAAAATTAAGCAAATTTGTATAAGTACTTTAGACGTAAAAAATATTTCCTAATGCATTTCTTTATTTCGAAAAGTATGCCAAATTTGTGTATAAAGAAGGAACAAGATGTTGTAATAACATACGCTGAACCAGGATACAAAACCGCTATTGGTTCTCTTCAGTCTACGATGTGTGGAAAAATATACCAAATGTAGGTATACATATATATATATATATATATATATATATACATACATACATACATGTAGAATTTATAAAATGCATAGTAGCGTTAATACCATCTACCCATCATCGCTCTCCGATTATTTTTATTTTTTTTTTTTCTGCTATCCCACCTTCCCGAAGTTGTATGGGGAAAAAGCCTACACAGATTCAGCTAAAATTTGTGTAACTGGAACTTGAAAATAGAACAAACTGATTACATATATGTGTATATATACACGTATGCGTGTACATGTGTGTACACTCTTCCCTTTTGCCCTCCCCCACCCTATTGTCACTGAAATTATGAAATTTTCTTAGCCCTCCTACCGAACTCATTTCAAAGAAACAGTAATCCTTGTGTGCAGAAACGAACACATAAAAATGTATTTGCTACATTCACAAAAGTAAGCATATATTAATATATATATTTATAACATCACAAATATATATGTGTGTGAAATGTTCAAATGATACAATAAAATGGATATAAAAGTCTCAAAAGGGTTTAATAAATAAATAGCACCTTAGAAGCAAAACCAACTTACCCTAATGTTACATACATCATCTCAATATAATACACTTAAGGGGAGCATGTTACGTCCAAAGAAAAAAAAAGGGAAAAATCTCAAAACTTGAGTAATTTTTCATATAATATTGTTAGGAAGTAGCACTACCTACACTTATTCGCACAAAAAATAAAATATATATATATATGTATATAATATATCTACATCCGAATCAAAGAACTAAAAAAAAAAAAATGTTTTTTTTTTTTTTTTTTTTTTTACGAGAAAAGACAACCTGTCATGATAATAATGTACAAATGGATGTTTCTATACATGTATATAAATGCATAATGTGTTAACTTGTGGGGATATGGCAAAACACCATTTTTATAGGCCTTGTAAAAATTTACAAACATAAAAAGAACAATGGGGTAGTAAAGGGTTAAAAAAAAGAAACCGCATTCAAACGAATAGTTACTGAAACAAAACAGAAATAATCGCAATGAATTATAAAAAAGAAAAAAAAAAAAAAAAAAAAAAAAGGCGCACACTCCATTCATTCAATAAATTTTAATGTGAAGTTTTAGAACCACGAAATAGAGAAGACAATGTAAATATTTCCTCATTCCCCGAAATATTTTATTATCATGTCCGAACCATACATTTTTTTTTTTTTTTTTTTTTTTTTTTTTTTTGCCAAGAAATAAATTTAATAAATAAAAATTGCAATAATGAAAAGTTAAATACTGTCGGTAGAAGAATATATTATATATATTGTGAGTAGAGAATTGGCATAGATAATAATGTGAGTAGAGAAATTGCGAATATAATAACGTTGAGTAGATAATATTGTGTAGTAGTGGATGTTGGTTCAGAATTCCGATAAGAATTTGTTCAGATCACAACATTAAATGATGTGCTTTGGGTATACTTACATATATATCTACCTTGAAATGCACTGCTCCGAAATTGCAAGGGCATATAATTAAAATATAGGGGTTAAAGAGGAAATATAATAAAAGGTCATATTTATAACAACATATTTTCGAAATAAACAAAAAAAAAATATATCTTTGTATTTTTAACTAATTTTATAATGTTTAGATATAGTAAATATAAATACTGTGGTGGGGATAGTATTTTTTTTTTTTTTTTTTTTTCATATATGACTATAGTATTAATTGCTAGTAGAACACTTTTATTTATAACAAAATTCTTTTAGCCCACCCTAAAAAAAAAAAAAAAAAAAAGTAAAAAACAAACTCTCAACGGATTTTCGCATATAAAAAAAAAAAAAAACGCATATTTTATATACTCTAAATGAATATATATATACATATATATATATATAAATATATATACATGCATATACATATTACATACATATACATGTATATATGGATAATTTTTTTTTTTTTCCTTCTAATAATAAGAGTTAAAATTTAATTTATCTATTTTATGTTTTCCAAATTTGCAAAGCTAAAAATATTGTATAAGTGTTTTAGTTATGCATATGCATTTATCTGTACATTGCATGTTTATATATGTACATTATATATACACATGTATATAAATATATATAAATATATATAAATATATATAAATAAATATACATAAATATAAATATATATATAAATATATACATAAATATATACATAAATATATATATATGTTATACATTTGCATATATATATATGCGTATGCACAAGTTTGTGATATCATAATATGTTCATTTGTTGACTCATTACTAATTTTAAAAGCCAATAAGTTATTGTTCTGCACGCGTTACATATATATATATATATATATATATATATATATATATAACACATGTACGTATATGTTTTTAATTTATAGTTTATAGATTTGACAGCTTCTCCTATCTCTTCACACTGGAAGAAGTTAATAGAGAATTTGTGCCAAATAAAAGAAGCTGCGCCAAAGGCGGAAAAAATAAAATAAATAAACAAACATTACATATATACTCCGCCTTTACATATATACATATACACTTTTATGTGAAGTGTGAAAAAGGGAAACACACGATACCACACCTAATCCGAATTTCTCTTCTGCATTATTTTTTATAGTTTAATGACATAACTTTGGCATATTCATAACACACATTAGTTCTTGTTACCTCATGAGAAAAAAAGAAAAAAAAAAAAAAAAAAAAGCATAATATTTGTAATGACGTATATACATATTGCATGGGTGTTTTCAAACACCGTATATACACATGTACATACATACAGATAGACACCCATATTTTTTTTGACAGAAGTTGTCTATGAAGTACCAACGCAAGTGCAGAACCACATTTCCGTTTTAAGTGTAGAAAATGCATGTAAAGAGAGAAATGTCATGATAATTTTCTTTTTCTGTGAAGTGTACACACACATGCTCGTGAGGAAAAAATATATATTAAATAAACATCCAACTTTTTTGTCTGTACATATTTACATGGATGTATATATGTACATAGATATAGACATATATTTTATGCACGTATACTCTCCACTAATCAGTGTTGTATTATATCAGTATGGCAGAAACTGAAAAATTCTTCTATTTTAATTTTGCATGTTTAGTAGTTTGTATGCGTCACAATTGTGAAATTGTACATACATATTATTATGTTCTTTAACACATTAATTGATAGGTAGCATGTTTATGCATAGCAAAAAAAAAAAAAAAAAAAAATAATACTAAATAAATAAGAGTGAAAAATAAGCCAGAAAAATAAATGTAAAAGTAAAAAATAAAATAAAAAACTCTTGATTCTCCTTTTTTATAAGCGGAAGACCCCCTCCCCTAATCCCCTATCTTTGCGCATGGCTTATCTATTCCTCTTTTCCTAATTTTTTCTTTCTTTTGCTTCTCTTATCTTGGGGATATATACATGGGTTTATTCCGTCCTATATTCATAGAAGTCTTTTGCAATTCAACACATTATGGTGTTTTTTTTTTTTTTCTTTTTTGCACAAACATTTTTGATGTTTTGTGTGTAAAATTTGCACATTTTATTCGAGTGCATATTTTATTTTGTAATTTTAAAAAGAGAGTTTCCTTTTCTTTTGATGAGAGACTAAGGTCTTGCTTTAAATCAATTTCAAAAACTTCCGTAAACCAAAATTTGGCTTGTGATAGTACAACTACTAAACTCCTAGTGAACAATAACTGTGTTGTTATATATCAACCTTCCCAAGGGTGGTAAGATTTTCATAGTTTTTGCATCTTTTTAACAAGTGTAGTAATACTTTACGCTTATTTTGATTAGCTAAATTTTTTCCCACCTTCCCCTCTCCAACGTTTTCTATAAAAAAAAAAAAAAAAAAAAAAAAAAAAATATACATAACATCAGAAGTAAAATGAAAAATGAAAGCATCAGAAAAAAATGAACCCATTTATCACAATTTTAAGAAGCCCAAAAAAGAGCAGAAAAATGAAAAGACATCGGCACTGAAAATAAACATGCATGAAGATGACGATGATGATGATGAGACGAAGGAATATTTATCAAGTATAGACAATGAAGTTCTAACAAAATTAGGTTGTTTTTCAAGCTTAGGAACTCATCTTGCAAAACTGAAACTTAAAGTGAATAAATTTTATTTTATATACATAATTTTAACGATTATTCATTTTTCTATATATGTAAATAGAGGAATAATACCCGGATCATACGACTATTTATCATCATATTTGAAAGAAATATATGCAGCAACAAATGTAGATGTGCACATAGGGTTTCTAACATCTGTTTTTGTATTTGGCTTAAGTATAAGTTCAATTCTTAGTGGATCTCTAGCATCAACATATAGTGTATTCAGAATAACGGATTTATTTCTATTACAGAATTCGTTAGCATTATTTCTTACAGGTATTTCATTCATTATAGGATCTTATTACTCCCTAATGTTTAGTAGATTTTTTTGTGGATTTAGTGAAGCAGCTTTTATCACAATTATACCACCACTTATATATTCATATTCGAAGGATAGGGCTGGTTCATGGATTAGTATTTTTATTACTATGTTTCCATTGGGTGGATGTATTGGTTATTTGTTAGCTGTCTTTCTGCCCATGTTGAAAATAAGCGTAGCTCAATATTTCATTGCATCAGGAACTATTTTCATGTTATTTTTCCTATGCTTTTACCTTTTTGATGAAAATTTATTAAAGAAATATGAGGAGGAAAAGAGCATGAGGGAACAGGAAAAATCTAAAAGGGAGAAGCAGATTCTGGGAGCGGGAACCAATGATCTAGAGGAAGGAGCAAAGAATTCAACAGCTAGCGACAAAAATGGGAAGAAAGAACCAGATGTGGAAAAAGGAAAAAATCAGAGAAATTCTACCAAGGGTAATGCAATAGGTGCGAATGCAGTAGGAGCGAATGCAGAAGGATTTGGAGGAGTCAATGAAAAAAAACATTGTAGTAGTGGTAATTCGACACAGAGTTCAAGTGGTGCCACAAGCACTGGTACAAGAAAGGAAGAAAAAAAAAATAGTGAATCAAACAGAGATGCGGAGAATGTGATAACCACCTCTTCCGGAGCAGGAATAAGAGCACAAGAAAATAAAAAGAATGCAAGCAATAGTAGTAGCATTAGAAATGTCGCTAATAAACAACATTCTTTAACAAACAAGGATACGCAAAAGAGTTCCAATTTAAAACATAGAGACGGAGGAAAATTGCAAGGAAGCAGAGATACGCAATTGCAGAATGTAAATTCAACAGACAATTCTGATAGGAAATTAATCAAAGAGGGAACAGCGCATGAGTTGGAGTCAAATAAAGAAGGAACAAATAATAATGTCGAATCAAATTATGGTGAAATGTCACATCAGTTAGGAGAAGAAGATACAAGAAGCTTTAATAATACCATTTCTTTTAATTCAACACATAAAAATTACAGTAATATGAACAATATTGAATATATGCAAGAAAATAGTCTAGGTATAATGAATTCTTGTGAGGAACAACCAAATATTAGTAACAATAGTTATATAAATAATAATCTTGATAAAATGTACCTTGCGAAATCTTTTGGAGATGATGCATTGTGTTTAAATACAACACAAGAGTCTTACAGAAAAGTTAAAAAAGATGAAAACTATTTAGACATTGAAATTGACAACTGTATTGAATCATTGGATGAAGAAAAAAATAATGATGATTTAAATTTGGGTCTGTTGGTAAATACAACCTTAACAAATATAAGTTTTCTAATACTAGTTACAGCATTAACGGCACACACAGATATGATTCAATGTTACTTAGTATATGGTGCACCCATATTATATGCTTTGAAAATTTTTCCGTCTTATAAAACAGCCACTGTTATGTGCAGTTTATGTGCATGTTTATCATCTATTGTTGGCACGTGTCTGGGTGGTTTTTTAATGGATTTTCACAATTTGAATATTCAAAACATAGATAAAAATTATGAACATATAAATAATAATGAAAAGAAAATTAAAATATACAGCAAGGATGTTATGGTATATGAATATCTTCGAATCATCGGTATTCAGACCTTCATCATTTTGGTTATAGCAAGTTTCCTTGTTATGTTTATTCCGTTTATTACTAATATGTATTTGTTTACAGTTGTAATGACACTTGGGCTGACCTTTCTCTTCTCCTCCATGGTACATTTTTGTTTTCAAAAAAAAAAAAAAAAAAAAAAAAAAAAAAAAATTAAAAATAAACGTTACACGTTCGGCTGCCCAACTGAACATTTATGTATGTAAAAGCTGAGTATAATCATATTGTAATACATACATATATATATATATATATATATATACATATTTATAAATATGAATTTTTTTTTTATACCCCACAGCCTGGCCAGAATATAGGAATTATGGTCTGTGTTCCACAGAATATTCGTGCCTTTTCCATAGGAATGTCATCTTTCATTTCGCACTTACTTGGGTAAGAAATAATATGATGAAATGTGCATGTAGAGAGGATTGGCATGTCATGCCTTTTCGGCATGCATACATGAATACATACATGCGTGTGTGTAACAATTTTCCCCCGTCTTTGTTCACACAATTTCGTTGTACTATTCATTTATTCATCATATCATGTCTTTATTTTTTTTTTTTTTTTTTTTTTTTTTTTCATTCATATGTAGTGACATCCCCTGGACGATTATTATTGGAAAGATTAAGGGAACTTTGTCCCCCGATTGTGTAGTTACGAGAAATGTAAGACCCCTGGCATGTATTTTTAAGTCAAGCGTGTGCGTGTGCAAAAATACGCACAAATGTATATAGTATATATATGTCAAACCAACTAGCCAAAAAAATCAACCTCAGCTTTTTTTTTTACTCACTTTTTTTTTTTTTTTATTTTGCACCATTTCCTCAGGGAGAACTAAGCGAATTATGTTATGAACAAAGTAGGGGACTTAGAATAACGCAATTCATTATCTGTTCCAAATCTCTTTTAATGGCAGCGGCATGTTTTCTGCTCAACGTATATGCAAAGAAGAAAATAAAGAAATATCGAAATAAGCAGAATAATGCATAAGGTGCTGGGAAATTTTGAGGAAAGGAAAATAGGAATTTTTTTTTCTTTCCCCTGGTTATGTTTTTACCTTTAGGGGTGGATGTAAAAGTAGAAGCTCATTCTATTCGGTATATTATGCATATACATGGGCGCATGTATATAAATGATTCCCCTTATATATAGTGCTACATAATATATACCTTGTGTTACATTACAATGTATGAATGTTCAGAACACACACGCGCAAAGAAATTATATCTTTTTCTCTCCGTTCCGCTTTAATTTTTTTTATATTTTTAAAATATGCCCCTATCTGTGTGCGCAGTGTTAAGAGGCATCATATGCACGTACATATATATACATATACGTACACTTATACATATATATATATTGGCCCTATGTAGATATGTAGGCATACGCACTGGTGTATGTTACATGCACATGTATATGTTGCATCCCGTCCTACCTACCTACTTATCTCCCTTTTTTTTTAACATAACTTTGTTATATACACATATGTAATCTTTTTAAATTTTTGATTTTAATGATTTTGAATTTATATCCTTTATATTCTTTTATATATATATATATGTATATTCATTCCTACGTTTGCATTTGCATCATTATCATTTCTTTTCCCCATATACTTCTACATAATACGTATTATTTATTTTGACTATTCTTTTTATTTCCCTTTTTTATTCTTTCCTTTTTACATTCTTTTAAACCGCCCATATTACTTCTTTGGTTAATTCATTACCCTCTTGATTTTCTACAGCTGCTGTATACAGTTTATCATGTTATATATATGTATGCGTGCGCCCTGTGTATGTGTTCTATACCTATATCTGTATATCAGCTTGAGTTACATACATGTGTATGCTATATATGATTATGTGTGTATGTGTGTGTGTGTCTATGTCTGTTCTTACCCCGCACCCCTTCCAAGTGTATATATTTTTTCCAACATGCTCCATATATATATATATATATGTATACGTATACTGTGTGCTTGTGTTAGAAAATATTGTATCTTATGTATTGACCAAAGATTTTTGCACACATAGAAACTGTATGCATATATTGACCATCATCTCTTCACCATGTTTTCTTCCCCACTGTCTGCCTGCGTGCCTATCTGTCTGTGTGATTTTAAAATTTTTTTAGTTTTTTAAAATTAATTTATGCTAACGTAGGCTATATATAATTTAAGCCAGCTTAACCAGCTTAACCAGCTTAACCAATTTAATCAAATTAATCAAATTAATTTATGACTACCTTTTTAAGGCTGAACTATTTTGTTGAATTTTTGTGACCATTTTAGTCTCTGTCCAAATTGAAAATTTTGCTTTTTTCCTATCCTTTTTTCTTTTTCCCCCCTTTTCTTTTTTCCCTTTTTTCCTCCATAATTTTCGTATATAAAAATTGGGGATGCACGTAAAATTCGAACTTTAAGACCGAAATGTGTAAAAGGAGGAGAGTGTCTTTTCGGATGAATTTTCTTTGTTTTTTTCCCTTTTTTACAGATACAAATATGTATATATATGAACATACATATATATATTCGCCCCTAAATACTGAACATTTTAAAAAACAATTCATGGGTAAAATTGTCCCATCGTCATCGAAGTGTCGTGTATTATTACTATGACTATTCCTTTTTTTTTTTTTTTTTTTTTACCTTTGTTATTTTTCTCTTCACTTTTTGCGAAACTCTCTACGTGTCACCCGTTTTTAAATGAACTTTTAAAAAAAAGTGGCGAAATCGTTTGAGCAACTAACTCCGATTGTACATTTGTTAACAATTCGTCAATGCCAACAAACATTTTTATTTTCATATTTTAAAAGTCAAAAGGAAGAATGAACACCACATGGGCCGGTGGGCCATGGGACTATTACTCGAATGTAGAAATTATTTGACCAATTTTACGACCTGTAAAAAGGGATAAAAAAAAAAAAAAAAAAAAATGAAACCTTCTTAGTTAGTTTATTTATATGGTATATACTTTCATGTATAAAATTGTACTTTTACACCTGTACACGGTTAAGGCTAAGCAGTATTGAGGAATAAAAAAAAAACAGTACTTCAGAAAATAGAAACGGATGCAACTGCTTTGAAAAGAGGGGGAGGAATACTCATATATAATAGCTGGAATATAAGGAAGAGCATCTGAACTTTTACAACATCTCCATTGTGCCCATTGGGAAATGGGTAAAAATGAGAGTATTTTTCAACATGAGAAAAAAAAAAAAAAAAAAAAAAAAAAAAACTTTAAAAAGATAAAATTGGTTGAAAAAAAATGTTTTCCAACGCTATAAAATTAGAAAACTTAAACGATTATAACAATGATGCTGAGGAATGCATAAAGCCATTTTTATACAAGTCTAATATTGTGAACGAAGCTGACTTGGAGAAGCCAAACTTAATCAGCATAAATAAAAAAAATAAAAAAAAGAAAAAAGAAAGAGGAGAAATATCACTAACAGACTGTTTAGCATGTAGTGGCTGTGTTACTAATGAAGAGACGAATTTTTTAAAAAGTCAAAATGCAATTGAAATTTTGAATCATGTTAAAAAAAAAAAAATCAACATCATATCTTTATCTTTACAAAGCGTAACAGCTTTATCTGTGTATTACAACTTACCAATTTGGAAAACACAAAAAAAATTAAGTTATTTATTCAAATCTCTGAACTTTGATTATGTTTACGACTCATCTGTGAGTGAATTAATAGCATTAAATGAGAGTAAAAAAGAATTTATGCAACATTTTTCTGAAAACATTAGATCAGCATGTATAGGGGGATCAGACAACGGCAGTAGTATTATTACCAAATATGGTAAGACTCAAATGGATGATATTGTATATACCCCTAGAGGAGAATTAAACAAGAACAATTTTAACAATTTCCATGATAGTGATAAGTTGAAAAGAACAACGGATCAAATTCAAAAAAGAGTACAAAATGTAAGCAAAAGTGCGAAGAAGACACACACAGAAACAAACACAAGAAAGAAAATGGAAGAGAACTTTTATGATACCCCTTTGCATAAAAAAAATGAAAAAGAAAAAAAAAAAAAAAAAAAAAAAAAACTCCCTTTGATATGCTCTCATTGTAGTGGTACAGTTATATATGGTGAAAAAAATTTTGATGAAGAATTATTAAATTCATTTAGTGAGATCAAATCGAGTCAGGACATCCAAGGGATTATTTTAAAAATATTGCATTTACAGAACACAATAAATGTTATTCGTCCTTTGTTGGAAAAATCACCATTTAAGAATTTTTTCAACATGTGCAATAACTACGAGTCAGAATTTTTGTCAATATGCAGGAAACACTTTTTTAAGAACCATAATTTTTTGAAATCTGATTCAAGTGAAGGATCATATACAAAAAATGCCACTAGTACACATGTTGGAAAAAGAGTAAATGATAAAGCCAATAATGACCATACCATTAGCAATATGGTCTCACCAAATATATATGACATTAATCATGTGTATCTGCTCTACTGTTTTGACAAAAAATTAGAAGCTCATAGAAGCAATTTAGCAGAACAAAATTCTCTAGACCATAATATATATACGTATATATCCAATGCCAATTCGTGCTCATATGATTCGATAAAGGTCCCCAAAATTTTAAACGAAAACGAGAAGAAGAATTTCTATTGTGTTGATGCTGTTCTAACTACTGTAGAACTAGTTGAACTTATAAAAAACCTGGATATTGATTTTATTTCCCTAGCGGAGATACCAATTGATAATGTGTATAACCTTTTGAAAAAAACGCAGAAAAGTCAAGTCAAAATGGTGAAAGAAATTCAAGTATCCACAGGAATATCAAAGCTTGATGCTTTTGTGGATGAAGAAGAAACCTACAAATATAGGAAGGGAAAATGTAATAAAATGGATAAATGTTTCGAAGAAGCTGCAGAAGAGTGTACAATCCCACCAATGAGAGAAGCAAGGGAAACAAATTTGGAAGAAACATTATACATGGATTATTCTAAACATATTAGCAATTATGAACTTGACAAAATGTATGACGAATTGGAGAATTACGCCCTTCGGTGCAGTAGCAGAAATAACATTTCTGTAGGATATGGAGAAGAAATATTTAAATATGTGTGCAAACATGTATTCAATTTTAGAGTGGATGAAAATGAGTTTCATTTAAAATATCATGACATAGTTGTGTTGTCTCTCATTGAAAATGGGCATTGTGTTTTTCGAGTAATCTTATCTTACGGTTTTAAAAGCATGTACAATGTAATTAAAAAGTTGAAGGAGAGGAAAAATGAAAACATGCCTCATATTAATGAAAGTGTACAACCAGAGGCAAAAAACACACAGGATAACCCTTCGTGTGGAGTAAAAAAGTACGATGTGAAAATTACCTATAACCTACAATTCATAGGCAGAATTGACTACATTGAATTAATGGCGTGCGAAAAAGGTTGTCTCTTTGGATGTGCCCAAAATATTTTTTCTGAACGCGTTCATACACGTTCCATCTGTTCATGCTACAATTCTCGAATTTTTAAAAAAATAGCAGAACAGGAAGTTATTGAAAATTTTGACTTTCTCCATACATATCAGAAGAACAATGGGAAGAAGAAATTACAACAGGAACGTGTGGAAAATGTCATTTCTTGTTCTAGTAAAACACACGAAAATTGTAAAATGCATGCTATGGATTATGACACATTACCCCATGCCAAAAGGGAAACACAAAATGGTTATGACTTATTTGATGAACAAAAGGTAAATACGGAAAAACTTTTTCAAAAACTGTATGACACCATGCATAGTGACAAATTTACTCTGTATGTAAATTCCAACATATGCGAAAAGGATTTTACTATCACTTCTTTTTTAAAAAATATTGGAAACTTTTTCAACACGGAGACATTTCATATACTTAAGCGTTCCTTTTTATCCAAGAAGAAGGTAGACATAATCAATTGGTGAATATTGGACAGGGAGTTATTTATTTCGTTATTTGTCATGCTACCAGCGTGCTGAAGGAAGCGCCTCCACAAAGGAGAAGAAAAAGGAGAAGAAAAAAAAAACATGTGCATGTATGACAATTGGAAATGCGCTTCCCCATTTGTGTCATAACATTTTTGTTAGAATGAGAACCAAGGGGACACAGTTTCTCCTGTTCACTTATCCCTGGATAATTGAAACAAGTTTTCTCTTCCCGTTGAGCACTTTTTCTTTTATCGGGAAAATAGAGGAAGCGTCTTGTATCTCGGGAGCGAGATGCCTCTTGTTCATATAAAAGTATACATACGTATATTTGTATCTTTATCTGTGTGTATCTCTGCCTGTGTACAAACGCATGCACTTGTGGCTTCGGGGTACTTACACCTACGTGATTGCGTATGCCGTGATCGAGTGCCCCTTTCACTAATGTCAGCCGGCCGTCCTAACATTTTTAAATTGCAAAAAGGACTTGTAGGTAAAATATATGCAACTTAAACATGTTTAAAAAGGTGTGTCTTCTCACAGGGGAAAGCATTATTTTGTTTTACTCTATTTTGTTTTGCTTAATTTTAATTCGTTTTAATTTTAATCGTTTTAATTTTAATTCGTTTTAATTTTAATCGTTTTAATTTTAATCGTTTTAATTTTAATCGTTTTAATTTTAATCGTTTTAATTTACTTCATTTTAATTTACTTCATTTTAATTTACTTCATTTTAATTTACTTCATTTTAATTTACTTCATTTTAACTAATTTAAATTTTTTTCCTTTTTTCAGTTTCGCAAAATTCTGCATGACCTGTTCATGCGGAATTGCTTAAATAGCTACAAAAATGCAGACAATTTTTTTTTTTTTTTTTTTTTTTTTTCACGTGCTCATGTATTTATAGCTATTTTATTTTTTAGCCTTTGCAACTTCCGAGTTTCTCCAAAAAAAAATGACAAAAATGTTACTAAAGAAATTACGCTTTAATGAGATTTATAGTTGTTTCAAATTGTGCCACCTGTGTGTACAGTTACAAAATGGACAGTAGCAGAAATATGACTTCACTTAAAACGTTAAATGTATGTGCAAGGTGTGCAATTGAACAAGCGTGTTTTATTTTCTCTAACTTTGGTCAACTGAATCCTCATTTTTGAATTAAAGGGGGTAGGGTGGGATGGAAGAGTTCGAAATAAGCCCCTTCTGATTATCTGTGTAAATAGTGGACGTATGTACGCATCAACTTCTTTGCATAAAGACATTCTGTGGTATTCCCTCTGTTGAAGAAGAAAAAGTTTTTTGTGTAGAATATGTTCCATGGTGAGGGTGTCGAACATTTTTTTTTCCCTTTTCTTTCACTTGCGTTTTTTTCGATTTGTTTCGTTTTTTTTTCTTCCATCCGTTATTTTTAATTTGCTTTTCTTCACTCATTATCCTCAAACTTACTAATCCCATAAGCATCCCTACGATGAGTGCTACTTCTCCATTGCAAAAGTTGAACGACATGCTAAAGTGCAACCCTTCGAAGAAACACAAAAAGAAAAAAAAAGTGCAAGAAAGACAAGTAGAAATAAACAGAAAATATTTGAAGAGAACCAACTATATTGGGAAAAAATATATCGAACAGGTGATGAATGAATATGGTTCGAGCGATGATAATGCAAATGAGAGGAAATACTTGAGGAAATATTTATATGATGGAGGAAACACAAACGAAATAGGGGAAAATTACGACAATATAATGAAAAAAAGGAAAAATGACATTGAATTCACTCATTTGCCAAATGTAGAAATAGATCAAATGTTATGTAAAGTAAAAGGGGAAAATTTATATGAAGGCACTGCAGGTATACTTAACAAAGTGATAATCGAAACGATCAGCAAAACTGGGGAATGTGTATACGTGGAGAATTCTACATTTGAAGCTTATGTAAAAACAAAGGAAGAATTGGACAAATTGAATTATGTAAAGGACTATACGGATAAAAACAATGGGTATGATATGTATATACAAAACAATTTATATAATAATTTTCTGTATGAAAAACATCACTCTTTAATAAATTTAGATCACAACAGATATAACATTAATTCCATTTTTTCAAATTACAAAAATGTAGTAAATGAAAAAAGAGAGTCAGACATTTCTTGTCCAGCATATTGGGACAACGTGAAAGGTGTAAAAAGAAATGATTCTCAACCGGTTTGTGTCACTGAAAATAAGCAAGTTAAAAACAGTTCTTCTTCTTATACGTCCTCCTTTGTAAGAAGAAATATAAATGCAAAGACCAATCATGAAAATCAAGACGGAACAACTACACATATAAATAACAGTACAAACAATGAAACAATGAGAGAAGGATACCTATTTGAGTCCGAAACATATGATAATGAAAATGCAAAGTTAACAGAAAATAGTTTTAGGTGTAATATAACTGATTTAAAAAATGGAACATACTTAGTTACATATAGTTTGAGAAAATCCGGATTTTATTACTTATCTATATTTAATAAAAAAAAAAAAGTTGGCAATTCCCCATATCTTATTTATATAAAACCGAATGTTGCATATGCCCCTAACTGTGTTGTGTATAAACAGATAAACAACAAAATGGTTATTCCAAAGACTAAAAATAGAAAGTCCAAAAATGATTTGAAGATAAACCATTTTTATAACGATTCTTTGCAGGCACATTCTTTCTCTTTAGTTGATTCGGATTTTCTAAATTTGGAGGAAGGTACAGACATGCTTGAAGGTACTAGTTGTAGCTCGTCCGAATGTTCATTGTCTGATGAGGAGACACAGTTTCCTCCATCTGAAGAAAACGCCTTGCATGTTTTAAAATATGACAGTGATGATGGATGGAATGAGGAGGAGCAACACAAAAAGTTTAACAATTTCTTCATCCAGAGTTATGATGCATACAAGAATAAGATAATCGAAGGAAAGGATCCATTTGAGGTGCATGCTCTTGGAAAAATTAAAATAGTTAAAATAAACAATATGAACAATGGAACATATGAAGTTATTTACACATACGCAAGTGGAAGTAGAGAAAATAATGATGATGCATGGCAAGTCCCATACAGACAAGTGAATGTAACACTAAATGGAGTACATGTGAATGGGTCTCCTTTTAGAATTATACTAAAAAATGATAAACAAATGGTGTACTTGAGTAGAATAAAAAATTTATTACCAATTGATGAAGAAGTAAACCCGTTTGATCCTGTACACAATCTTCACAGTATCATGAATTCATACAAATATATAAAAGAAAATTACTTAGATGACAAAAAGAAAAGATATTTTATGTGCTTAAGTCCATATTATGAAAATACAGAATTGAATAATATACTGAGAAAAGTTGACCCTTATATGGTATCACTTATGTCGATACCTGTAAAGCAACAGTTATTCAACTACATTCGATATATGAATACGGATGGAAACATTGTTAAATTAAAAAAAGTGTTATTTAAAGAACTTCTCGTTACACTTGGGAAAATGATTAATTCTGCAAATATATATTATGATGATTTGACACAAGACAAATTGAGTCTAATGAATGAACGGAAAATTCAGAATTGTAGCATAAGAGAAGCAGATTTAATGTATGAATCGTTGAAAGAAAAAAATATACACACCTTGCCTTTTGACTTTTCTATTAAAGATATGAAATTATATGAACAAAAATTGCTTAATAAAAAAAAAGAGCTACTAGAGAAGCAGAATAAATTAATAGAAAAATATAACACTATAAAATCTAAGGAAAAAAAATTTTCCCAGGAAAGAGAAAATATCACAAACTTATTGACTGATAAGTATGAACTGCATCAAGCCATATACGAACATTCTAAGAAGGCTCTAATTCATACTAACAGCAACTTGAAAAAAATAACTATCACGAATATTAAAAGAAATTGTTCCACAGAAAAGGGGGTATTCAAAGGAAAGTCGAACCCCTACATCCTACCAAGAGATTAGATGTAACAATCTATGGGATCATGTAGGATGGGCCACCACCACCTTTGTTGGTGATGATCTGGTCAAGAGGGGATATGTCTCTTCATTGTGTGTCTGTTCTGCGTGAGCTCTTTTTTTCTATCCCTCTCCCTCTCTTTCTATATATATATATATATATATATATATGTATATATATATAAGCATTTCTTGTTGTTCTCTTTTTTTTTTTTTTTTCTTTCCTCAAATCATTGAGATGAGTAAAACTAAAACGGTCAACACATTGGTTTTCTCCTTATTGATAATTTTTTTTTTTTTTTTTTTTTTTTTTTAAAAAATTTACAACTGCCTTTCGATTTATCAGTAAATAAAAAAAAAGGTTATGAAAAAAGGAACAAGTTCAGGATGTTGTGGGAAAAAAAAAAAAAAAAAAGTCAAAATAAAAGGGGTGTTTAAAATTATAAGGTTAAATAAAATTAAGCTAGGTTAAAAACTTTTCTACATTGGGACTAATACATTTTTATAGGACGAATATAACCACACTTATGTGTATAGCCATTTCTACAGTTTTACATCTGAGTTACACTTTTTCAAATTCGTATGATAGCTCATAGAGGAGGGGGGTGGAGGGGAATGAGAAGACGAAGGCGATAGTGGTGTTAGTATGCATTATGAAAAAACCTGAATGATGATAGATAGCCTGTCAATGCAGGCAGTTGTAGAGAAGAAGGAACATCTGCCATCATCCTGCTTACGTATGTGCATATGTTCTTCCTCCTTTATATTATTGTTACTACAGTGAGTACACTTTTTTGCTAAAAAGCTAGTGCATTGTGCGCCACAAAGCATATTACTAGTAAGCGATCAGAGAAGGAAATGTAAACATATAATTCGTGTGGTAGCTATTCTTAAGGGACATTACTTTCTTGTATGAATTAAACAGACAAAAGAATGCCTTTCCTTGGGAGGGTAAATAAAATAAAATAAAATAAAATAAATAAATAAATAAATAAATAAATAAATAAATAAATAAATAAATAAATAAAGGGGGAAGAGAAACTTACAGGATCATAACAAAAGGATGAAGATAAATAGTAACATGAATAACATGCATAGACTGCGATGTTTTTGCAATTGGAGTAACACGCACAGATTTAGAAATGTGGACTACTCGTTATACCTAGTGACAGACGATAAATTTTTAGGAGACAAAGAAAATGTATGCCAAAGTTTCATTGGAAAGATTAGAGAAGGAATTTTGGGAGGAGTCGGGTTGGTTCAATTGAGATTAAAAAATTCAGATGACTTATATTTTTACAACACAGCAGTAGAGGTGAAACAATTATTAAGTAAGTATAAAATTCCATTTATAATAAATAACAGATTAGATATATGTTTAAGTGTAGATGCAGATGGAGTACATGTGGGGAAAAAAGACATCCCTATCAATATTGCAAGAAATATTTTAGGAGAAGAAAAAATTATCGGGGCTACCATAAATTTTAGTAATGACGAGGATATTCAAATGGCTATAAATAACCGAGTGGATTATATAGCTCATGAACATACGTTATATGAGTCTAGCACAAAGCCAATTACAGCATCATATGAACATGGAATAAAGAAAAAAATAAATATGCTGGTGAATAAAATAAAATATCTTCAAGAAAAGGGGAAAATTGATAAATGTGTTTTTGACTGCACACATCCACCCATTATTTTAATTGGAGGAATTAACACGAATAATATAAAAGAAACTATGGAAAATTTTCATGATACTTGTGCTGGTGTTGCAGTTGTCTCGAACATTATTGGGGAAAATTGCAACCCTTTTTTAAATTCCCTAAGGTTGAAGTTTATAATAAATAAATATAAAAAATGTTATAACGACGCTTTTATCAATATGTGTACTAGCTTTTTACGATATATTTTTTGGAACAACTTGGAGAGTCATAAAAAAAATGTATACCCAAATTTTATGTTGGAACAACTAGAGAAGGCACAACAGAATGATGTTAAGTACACAAAATTCCATTTATACACAAATATGGATGTAAAAAAAAATGTTCAGAACTTTTTTGCAAAAAATCTTGATTTCAAAATTATACAGTTAAATCAACTCGTTGAGAATAACTATCAGGAAGGGAAGCTTTTTTTCCTTTTTATTTCAAAATGTATAAGTATAGGAGTGGAAGAAGAGGATCAATGCCAGGATGCAAGCAAAGAAATGTTCATTGTGTGTAACACACATCTGAAAAAATGGATTGATAAGAATAAAAATAAAAATATCTCCAATGCACTGTTTATACTTATCGGAGGGGAATTGTTAGAACTATTTAGAAAAAAATTTTCACCAGAATTTTTCCAAAACAACAAATTTTTTATTATTACGAAAAAGGAGGAAGAGTATAATTGGGAACCACTGAAGTGTGGTATAGAGGGTGTTTCTATAAAATACAAGAAAAATTTAACTAATCTTGCTTTGAAAAATAATCATTTGGATAATGAGAAAATTAAGCACTTTTCCATTTTACTTTCATATTTTTTAATGGTTCAGGAGAATATAACCCCACAATTTTTATTAAAAATTGTGAGGGAAATGAAAGTATTGAATGCAGAAGACGAAAATGTTATGAAGTTTGCCGCTTCCGTGAATATATCGTTCGAGCTGTTGGAAAATGAGCACAATACAGAACCTTGCTTTTTCGGGGAGGAAGAGCAGATGGAGAGACTTCTATAATTGAAGCACAAACAAGTTAGACATGTAAAAGTTTGCTTTATGCGTGCGTTATGTGTATTTGTGCTTTTTCTTCCTATCCGTGTTTTTTTTTTTTTTTTTTTTTCTTTAATTTCTTCCCTTCGGATGGTGAAAATAGCACCTCCATCTGTGTTTATTTATAGTTTACCTTTTTTTTTTTTTTTTCGATCTTTTTTTTTCACGCCCTTTATAGGTAATTCATCAAACACACACTGACTCGGTATAATATTTTAACATTTTCTACACTCAAAAATGGTGTTACATTTTTTCTGAGAAAAATTGAAAACTACTTTTTGTGTTAACCCACCATTGAAAAAAAAAAAAAAAAAATGATACATAAAGTGACTCTTGTTTTTTTTATTACACTTTTGGGGCAAATTTTTATTTTTTTCACACATTAATTATGGGAAATTATGAACAGTCATAAAAAAAAAAATGTTCCATTATTTTATTTTATTTATTTTTTTTTTTTTTTTTCCCTATTTAAATAGCCATTAGAAAGTTTTAGCTAGCTAAAATGTGTTATTTGGAATTAAAAAAAAAAAAAAAAAAATAGAAATCAAAGTGATAAATGGAGGAACAAATGAGCGAATAAATAAAGGTATAAACTATAGATGATAAGATGGGAGAAAAAAAAAAAAAAAAAGAAAAAAACGCACACACACCAACGGAGAACTTGAGATTAGGGGAAAAAAGAACACATATTTTTTTATATAGAAAAATCCTTTTCTAAAATACCTATAAAGCAACAGTTATGATTTTTACACCTTTTTCTATGTTCACTTATTTGTAAATATCTATTGAGGTGTGCACAGATCTTTTTCCCCTCGTTTCTAAGTTGTCGATCACTAGTGTGTGCATGTCATGGATCCTGCTTGTTTACGGAACTCTCCAACATGAAGGAGAGCCTACCTATATATTGTGTTGTAAACATGTTGTAAACGCGTTGTAAACGTGTTGTAAATGTGTTGTAAATCTGTTGTACATGCGTTGTAAATGTGTTGTATTTATACACTCTCTCCCATATACGTACAAGCGCTAATGTGTGTAAATGAATGTATATATTTTTTTTTTTTTTTTTTCTCCTTTTTTCCATAACTTTTTACCTATTTTAAAAGGCACCCTAGAGTTACAATTTTATAGTCTACAGATTATAACAAAAAAAAAAAAAAAAAAAAAAATAAAAAAAATAAAAAGAAAAAAAAAAAAAAAAAAAACACAAAATGAAATAGAAAGAAAAAAGAAAAGAAAAAAAACACAAAATGAAATAGAAAGAAAAAAGGAAATAAAAAACACACAAAATGAAATAGAAAGAAAAAAGAAAATAAAAAACACATAATAAAATAGAATGAAAAGGAAAATAAAAAAAGTATAATTTTTGCCACTGGTAATGGAGTTTTTTTTTTTTTTTTTCCGACATTGCAAAATTTTTACACATATCACCTTTTTCAATTAACAACTGTTTTGTGAGACGTGTAATTCATTCTTGTGTGTCATTTTCTTTTCTTTTCTTTTTTTTTCTAGCTTTTCAATAAATTGACGTAATTTTTACACAGTTTTGTAGAACGAAAATATAAACAATGAGCAATTCTGGTGATGCTTGTTTTAAGGAGGGGGACTTAGTCTGGTGTGAAAACAAATCTTACACATCAGAGGGAAATAATGGATTGTTTAACTTATGTCATCTAATTCGAAAGAATAATAATGAAGAGGTTATGTTATCAAAACATAACGATTACAGCGGTTGTATATTTACCAGTAATTTGAAAAGCATATATAAAGCAAACAGCTTGTTCACACTAGATCACAATGATATGCTAAAACTAAAACACATTAACGAACCTACATTATTACATTATATGCATGAAAGATTTAAGAATAAAAAATATTACACAAATATGGGTCCCCTACTAGTTTTTATAAACCCAAATATGAATACAAACATAAACAATGAAGAAACGATTCGAATGTACAAATTTAGAGACACACGTGCAGAATTAAATTTAAATGAATACGTAATTGCCCACAAGGCTTTGCAAAATTTAAGTATGTTAAAACGAAATCAATCTATTATTGTAACTGGTGAGGCAGGTTCAGGGAAAAGTCAAATAACGAAGAACATTATAAATTTTCTCTCCTACCAAGTGAAAGCGAATAAACCTGAGGAAGTCGATGCTGCTGATGTGGAATGTGCTGAGAATGAAGTAAACGAATCTGGAGAAGTGAACGAACCTGGAGAAGTACACCAACCTGGAAAAGTGAACGAACCTGGGGAAGTAAACCAACCTGGAGAAGTAAACGAACCTGGGGAAGTAAACCAACCTGGAAAAGTGAACGAACCTGGGGAAGTAAACCAACCTGGGGAAGTAAACCAACCTGGAGAAGTAAACCAACCTGGAGAAGTACACCAACCTGGAAAAGTGAACGAACCTGGAGAAGTAAACCAACCTGGAGAAGTACACCAACCTGGAAAAGTGAACGAACCTGGAGAAGCAAACCAACCTGGAGAAGTACACCAACCTGGAAAAGTGAACGAACCTGGGGAAGTAAACCAACCTGAAGAACTGAACCAACCTGGAGAAGTTAACGAATTTGACATGTCCAAAATGATAACGCACATGAACGTGATTTTGGAGGCGTTTGGAAATGCCAAAACTGAGAAAAATGACAACTCCAGCAGATTTTCAAAATTTTTTACCATACATATGGATGAAAATGAAAAGATGAAATCCTTGCATGTTAAAAAGTTCCTTTTTGAAAAGGAAAGGTTAATAAGCAGAAAGCAAAGCGAAAGTTCTTTTAATATATTTTACTACATAATAAAGGGGTCAAGTAGCAAGTTCAAAGAAATGTATTATTTGAAAGATTTGCAGTACTATAAGATGTTGAATGGTAGCAGTGAGTTGAGCAATGACAAAATATTCCGGAACAATGATAAGGTAGAGAATAATGAAAAAAATGCACCTGAAGAAGAATCGTCAAAATTTATGGAATTACTAAAATCGATGAATTATATATTTGATGATGATAAGGAGATAGATTTTGTCTTTTCTGTTCTGTCAGCATTATTGCTATTAGGAAATATTGAAACGGTAAAATCTTTTCGTCAGAAATCTATATTTCGAAAAGGATTACTATGTGAGACGTCTCTTAATTATGAAGAATTGCAACAGTATATAGAACACTCAAATGAAGATTTGATTTGGGATGATAATGTGAAAAACTTTTTAATTGCTAGTAAGCTCTTAGGTATAAATCCTGAAGAATTGATAAAATACTTCACTACAAATTACGCATTTAATGATGTATTACTTTTAAAGGTACATAACGAAACAAGGATACACAAAAAAATAGAAAATTTTATAAAGACTTGTTATGATGAGTTATTTAATTGGATTTTATTGAAAATAAATACAAAATGTAATTCAATGATGAATCATGATATGAATAGTGAAGAAAATTGTATGAATATCCTCGATTTAGTATACTTTGAAAACTCAGAAGAAAATTCACTATACGAATTTCTTATCAATACTACTAGCGAAGCTGTGCTTAAAATTGTAATCGATTCTATGTTTAAGAAAAAGACACAACTGTGTATAGAAGAAGGAATCGAATTATCTTGTGATATTCAACAAATGGACAATATGGTACTATACAATATACTAGTTCAGAATGATAATGATGATTCCATGTTTTCTTGCTTAGAATCTCTTTCCATGAAAAAAGGAATAGGAAAATATGATTTACATTCCTTGATAACAAAAAAATTTGGAAAAAAAAGTATGTATATAAAAAAGGATACTGATGATAATAAAGGAAAAAAAAATTCCACTTTTACTATTGTTCATTCGTGTGGCGATGTCATATATTCAACAGAAAATTTCATTAACCAAAATATAGATATATTAACACATACTTTTATTGATATGTTTAAGAAATCAGGAAATACATACTTACAGCAACTTTGTTGCAGTTACAATTATGACAATACAGGCAAAATAGTAGAGGAAAAAAGACGATATAGTATTCAATCTGCTTTAAAATTATTCAGACGTGAATATAATTCGAAGAATGAAATGGCTGTAACAATGTTAAGAAACAATTTGACAGAATTAATGAAATTAAAAGAAAACACATATTGTCACTTTATATTCTGTATGAATTCTAATCATAAAAAAGGAATGCACGGCGAGTTAATCAATCTTTTTGATGAAAAGGTAGTTTTTTCTCAAATGAAGAAGTTATTCCTTCCAGAGTTTAGACATCTCAAAAATGGGTTCTTGTTTCCACATGTGTTCCGTTTCGATGAATTTATGAATGTGTTAGTGGATAATACTACCTTAAGAGGAGAAGCATCCAATACTGAGATGAATGATAGAAAAGAAGAGGTAGAAGATTCGGCTTATATCAACTACAAAGAGAAAGAAGCTGTTGAAAAAGTGATGAAATCTTATGACATAAGTAAGAAAGAGTGGATGATTGGAAGAAATCGAATTTTTTTAAGTGAAAATTGTTTGAATATAATAATGGAAGACAAATTAGAAAAATGTAAAATTTTGAGAATTAACAAAAATGAAATAAGTGAGCAAAAGGAAAATATGAACAAATTTGTTCATCCTGTGGGAACTACATCTGAAGTAACAGGACTTGTGAATCTAGAATGTATCAGAATTAGCCAAGTGTATGACAAAACACAAATAAAAGAAATACACAAAATGATGAACATGAAAAAAGAAGGTGTAAATTCAGACACAAATGAGGAAAAAAATTTCCTGGATAAAGGAATGCAAATTTTGAACTTGGGGAAAATAACACAATTACTTGGAAAAAGTGGTGAAACGGAGGGAGATGCAGATGAGGGTTCATTGCAAAAAGGGAATGAACAATACAACAATCAAGATAGTGAACTATTTCGTGAACCAATAGAGATGTGTGGAATTATGAATATTTTAAATAATGTACCTAATATCAAGGATAAATTGAATGAATTAAATGATGCTATCAAGGTATGTAATCAGTCTAACGACAAAATTAAGAATTCCTGTGCATGTATAGTTGGTATTCCGAGTTTGTGCAGTAAACACTCGATTCCCGGGTCTCTGAGTTTGGAACCTGCTGATGCTGCAAGTGGAGGAGTGGCAGATGTGGAAGCGGTAGATGTGGAAGTGGCAGATGTGGAAGTGGCAGATGTGGAAGCAGTAGATGCAGAAACGGTAGATGTAGAAACGGTAGATGTAGAAACGGTAGATGTGGAAGCAGTAGATGCAGAAACGGTAGTTGTAGAAGCAGTAGATGTAGAAACAGTAGATGTGGATGCGGTGGACATGGGAGAGGAAGATCAGAGTCAAAAGGAACAAAATGATGAGCGGGGAAAAGAAGAAGCCGTGAAAAATTTAGCAAATGGAAGCGAAGCAAATAAAGAATTGGAAAAGGGAGGTGTGACAGATGAAGATCTCCAAGATAACCAAAATGTGACAAATAAGGGCGAAAAGAAAAAGAAAAAAAGAAGAAGAAAGAAAAAGAAAAGTACTTCTTTGGGTAATGCTGCAGCAGATCCTGGTATGTCGGGGGAGAATGAAGGGCCAAACATTCAAAAGAACGAAGAAGTGGGTGGAGAAGCGGGTGAAGAACCAGGAGTAGAAGCAGAGGTAGAAATGTTTGATTTGAAAAATAAAGATGCTGAAAATATAGATGAAGAGGGAGACGAATTAAGTTATCTAAGTGCGAAGGAGGAGGAAGAGGCAAAAGAAGTGAAAGAAGTGAAGGAAGTAGGAAAAGTGGAGGAAGAGGAAGAAGCAAAGGAAGAGGAAGAAGTGGAGGAAGAGGAAGAAGTAAAGGAAGAGAAAGAAGTGGAGGAAGAGGAAGAAGTGGAGGAAGAGGAAGAAGTAAAGGAAGAGAAAGAAGTGGAGGAAGAGGAAGAAGTAAAGGAAGAGAAAGAAGTGAAGGAAGAGGAAGAAGTGAAGGAAGTAGAAGAAGTGAAGGAAGTAGAAGAAGTGAAGGAAGTAGGAGAAGTGAAGGAAGAGGAAGAAGTGAAGGAAAAGGAGGAAGTGAAGGAAAAGGAAGAAGTGAAGGAAGAGGAAGAAGTGAAGGAAAAGAAAGAATTGGAGGAAGAGGAAGAAGTAAAGGAAGTAGAAGAAGTGGAAAAAGTGGGAGAAAATGAAGAGGTAAAGGAAGTGGAAGAAGTAGAAGAAGTAAAGGAGGTGGAAGAAGTGGGAGAAAATGAAGAGGTAAAGGAAGTGGAAGAAGTAGAAGAAGTAAAGGAGGTGGAAGAAGTGAAGGAAGTAGAAGAAGTGGAAAAAGTGGGAGAAAATGAAGAAGCGAAGGAAGTTGAAGAAGTGAAGGAAGTAGAAGATGTGGAAAAAGTAGGAGAAAATGAAGAAGCGAAGGAAGTGGAAGAGGTGAAGGATGTAGAAGTAAAAGAAGTGGAAGAGGTGAAGGATGTAGAAGTAAAAGAAGTGGAAGAGGTAAAGGATGTAGGAGAAGTAAAGGAAGTAGAAGAAATGGAAGAAGTAGAAGAAATGGAAGAAGTAGGAGAAATGGAAGAGGTGAAGGATGTAGAAGTAAAGGAAGTAGAAGAAGTGGAAGAAGTAGGAGAAGTGGGAGAAAATGAAGAAGTAGAAGAAGTGAAGGAAGTAACTGCAGGGGTGCTTGATGAGGACGTTAAGGAGTTAGAAGAGCCCGAGGGGGAAGAAAACAAGTTAAACGATGGGATGTTGGTTGTAGAGGGTGAAGAGGTTAACGGAGTACATCAAGAGGACGAAAATTCAACAAAGGACGAAACGCAAAAGGAAAAGGATGAATATGCAGATGAAGATTATGTGGATTACAATATGAACTGTTTTAAAGCAATTAGATCAGGAAAGGTGGGGAATATAAATAGCTCATGTTTGGGGGTAAATGGTGAAGAAATTAATTTAATTAAAAATGTACTAGACTGCTATGAGTGTACAAATGATGTAAATTATGTTCAATGTTTTATGGATACTATAGATGGGAATGGGCTGAGTGAATACAGTGCAGAATTAAGGAACCCACGACAGAAGCAGATACTGTTAAAACATTTAAATGAAAAATATATTACTAACTCGGAAGAGAAAATGCATTTGATTAACATATTAAAGAACATGGTAACGTGTATGGGAAATGTGCATAATAAGAAATGGAATATATTTTTGACATCAGCAGATTATTATTTTAAGTCTTACGTATCGAATGAGGATAAGCTATGTTTACAGAGTGATTCCATAAATTTAGATGAAAAAATAATATTTAATGAAGAGTGTAATTATCATAAAAATAAGAAGGAAGAAATACATAATCACCGATATAATCCAATTGTAGAATATTTAACTCTTCCAACGAATAAAGAAATACATGAAATTTGCATATCAAACAATGCTGATAGAAAATATATAAAAGATAATTATAAAATTTTATGTTTTCGATCTAGAAGAGGTACAAAATTGGACTATATGAATGCAAAAGCATTTTATACTTCCATTCAGTATAAGAAAGTGAAGACAAGAAACGTAACTCATGTGCACACAGATTTCTGCTACATGGAAGATAAGATGAAGTGTAATTTTAAGCAACATGTCATTAATGAATTCATCAATAATCCAAATATTACCATGGAGGATTTGGGAGATAGCTTACTCAATTTGGCAACCTATTTTTATTATGAGAACCGTGGATCCTGGTGCGTTTTTGTGTCTAGGAAGAGAGCCTTCACAGGAGTTATAAACATCGTTAATAATAGGTATATACGTATGACGGCTAAGAATAAGAAAAAGAAGTACCACATCGTGCTGTTCGAGACACCAGTTTAAACATGGTGCAGGTGAAGGAGCAGGTGAAGGAGCAGGTGAAGGAGCAGGTGAAGGAGCAGGTGAAGGAGCAGGTGAAGGAGCAGGTGAAGGAGCAGGTGAAGGAGCAGGTGAAGGAGCAGGTGAAGGAGCAGGTGAAGGAGCAAGTAAAGGAGCAGGTAAAGCAGCGTTAATCTGGATGCATCCGCACCTTATAGACACACCTGCACTAATCTGGATGCATTTTTTTTTTCCAGAATCAGTTTCAGAAAAAAAAAAAAAAAAAAAAAAAAGTTCTAAGACACATGACAAACCACACATTAACACCATAACCGCAAAAACGGAACAAGGGAAAGGTAGAACATTACGACCCTCCACCTGCTCACCAATCTTCATCAGTTTTCACATTACTTGTGTAACTTTCTGTTTCTTTCGTATATATTTTTTGTGGCCTTTTTTTTTTTTTTTTTTTTTTTTGGCGCTTTCATTTTTCCGTTTTCACCCCGTTCTGGTAAATATTGCAAAGGAGTGATATAAAAGGAAAGATTTTCCTTGAGACACCAAAGCGATATGTTTTCACCAACTTTGGATGAAATTGTAATCACGTGTACGTATAAAAAGTTAAAAAGACATAAATATAATATATATATATATATATATATATGTTTAAGCGATACATTGGGGTAGGGAAAAATTTATAATGACAAATTAGTGGAAAAAAAAAAAAAAAGAGTTAGCAGTTTTATTGATGCAATGGGTGAAGAGAGTTAAATGGATTTGCTATATTGGAGGTGTGAGACAGGGGAAAGATAGATTTGAACTCTTGCTTTAAAAAAAAAAAAAAAAAAAAACCTGTGTATTAAAATGCGTGCCAAACATATTTTTATTTTTTATTTGGGGTTGTGCCCCCTCCCTATTTCCATTTCCCATTTAATTATCTTTAGTGAGATTCTCATTGGTGTAATCAAAGACAGTGCCGTCATCAGAAACTAAACATTCTCCGGTCATTTTAGCTCTCATTTCTATAGCAAGTTTTTTACTTAAACTACTTCCATAAGTATTGATACCAAAATTCTTGGTTCTCTTACAGCCACTTGGACTTCTCCATTCAGCCCTCCAAGCTTGTACAACACCATTTATTCTAATCATATATACTCCAGCAGGGGTAGTAGAATTGATTTTGTCTAATTTTGTATACATACCACTTATATCATCAATTTCTTTTTTGACATTTTTATTGTATATATTTTTTGTACCTTGTTTATTACTATAATAATCTGTATTGGAAAATTCTTTTGATGTAGGATCAAAAATGGGAGGAGTGAATGTATTTTTTTCTTCATTTGTTAATCCTTTATTTACTTTATCATTTGAAGATAAATAAAGGTGCATATCATTTTCTTCTTCCTTTTCCATGTTTTTTAATATGTTCTCGAAATTCTGTTCATCTGTATTGGATTGAATACATGTGTCGCTTTTCTTAATAATGATATTATTATTATTATTATTGTTATTACTTCTCCCTCTGGCACTATTGCTGTTGTGTATAGGATGTTCTATACTAGTTCCATTATTTTCCTCACTTTTATTATATTCTAAATCTTCCTTGTCATTTAAATTAACTACTCTCATCATACTTCCTCTGGAAATACAATTTGATGGAACACTCAATTCTGTATGATGTTGGAGGCAATCACCTTCTAAGTCTCCTTCCCCAGTTCTTGTGTTAGTACTTACATAATCTACCATGGTATTATTATTCATCATATCTGTGGTGCTGTTACTCCCAACAGTATTACTAACAAGTTTACTCATTTCTCTTGGTCCGTTGTTATTCACATAGTGCTGAGTCTTAGGATCTACAATATTCATCCGAGTGTTTTCGCTCGCGCTGTTTTCTGAAACCACGCTTTTCTGCATCCCCTCTGGGTTCATTCCAGCTTGGTCGATCCCTGCCGTGCTTGTGCATGCCAGGTTTGCATTATCTTCCATACACAAACCTTCTCTATATGGATCTTCGTCGTAGATATTATTGCCATTGTGTATGTTGTAATTTTTGTTATTCACGTAACCACTTTGTGCAAAAGGAGAATCATCACTATTGGACATCTCAGATGGTGAGGATCTTCTCACGGCTCCTACTAATTCCTTAGTACTAGTTCCGTTGTTCATACGTCTCTTTTTAATATTATCATTTGCATTCTCGTGATTTAAAGTACCCTTGGCTGAATTATTTAAACTGTACTTCCCAGCATGGTTGTTGACGAGTGCACAAGCCTTCCCTGTATGAGTGAATCCAGATTTCACCCCATGCATAGTAGTAGTATTACCTTTGTTGGTCTTATGCATAACGCTAGAAGCATATGTGTCATGAGAGGCAAAATCATTAGATGATTCTGTTTTCATAATAATATTACATCCATGATGATGTGTATCTTTCTTATTCACATTACTATTATTATTGTTATTCTTTTTATATACATTTTCAAACTTCTTCCTTGCTGCAATAGCTAGATTTCTTGCTCTTTCTTCTCCAAATTTGTTAATGGAAAAATATCTCTTTTCTTGTTTTCCATTGGAATACCAATTGGCACAGAATGCTTTTTTAGAATCCTGATAAAAAACACCTTGAGGCAAAATTACAGAATTGTCTATTAGTGTATTTTCCAAGGATTTTTTATTATTCGATTTTGCATACGTAATAACATTCTCCATAGACTTAGAATTTGTATATTTAACAGAAGCATTTTTGTTCTTGTTTTCTGAATTTCCTGTGTTATTATCTCTCGTTCTATCTTTTCTGCATGTATTTCTTAGTTCATTACAATACTTGTAATTCACTTCATCATCAGCGTCATCATCATTGGTTTCCATTTCTTCTACTTCTTCCATTTCGTCCACTTCTTCCTCTTCCTCTTGATCATCATCTACTTCTTCTCTCTGCTGGTGTTGGCCCCCATGAGCATTTCCACTTCGATTGATGTTATTATTATTATTAATTTTTCTCTTCCCATTGTTTACACATGTTCCGTACACATCATTGTCATTTTCATTTTTCTTTTTTGATCCATCTACTCTCCTTGAGTGACCTGCACGAAGTTTATTATCTATAATACCACTTGCATAATAACCATCATCATTATCATCATCATTGCCATCACCATTGCCATCATCATTGCCATCACCATTGCCATCACCATTGCCATCACCATTGCCATCACCATTGCCATCACCATTACCATCATCATCATCATCATCATCTTCATCATTACTACCATAGCGTCTCACTGTGTTTCTTGGATTCATGTTCCTATGTCTGATTCTGGTTCCGTTTATATTGTTCCTTCCTACAGTATTAGCCATAGGAAGCATGTTGTAATCCCTTCCTTCTCCATGGAACTCATTCCATTCATTATAGATATCAATATTCACAGGTTTATAATCATTTTTATACTTTCCAAGGTAAGAATTATCATGCTTCATTTCATTCTTGCATACATAATTTCCTTTAAGCTCTGCACCACTCTTAGTTATGTCATATTTTGTGTGTCCTCTATTTCGTCTCCTTTCATATGAATATTCCTCCTCCTCCTCCTCCTCATACTCCACATGATTATGTGCATATTTTTCTTTTTCTCCTCGATCATACTTATTTAAACCTTCTATTGCATCATTGTATTTTGCCCCATCTGAGTAGGAAGAACCCTTTTCTGTTCTTTTTCCACCCATCAAATGAATGGCATTACTACTGCTAGTAGTACTACTGCTACCACCTTGGGTGCTGCCAATTCCATGATTATTATTCTTATTACTAGTATTGGCATTTGTATTTATATTTGTATTTGTGTTCGTATTTGTATTTCCTTTTGTACTTGTATTATTTATTTTTTTTTTTCTTCGTTCATCAACTTGTAAGACATCACCATGTACTACTTTAACGTCATTCTCTTCTTCATCCTCAACTCTTTCTTCATCTTCTCCATCCTCTTCCTCATCATCTTCTCCAGCATGATCATTTATGCCACCCATCTTACACGACCCCTTATTGCCATTATTGCTACTCTCCACCACCATCACCCCTCTTTGTGCATCTCGTTTTGTAGTAGGTGCAACATTATTCAAATCTGCACCTTGATCATCATTTGTGATTCGCAAGATGGATCCACTACTAGCACCTCCTCCCCTTCTAGATATTATTCGTCTGTTTGTTCCATTCACATAACTACCACATTCAAAATCACCATTATTCAAGTGATTTGCATTATCTTCTTTTTCTGTTATATTATTAGAATTATGCACGTTTCCTCTGTTTTTCCCCTGTGTGTATGTTTGGCTAGTCATATCTGCATTCGAACCTGCATTTTTTTTGGTATTCGCATTTTTGGAACCAATACCGTTTGACGTTGCACCGTTTGATGTTGCACTGTTTGCATTTCCATTTGTAGCCATAGCTGCTCCACTTGATCCAGTTGCTCCCTTCTTTGTTGCGCCTTTCATATGCTTAGTTCTATTTTCAAACGCAAACCTAGCCTTTGTAGCTAGATTTCTAGCCTCATCCCAACCATAGTACTTAATTTTGAACCTCCTCTTTATTTGCTTTCCTTCTTCATACCAACTTCCAATCCAAGCTTTCTGAGATCGGTCAAAGTAGACACCTCTTTGTGGTTTCAATTCGGACGCAGACATTTTGTACTCATAATTTTCATTACTATCCACAACTGTATTACTTCGAATTTTGTTGTTAACTCTCCTAGTGCCAGCTCCTTTTCCATTGTGATTATTACCTCTGCCAGTATTGAGTGCAATACTTTCATTATTATTCAACTTTGCCCTATCTTTATTATTGCTAGTCCTACTATTATTCATGTAACATACATCACTCATTTTTCCATTTCGATCTGTCAAAAGGGGAGATTTCCCATTAGTAGATTTTGCTTCACTGTTATTGTTGCTTATATTTATTCCTGTCCCACAACCAGATGTACTAGCAATAGATGATTCTCTTCTTCCATAACATCTCGTTTCTAATTGATAATTTTTAGAATAATTTTGGTTCATAACTTTATTTCTTCTTCCTCGTCCATATTCCACAGTGAAATTATTTAGAAAAAAATTCACATTCTTACCTCTTTCATCTTTCATTTTCATCTTGTTAGAGTCAACAAGATTGCTCATGTTATCACTATGTTCACTGATTCCATTCTTCATGTCTTTATTTTTGCTAGCTTTGATAATGCCAGATGCAGCCCCTTCTCCTCCTCCTCCCCTGCCACTGAGGTAAACATTCTTCAGATGCATTTTTTTTTTCTTATTAGTGTCTTCTTGTCCATCCCTTAATTCACATCCAACACGAAGCCCTTTGTTAATGCCATTCATATTATGATTATGGTTCAGAAGCTCATAGTCATTATCCTCATCATACTCGTCGAGCCCATCTTCGACATTACGATCTGTATACATATTTTTCATGAATTCAATTTCCTTTTCACCTCCAGACAGATTTATGAGGCGACTTGCTTGTATTTCTTCACTGATCATATTTTCAGAATCATTTATATTTTTTAAGAATCCTCTTTTTCTTTCATGTTCTCTAAAAAGACTCTTATCCACATGATCATTCATCTCGTCCCTACACTTCTTTGTTAAATAACCATGTAAAATTGTATCATCTGTATTGTTCCTTCCACGTAAATCTAGATCTACGGATGATTCTTCCATATATGCGTTACAATGTTTCAATTTTGTACGATCCATTGATGCTTCTACATTTTTATGGAAATGATTGAAATTATGATTGTTACTATTACTACCGCTGCTACCTTTTCCTGTACATCTACCAGTTCCAAATGGTCTACCAACACGACTAATACCAACCACACTTCCACTTTCTTTCTTTTGATAATTTTGATTATTTTGATAATTTTGATAATTTTGATTATTTTGACAATTTTGATTATTTTGACAATTTTGATTATTTTGATTATAGGAACATCTGACACTTGCACGTCTAGCACTGCTATGTCTACTGTTACTTGGTTCAGCTCGAACTAAAAGAAATTTTCCCAATTCATCTATATGACTAACATTATCACTACAATTTTCATTTAAATTAGAATATGTAAAATTCGTGAGATAATCACAAAGGTTGCTACTTCTTCTAGAACCCGTGCATCTATTTGTATAACTATTCATACGAAATTGAATGTTACCACTACCTCCTCCACTACTTTCTGCATCATTGTGATACGAATCATCTCCTGGATAAAAACCATATTTGTACACTATGGAGTTAAATAACGAGGACAAGTAATTCTTTTTTTTATCTTCTTTTATTATTCCAATCTTATTACTGTTATCGTTCAATGTTATGTTGTCTCCTCTCCTGTGTTGTTCCCCTTCACCATTCAAAAACAGGTTCTTTTGGTATCTTAGGTTTTCCCTACACACTTCAGAATCGGCACCATCATTGGGGAAGTTAATTCCAATTCTTCCGTTTATTTCGGTATCTATTTCGTTGGATACCTCCAAAGAATTCCTATCGATAGGTATGTTACTAATTCCGAAATTTCCACCATTTTCTCTTTCATAACAAGAGAGTAATGCACTTTCTTCCTCAACACGTGGCATGAAGCACACACTGTCTCGCTTGGAATTTGCAGAGTGGTTATTCAATAAATACAAATCATTGCCAACATTTCTATAACTATCACTTACATATTTGTTATTATCCAATATTTCTCCTCCTTCGCAATCTTTTTCATTCATAATATTTTCACAGCCCAGATGGTGTCCAATTTTAGATTTTCCAAATAAATTTTCGAATTTTGAGAAATATTTTCTTAATCCATATTGCATATCATTGAGAATTTTGTCCTCTACCACGGACCCGTTTTTCGATTTTTCCAGCAGTTCATAGATGTAGTATAATTTCAACAAATTGGCATTACAACTGGTGTTACAACTGATGTTACAATTGGTGTTACAACTGGTGTTACAATTGATATTATAATTGGTATTATAATTACTGTTACAATTGCTGTTACTCTTGTTGTAGTGCATGCATGGGAGGGAATTGAACCCCATTTGATTAATTCCATCTTTTGTGTTTCGAAAAATGGTGCATCTACAGGAATCCTTCGCATCTACATCAAGAGGAGGATGATCATATGAAAAATTCGTATCTAAATATGTGTCATTATTTACCCTTAACAGGTTTTCCTCATAAGGTGCCTGCGCAATGTTCTTCGGTTGTTCCTCCTGCAATTGCTGTTGCTGCAGTTGCTGCTGTTCCTCCCTATAAACCTTTTCAACATCATCATCGCTTAAATCCTTCATCAAATGATTGCTAAAGAACCTCATGTAAATTTTATTTTCCATGAAATACTTCATTCTGCAAAATATGCAATGGGTACTCTCATTAACACCAGCAGTACCGAGGGTGTTAAAAATTTTATCTTTTCCATGCATCTCATTAGTCTTGTAGCACATAGAGTGATTAAACGAATGTGCACCATTCGTATCCCTCATAATTTTCTGATCAGATAATACCTTATCGTTTGGAACTTCATCCGAAATTATGCTTCTATTTCTAGTTATATTCATTATATTTTTCTTTAAATCTGTTCCACATGAGATAATTCCTTTGTTGTTATTATCACATGCATTTGCATCATTAATTATTTTATTTTTCAAATTTTCTTCATTTATAAAATTTGGAAATCTTAGCTTATCCATGCAAATCTCACTGGGGGAATTTTCACACATGGAAAGATCATTAATAGAGGAAGCTTGACAAGCACTGATTTCATCTCTAGAAGCATTATTATTCTCTGAGGTTAATCCAATCGGTCTCGTGCACGCTGTTATATCTGCTCTTATTACATCGTTGAAATATTTTACATCCTGATTCCTGTCTAAGAATTCGCACTTGGAATGACTTTCATCTGTGCAGTTGCTTAATTTTCTATCGGTACATATCTGCACGTGATTTGCAACGTCACAGCTGTGTTTACGATACAGATGATTCCATTCCCTCAAGGCGTTTAAACCACAATTTCTATTTTCATTTGCATAATTACTATTGTCTCCAGCTTGCCAACCAAAGACATTGTTAACCTTCTGCGATGCAAGTACTGAACTAAAAGCCTGTGCACTGTCGTGATTGTTATTACAATTTATGCACATATGGTTCTGATTGGATTGAATATTACCACAGTATTTTCTTCTCCCATGATAATCACAGTGAGTAATGGTACTATGCAATGCTTTGACATTATCACTTGATGAAATGCCACAACTGGAGGAAACAATCACATCATTATGTAGGCCTGATTCTACATTACTGTAACATCTGTTCATATACAGTTTATCCATGGTATCTTTATCAAAATATTCATTTAGAACATTATCGTGATTTGTGTAGATATTATTAAATCTACTTCCTCCAATGTGCCTTTCATTATCGAATTGACATAAATGACAATTTGTATGATGTTTACAATTATCCAACTCTTCAACACTTGATGAATTATTCATTAAGTACCATTTTAACAATTTTAAAAAAATTTCTTTATTCAAAATATTTCCATTTACATTTGTATTCGCAATACCTTCATTTTGGTTGTTTCCTCCACTTGTGTTTCCACTTTGATCATTCTGCACACGGTCTTGCACATTGTCAATCATATCAGCACATGTATCATTCTCGGAATTTTTCTCTCCATTCTGTTTCTTCAAATGTACTGTAACCCTCGTAGTATTATCATTCAAAGGGATTTCCTCACCCAATGGAATTTCCTCACCCAAAGGGACCTCATCCCCTAATGGAATCTGGCTTCTCGAGTTATTATTTCCATTCTGTTGGCAATTTTGCATGTTCTTTTCAGATGTCTCGTTTACATCTATCAAGCTATTGTCTACAACCCCTTCCAGACTTCTACCACTACCCTTGCCTCTATCATTAATTTCTTCTCCGTTTACATTTTGCTGGTTATTTGCATCGTATGATACTTCTACCAAAGGGGTAGCATTTTCATTAGAATTCAATTCAAAGCTTTTGTTGATGTGAGTCCCATAATGAATTAACACTTCTCTGATACATTGCATTAGTTGATTTTTACATAAATTTTCTTCTCTATTAAGACAAGTGTTTTTTATTAATGAATCTTTATCTTCACCCAGGAGATTGGGCTTGGGTATATTCGCATACATGTTGCTAGAAATGTTATCAGGCCCGTTAAGATTTCTTTTTTTTCTCCAATTTTCTTGTACACACTGTCGTAAGCAGTTTTTATGAAATTGTGGATTTTTATTATTCCCCTTACTTATCATATCGAAAAGGTAACGAAAAGGCTTATCTGACATATCATTAAATTTGGCATTCCTAAGATGTGTACCATGAATATTTATATTTTCATTATGATCTGCATTGACAACATATGGATTTTGTGATAAATATTTGTAAACACAGGGATTCGTCATATTCATGTGCATGGGATGTCTAAGAAAGAATGTGCTGTGCATCTTGCAATTATCAATATCGATTAACATAAAATTTTTTAGCTTCAAAATAATACTATTCAAAGTGCATGTACTGATAGAGGAAATTATTCCTAGATTTTTCAAAATGGGTATAAAAATAACAGCATAATTAAAAATATCATTACAAAACAATATGTTCATAATTTTATTTAAATAATAAGTTTCTATTTTATTTATCTTTTTATTTTTTTTGTTTATATTTGGATGCAATACAGGACAATTAATCGCTGTCTTCACAGAACTTTCTTCATTCTTAACATTTGGCTTCATAGCTCCCTTATCAGCTTTATTTATTTTCTTATTTTCTAAACATATATCATTTTCAACATCTACAGACAGAAAATCATCGTCATGTTGGTTATCACAGCTGTTAACTTGATACACACTATCTACCCCATTCACCTGATTTTCCACATTAATCACTCCTGAAGTTTCATTATCATTTTCCATTACTACAGTGCTTGAAGAATGTCCAATTTTAGAAGCAAAATTATCTGTTCCTCCGGAACAGAATTTGTCAGATGTATTTGTCTTTCTATCATTGGATTTTAACTTACTATTTGAGAAAATATTGCTCTTCTCTTTGAAAAGGTTAATATCATTATAAACAGATGTATCAACACTGCACATTTCATTGTCTTTTGAAATATCCTTATTTACCTTTTTGTTCATTCCCATGGATTCTACAGTAAAAATTTTGTCGTAATTGAAATTACTGTTTTTTGGATTCTTATGACTTTCCTCTGCACTAGATATATGATCTTCTCCTTGTTCCTTTTCTTTATTATGTACTTGATAATTTGCATTACTGGGGATAATGGAATATATTCTCTTCTTCTGTGTTTCGTTATTGCTTACATTATCATATGAATGTTCTTGATCTACAATATTTCCATTTTCTATGCTATTCGCCATGAATGTTCGTGCATTTTTCTCTGACTCTTGTAGATCATTGGCCAATTCCTCTTTTTTTTCAAAAATTTCAATAATTTTTGTATCACCAGTAGAAGTGTTCGAGCACAACTGATCACTCGTGTGCGTGTCTTTTGGTGAGTTACTTTTCTCACTTGTGATGGTTTCTACAAGTGTGTAATCTTTTGAACAGATTTCCCTCACGTCCAATTTTTCCTTACTGTCACTGTCAATATTATGTTCATCTTGTTCGACATCTCTGCCTTGTGCCACTTCCAATTGTTGTGCTTCTTCCAACTGTTGTGCTTCTAACTGCTCTGGGAGTTCCTCATCCACGCTGTAAAACTTGAAATCATTTTTGCATTTATCAACCTTCACGTTATCATTAATAACAGTTTCGATGCTGGTTCGCATGTCCGTGGGTGCATAATAAATTTTGTCATCTACATCTATTATGTTCTCCTTGCAAAACATGTCGTCAGATGCATTGACAGTCAACATGTTCATGGGATATTCAGAATTATTCATATATGACTCACTGTTTTGAAATGAATTATCATTGTTTTGTGCTTCCTGATTTATGTAATTTCCATCGGTGCTGATCGTTTCAGTCGTTTCAGTTTTCATTTGTTTATGTTTGTAGCTAGCTACATTTTTATCTACACTTATGTTGTGTTTTCTCTTCAAGGATCGACTAACACAGTTCTTAGATAGATGCATAGATTCAGAGAACCCGCAATGGTCTACAGATTGGTAAAAATTCGAATTAGGTGCCTTTTTTTTCTTTCTATACAATGTCATATTTGCATTAGAATTGGGAATAATCCTATTTCTTTTAGAAGAAACTATCCCTTTGATGTATCTGTCAGAACCATTTTTATGAATTCGTCCTTTGACAGAGGAGAAATCTTCTACAAATTTTTTCTTCATCCTTTTAAAAGCATTTGCATGATAGACAATTGTGTTCACATCTATGTAAGAACTATTAATAGCCATTATTTTTCTGAAATGATAAAAATAGTCGTCCCCGTTCTTGTTACATACCCATTCTGGATTGTATTCTTTTAAATAGTCTAATATTTCTATGTAGCACTTTTTAATATTACACAATAGCTGTTCGACATATTTTGTTGCATCTGAGTATGTGAACCCAAAAATTATCTCATTTAATATGTCTTTTTTCAGCTTTCTCAAATGAATTTTATTCTTATTATTTGTAATAGAGGCGATGGCTGCTCCTGTAGTAGTAGTAGCAGAAGCAGAGGTAGCACTGCCATCATCTGCATTTTCCATTGAATGAGCATGAGCAATGTAAACAAGAAATAGTGGAACGGATATTTTTACGCTTCTGTGCATATTTGTTTGATCATCCGTATAAAAATTAGACAAAGTGTATCCAATATTAACGGGATTGTTATCAATATGAGCATTCGAATGTACACATAAATTATTCCTTCCTTCATTTATGATCCCATTCGTAATATGTTCTGAAGTTATGTTGTTTGTACTTTCCATATTTTCAAACATCATCTTTGTACTATAATTTTTTAAATAATGATGAATTTTCATTGCTATATTCTTGAATATATGATCAGGGTTCTTATCTTCTTCACATTTGTTTGCACTCAATATTTCTAAAGGTAAATGATTGGATTTTTCATTTAGAGTGATGTTTCTACATTCTGAATGGTTTTCTACATTATAGTTAAAATTATTTATGCAATTTTCATTACTTTTAATAAATGCTTCATTTTTTTTTTCTTCATTAGAATTATTACCATCATAGACAATAGGATTATGATTAGTACTTTTCTTAAATATTTCATCATTGTATAGGGAAGACGTAACTTCATGTTCTCTTTCTCTTATTTCATCATTTCTTATGCCTTTTAAATCATCATTAAGAGAGTTACTGTCAGAGGGATGAATAGATAATGTAGAATCCTTTAAAAGATGATGATCTTCTTTAAAATAATTAACAATATCACATTTATTATCTTCCAAATTTGATGCCTTTTCATTCTTATTATATTCATTATTGTTAAACATTTTTTCTACATATAATTTAATAATCTTTTCATTGCATGTATTATTTATATCTGAATTATCATTCAATTCATTTTCATTATTGCATTTGTTCATGATATTTACATTTTTATAGATACTTTCTTGTTCACCATTACATGAACAGTTAATAATATTGCAAGCATTTTCTTCTCCAATAAGATTATCACAATTGGGGTTATTTTTATAAAACAATATATTATTCTGATCCCATTTATGATCTGTCACACAGTGCTCAATTATTGGATTCTTCTTATGTACAAAATGCAAATCATTAACATGAATAGAGGCAGACACAGAGCCGGGAATATTTGTCTTATCCACCTCCTTCCCATGTGAATTGTTCATATTGGGATCATTCTCCACGATCGATGGATTCTCATTAGGGATCGTTACATTAATCTGATGATTCATGTTCATGCAGCTGTGGATCCTTCCCGAGTCATAGATCTTGCCATCTCCATTGTCACCTCCATCTGCAATCTCATTCTCATTAATGATAGGTGTATTCAAAAAATCAATCATAGAATTATTCTTCACGATACCTGGAAGGCACATGTCTTTTGATTGTGTATTCCCCTCTGCCAGATGTGCATCTATCATATGAGCATCTATCATGAGCTTGTTACTTCCCTTATCAATATTCTTATCTAAATAAAGGTTACATAACTCATTGGCATTCATAATTTTATTTTCGTCAATTGTGGAATTAGATGCAAAGGTATCTAAATTTTTGTTCTGAAAAATTGTAGACACCATTTTCAGCTCATCCACATAGTTCTTCTGCTTTTCAGACTTATTCGATTTTCCACTTTCTATCTTCGATTGCTTTTCCATTCTTTCTACAATTCGATTCGTGTATTTTTATTCAGTGCGCGTAGTGCCCCTTCGTTTTGCCAAATTGTATCGAAAATTTTCTGCGTTTCAATTTGGATTACTCGATGGATAACAACAAACAGAACGGCTTTGTGTGAATAGAACAAAAATTGAAAATTAATAATGCAAAAAAAAAAAAAAAAAAAAAAAAAAACTAGCTAAATGGAGAAAAGACGAAAAAAAGGAAAAAAAAAAAAAAGTTATGACGACTCTCACATTATTCATTCTACGTGGGAAAATGAAAATTCTTTTATAGTCATCTTCATATTGGGGAAAATATTAAAGCATTTTACAGGATTGTTTCTATTCATCCATGTAAAAATACACACACAAACACATATGGAGACAAAAAAATCAATATGACTATTGTTGTAATTATGATCGGATGATATGGTTCCTCTGTTGTAAATACAAATGTATCAGTGTGTATATCACCGTTGTGCAAAAGCACATGGTATAGACTATGTCCTTATTTAAAATGTGTTTGTCGCATGCAAGATATATGTAAAGATGAGTTTTCATTCTTTAATGTAATTTTCCATAAAAATACATTCACTTAATCCTTCTTGGTAATTGCAAAATTTGGTGTTTTTTATTTTATTTTTTTTCCTTTCTCCTATTGTTGTCGTTTTAAAGCTGATTAAAATGATTAATTAGAATATATCCTGCGGTCTCGATGTTATTTATAAAAAAATATATATTATTTTATTTTTTATTTTTATTTTTTTTTCTTACAACATTCCTTTTTTTATTCTAAAAAAGAAGAATAACAAAATACCATCTCCAAAAACGGATAATTTTTTTTTTTTTTTTTTTACTTTTTTCCCTTATGCAAGCATATAAAAAGGTTGTTCTCTACAACTGTGTGGTCAATTGATTATAGTGAGTCCACATGTGCAGATGGATGTACAGATAGGTATGGAGATATATATATATATATATACACACATGTGTAAAAAACAAATTAAAGCAATGACACAAAAAAAAAAAAAAAAAAAAAAAAAAAAAAAAAAAAAAAAAAAAAAAAAAGGGAGAGGAGGGGAAATGAGTGTTATGGATGTGTATCCACGTTGGATGATAGTTGTAAATAAGAAAAAAGAGAATATATGCTTTGTGTGTAATATTAAAATTGACAAATGTACTTCTTTAAAATTAAAAAACATGTTCCATTAATTAAAAAGAAAAAAAGATTGATGGTGTCGTATAACAAAGCAGTAAGGTTACATATGCAATTTACACCCTAACAAAAAACGTTTAAAAGAAAAAAAAAAAAAAAAAAAAAAAAAAACTATACACATGTTAATACGTATAAGAATAAATAAATATTTATGTAAGTTTGCATATATACATTTATGTATGCATATAATTAATCAAATGAATAATCATAAATATACATGGGCATAAATGTAAACTCATTTGAGGAAAACATGACACAAACATGTATATTGGAATATCTTAACATTTATGGTGTACAAGAAAATGAAACTCAAAAAAAAAAAAAAAAAAAAAAAAAAAAAGGGACATGCACAGTACTATATGTCTCCTTTTTCTGTGTTGTTATGGTTACACGTATGTCCAGATGTATGTGCACTTGATCCTATTTTTTTTTTTTTTTTTTTTTCTAATTTGCAGGATGTTCTATAAGGCAAAGGTCACATGTTTATGCCTTTTTGTCTTTACACATTTTGACATTAATCAGATCAAGAAGAAAAGCATATGTTTACTTGGACTAAGTGTATGTATGCACAGAGTAACTGTTATACACGCACGCACACACACACGCACGCACACACACACGCACACACATAAACGGGTTTATCACATGAATGGATTGTTCATAAACAAACGAGGAGAAATAAAAAGATGCTTATGACACACGAAAACAGCTTGTATGCATCTGCTGATAGGATAATAAATATTTATAGCTACACGATCCTATGTATACCTACTTTATTGTGATGTGTTCTTGAGAAATCTGTTCATGTTCATGTTCATGTAATTGTGCAACTTAAATACACGAGAGTTAAAAAAAAAAAAAGAATCAAAAATAGAGAGAAATACAGAGAAATTTTTACACCATTTAACATGGAAACTAAAGCCTATTTAAAAAAAACTCCATTCTGTGTATGTGCGTTAATAAAAAAAAAAAAAAAAAAATACACACACACACGCATACATACAGTACAATGTAATGTTATGCAACACCATGCAACACAGCGTAGCATAAATATACATACACAAAATATGACAAAGTGCTGAAAAAGATGGTAAAATTCTTGAAAAATACAAAAGTAAAAACACAACAAGCGGATTTACAAGTTTGAAAAAAAAAAAAAAAAAAAATGGAGAAAAAGGAAATAACGGAGAGAGTAAAGCGAGAAATGAATTAATAATAACGTCATGAATAATAACGCTTATGTATTCATGTATACACGCCCACTTGTATGCATACACAGTAAAGACTTTTTTAGTTATAAAAAAAAAAAAAAAAAAAAAAGTAATTCCTTAAAATAAAAATATATGAGAGTTACAAATATGATAATGTAAAATTTAATTCACGAGAGTTACACATAAGGATCTGTCAATGTGTATGATAACTTATTAGTTCTTATATTTTACTTTCACAGGAAAAAATTCAATGAAATGTTCAATAAAAATTCTCAAATTTATCATACATGCAACGAAACATGATGGGACAGGTAAAACAAGTTTATTCTTTTTCGAACTGCAGGTGCAACTGTGGAGAATTTTTTTTTTTTTTTTTTTTTTTCTTCTCTTTCTTTTTTTTTTTTCACAAAATTGGTACACTAAATGATAATGGGAGCAGGATCCTGAACTCTTCCTAATTCTGTTCGACAGACATAAAGAAAATGATCCAAATGCTCTTGGATATTCACAATTAATTTTTCACAATTATGATTCGATGTATTTTCTTTCTTTTCATTTAGAAATACTTATATGACTTTTAAAAAAAAAAAAAAAAATAAAAAAATAATAATAAATAAAACAATAATAATAATGAGGTTTAAAGAGGATAAAAAGAGCAAAATGCGAAATGTGTAAATATTAGAAAGAACAAAAAGAACAAAATGTGAAATGTGTAAATATTAGAAAGAATAAAAAGGACAAAGTATTAAAAGAATAAATATTATAAAGAATGCAAAGAACAAAATGTGAAAAGTATAAATATTAGAAAGAATGTAAAAAACAAAATGTGAAAAGTGTAAATATTAGAAAGAATAAAAAGGACAAAATGTTAAAAGAGAAAACATTAGAAAGAACAATGGATTAAAAATACAAACACAAAAATGCAAATGTACAAATATAAACAAACAAGTAGTGCACAAATGCACGTATCAATACAGAGTCAAAACAAGTACACAATTAGCCTTGCGCAAAGGGTGCAATGAGACGAACACGCATGGTCTAATTCACACATTTATATATGCACGATATACTATGTGCACAGGTGTGTATACACAACTGAGATGCTTTAGTTCCCAAATTCAAAATTGGATCAAAGGGGAAACGTAAATGAGTTTTAAAATGATCTGAACATTTGTGCATACAGGGTGAAATACAAAATAAAGGAAAAAAAAAAAAAAATAAAGGAGCAAAGAGGAAAGATGCAAAAATGCACTAAATAAAAAAAACCATACATGAACAACATGTCACACGTAGCGTTTATTATGTAAAACTGTTTAAGAGAGAGAGAGAAAAAAAAAAAAAAAAAACATAATAATAATGAAAAAGTAAAAGAATCACATAGAAGCGTAATTGAGTAAACACTCATTCATTTCCTTCAATCTCTTTTACATAAAACATAAATTTAAGGACGAAGGATTGTTTGCACACTTTCTTAAAATCATTTACAGGTGCAGAATATGCACAAAATGGGAGAACATATATAATATGTACATATGTTTGTTTAGGTACATTTGCATACACATATATACACATACATGCATACATACATACATACAAGTGTGTGTGTGCAAATAACACTTTCATGCATACATAACTGTGCAAATAATGATACGCGTAGACTAACAAATGATATTCATGCTATCATACAATGTGTATGGTCAAAAGGGCAGGAGAGAAGGAAATAAAATTCAAATAAATTTTATTTACGCAAGGTGAAAAACGCCAACCAATTTATTTATTGCAAACAAAAATTACGAGGTATGGTATTTTTATACTTTTTCTTTTTTTTTTTTTTTTATAATGACTTAAAAAAAAAAGAAAAAGAAAAAAAGTAATGATAGGAAAGAGTAAAAAGCGTAAGTAGGCAATTACTTTTAGTCCCAAACTGTTGATCTTTTTTTTTTTTTTAAGTCATAAAATTAGAACAGATCAGAGGAGAAAATATAGCAAATTCGTATGTGTGCAAATGGACACCTTGATCTAAAACTACACATATATATATATTTACACAAATTCATGTACACTTACTCATATACTCACTAAATTTATGAGTGCATATGCATATCAATGCAACCTAATGACAATTCTCCTTCCGTCTCATTTAAATAGGTGCGTGTTTATGTACACAAGGGAAATGCACAAATAGGAAAAAAACAAAAATAAAATAAAGTAAAAAAAAATTGCATAATAGGGAAAATAACCATATTCAAATGAAGAGCAAAATCAGTGCTCTTCTGTTTCCAGAACTACAATGCTCAAGAGACACAGCTTGTGTAACACGATGCTTCACATGAACTGTTTTTTTATGTCCAGATGATGATAAAAACGAATGGATTTGTAAAAAAGATGGAAAAAAAAAAAAAATAAAATAAATGGAAATAAAGGCAAATAAACGGAAACAAAGGAAAATATATTCATTCGAGAAACAATTACACATTTAGGTGATACAAAAAATATGAATTTCGATTTGCGTTATGGGCAAAAATACATATAAATAAAAGGGAAATGGGTTTAAGAGAAAGAGAAAAGGGCTAACAACTTTGTTCACATAATCATTTGTTCATGTTCACATGATCAGATATTCATATGATAATACTTCATTTGTGTTTAAGGTAGTTTATTTTTTATCTCACGAAAAGTGTATCCAAATTTTGTAAAAATATATATCATGTCCAGATCTAACATTCATATGATCAAAAAAAAAAAAAAAAAAAAATTAAGTCATACATTTTTTGGGTTTTAGTATACTCTCCTTTGAAATGTGTAATTTTTTAAAAATCGTTACAAAACGTAATTTCACCAAAAAAAAAAAAAAAAAAAAAATTACACATACATGTGTGTTACATATGTGCACATATTACATATACTTATGTCTGTTTTACATTTACGTAAACAATTCTGAATATACCGAAATATGCAATTCTAGAGCATTTGAATATTCCTAAACGGGTTGTTTCAAATTCGTGTTCATACTAACTAAAGTGGTACCAAATGGAGTGAAGATTAATTGGTTAGACAGAAAAGCATAGGGGCAAAAAAAAAAAAAAAACGAACTCAAACGGATGATATACATATATGTATATTTCTTCTTTTATTCTTTTCCGTGTTTGCACGCGTATGCTTCCTCTTAGCTATCTTTGTCGCCTCACAGGCAATCGTGTGCAAAAGTTAATAATACATAATTTTAGGATACATAACTCGTAAGCATTTTAGACTTGGACATTTAATAATATATACCTGTGTACGTATGCAGCAACTTTTTGTGAACAACCCTGAGTATAACCTCTATTTTTTCTTTTACTCGTGAGTAACCCCGAAATAAGTCCTCATTCCAGGCATATGTTTTTTTTTTTTAAATGTAACGGAGTTAAAGTTATTCTTGAAAGAATAAAAAAAAAAAAAAAAAAAAAAAAGGTAATGACACTACTTTTGAACATTTTTGGATAAAATAATAATGCACTTTATAAAAATTATCCGAAAAAGGAAAGCAGCAGAATAGTGCAAAATATGCACTAGAGTGGTCTTTTTTTTTTATGTTTTATTTTTTTAAAAAACGGTATTTTGTTTTCCTATATGTATTTACTGACATGTGCATATTATTCCCTTTTCACTTTCGAATAACAATTATGAAGCAAAAAAAAAAAAAAAAAGAGGAAACAAACAAAATAAAACCATTAGGGAAAATATGTCGAGTTGTTTGTGTGAGAACAGCAACTATGTGCACACGTTTTTTTTTTTTTTTTTTTTTTTTTTTGCACCTTTGCAACTATTGTGACATACAAAATTGGAGAGTTGTGACATGCTTAGGCAGCAAACTTCGAGTTTGTTGGAAAAAGGTGTGTGTTAGCATTTTTTCGTGGATACTAAAAATTTGTTAATTATTTGATTGTTCTAATGTTCGATTGATGAACACTTTTAAGTAGCATTACTGTTTTGCTGCAATATTACACTTCATTGTTATTGCATTAATGTGTTATGTCACTATTTTGCAACGTTACTATTACACTTGTTTTTTATTATTATTTTGTACTGTTTTGTACTGTTTTGTACTGTTTTGTTCTGTTTTGTTCTGTTTTGCTCTGTTTTGTTTTTTGCAATTATCTTTGTCATGCTTTGCTAACACATTCGGCGTTTAGCGGGGAAAATAAAATATTCTGACATGGTCATAACTTTCTGTGAACTTTTCGATCGTCTAGCCAATCTCTCACCTGAACAGGTCAGCAAGTGATGAGGAAAAGAATTCTAAAAATAAAAATGATAAAAATGATAAAAGCAATAAAAATGATAAAAGCAATAAAAATGATAAAAGCAATAAAAATGATAAAAGCAATAAAAATGATAAAAACAGTAAAAATGATAAAAACAGTAAAAACAATAAAAACAGTAAAAATGACAAAAGCAATAAAAATGATAAAAATAAAAAATAGCTAAATGATGCTTTCGCTTCCCTCTTCTTCACCTCGTTAACACATTAATTGTTTGTACTTCAGTTTTCGTTAAAAAAATAACTGTACGCGGATATTGTTCAACAAAAATGACTTATGCGCTTACGGTCTTAAGCTATATACAAAGATTTATATTGCTGGTGCATGTGTGTGTGTTTGGTTGAGTGAAAAGGCGGAGTTGCACCATCATGTAAATATTTTTCGCTACTCCTGTGCTCTACGTAAAAAATGTGTCAAAATGGAGGTTCTACATAAGAACAAATGGGGTTCATTCCGAAATAACCTCAAAGAAATGCACATTTTAAATTATGTTTTTGAGAATATTCACATGTTCGCAAAGGAGGAAATTGTTGCACAATTATAATTTATCTTCTACAAATAAAAATGATTCGACCTTTACAGCAAATCTGAATAGATACAAAATTTTCCCTTATCATTGTGTGAACATTTACATTTAAATGTAACTCATTTCACGTCTAATATTAATGAGAAACAAAGCATAGCGAGAACACTATTGTTGACAGTATAAAAATATTACTTTTTAATTACCATCTGGTGGTAGTTCATGGCATATAAATTATTATCAGACTTGTTTGTATATTCTCTGTACATGCTTAAATATAAAACCCTTGTGTGTAAGTTTCATATGCGTATTACATAGGAGGGGAGCCATGTAATGTGTATAACACAACACTTATCCATGAACGTTTCTGCATTTTTGAAAATTGAATGATTAGAAGAAGCTCAAACATTGATCAAAATTTTATATATGTGTATGGTATACTCATTTGCATGTCCCGTTATTTTTTTGCTGAGTTTTTTTTTTTTTTTTATATATATTGTTTTTCAAATTACCTCAAACATATCAATTTGTAAGGCAATAAGTTAAAATGGAACCATGAAAAAAAGGGAAATAACTTAATCCGCTGTATGCAGTTGTGTCAGGCCAGCGATCTGTTGGTGCATGCAAGTAAAAATGCACTTCAAAAAAAAAAAAAAAAAAAAAAATATTAACTTTCGAGTTAGTTAAATATGAACCGTTCATAAAAGTTCTGCACGTTAATTATTGACATAATACTGTTTACAAAAAAAAAAAAAAAAAAAAAAAAAAATACTTAACAAAAGTTTCGGATGACGTGACTCCATGACAAAAGTCCTATCGAAATTGTTCCATCATACATCCACATAATTCCCGTTTCGAGAACCTATTGTTACAATTTAAAAGGAAAGTTGAAAAAGAGTAATAAAGTAAAAAGGTAAAAATATACGAGTACCTTGTGTGTTTCATTCTGAAAAGAAAGGTCCTTTTTTTTTTCTTTTTTTTTTTTAACATGGCTATTTTGTGACTAATTTTCTCAATGCATGTGGGGTTGGTTTAGGACTGTTTTTTTTTTTTTTTTTTTTTTTTTTTTTTTTTTTTTTTTTTTTGGGTTTTTTTTGTGTTTTTTTTTTTTTTTTTTTTTTTTTTTTTTTTTTTTTTTTTTCCTTTCATTTTTGCATGCTTGTGAGGTTTATCCTTCTTTATTTGAGAAAAGCCTATTTCGGGGGGTGGGAGGATGGAAAAGAAAAAAAAAAAAAAAAAATTATAAAAAATAGAATAATATAAAATGTCGCTGAAAGAGAATTGCAAAGAACGTGTGTTGAGCGTAATCGAAAAGATTACTGAAGTAAGCAAGTATGTAGTTATGGTTGTTGATAAAAAGGCCTATAGAATTCTATCAATGATTTGCAAAGATGAGGAATTATTAGAAATGGGTGTTTCTCTGATAGAATTAATTGATGCGAAAAGAAGTAGACTGCAAGATTTTGATTGCTTGTATTTTATTAGTTCCAATGTGGAAGTGGTTGAAATGATGTTATCAGATTTTAGGGAAGAAAAAAATGCAAAATATAAAAATGTACACATATTATTTACTTCAAATGTAGGGGACAGGAATAGGGAAATTCTTGACATAATTGCAACTAGCGATTTTATTCTTAAAAAGATAAAAAGCTGTGCATGTATTAATATACACTTTTTTGCATATGAAAGTCGTATTTTTTATTTTGATAACAATTTAAATTTATATGATTATTATCCTTTAAAAAAATCGACTATTTTACATGACCTATCATTACAATTACTTTCTGTATGTTCATGCTTGAAGAGCAATCCTCACATACGTTTTCAGAACTCACCTTTATGCAGAAAATTTGCAGAAATATTTTACAATTCTATGAATAATTCTACTGCATGTCAAGGTTATAATAACAACGATGATGATGTTATTTTAATTTTAGATCGATCTATAGACTGTTCCATTTTATTTATCCATGATTATTCGTATCAAAGTCTCTGTTATGATATTTTGCAGATTAAGACATATCATGAGGTGTCAGAGGAGGAGGGACATATGGAAAATGAAGAAAACGAGACAAGATATGGGCATAAAAAACAGAGAAATGTGAATATAGGAGAAGGTGCTCATTGTGTTAGTTTCGAAATTACAAATAATGATCAAAGGAAAGAAGAAAAAAAAGCAATCCTTTCTGAGGATGACAGTTTATGGTTTAAGTATAGACATGCACACATACAAGAGGTGAACGAAATGATAAAAAATGAAATTAGTTCTTTCACAGAAAAAAATGCACTAGTAAAAATTAAGAAGAAGAATGTTTTAAATCCAAATGAAGCATTACATGCATTGAGATCTCTTCCACAATATGAAACTATGATTGAACAATATTGGTTACATGTATACATGTGTGACAATTGTTTTCAAGTTTTACAAAAAAGAAATATAGTAGATATTGGTATGGTTGAGCAAGATATTTGTTGTAATGTTGATAATTATGGAAAAGAACTTAGTCATTCCAAAAATTTCGCAAGCATAAATTCTATTATTTCTAGCAACAACTACGAACAGGAAGAGAAAGCAAGATTAATTCTTCTATACTTTATTAATTATGAGAATCTGAATGAAGACGACAAAATAAAAATGATGGAAACAGCTGAACTTGGCTTATTCATGCAAAAGTTTATTGTTGAATTTTTGAAGTTAAAATTACATTGTGAAAAAACACATCATTATAACCATCATCCTATGGATGAACATTCTTCATCAACTACTAAAATATTTCATGTGTTAGATAAAAATAAAAAAAAAATTAAGTACTACAAAAATGTAGCAAAAAATTCAAAGTATGAACTAAGTCGACATGAACCAAATATAAAAGACATTATCATCGAAATGCATCACGACACATTGAATAAGGCACTATTCCCATTCGTAGATAATAATCGAAAGATGGATGATTCCCCAGAGAAAAATATATCCTCTGTGAAAAAGCAAAATGTTACAAGAGGAACCGTTTGGGAATTCAAAACGGAAGAGAATAACCCAATGCAAATTGGAAATAAAAAGAAAATCATCCTTTTTATTATTGGAGGGATCACCTTTCCAGAAATAAGACAAATTTATGAATTGTCTGAACAATTGCATGTCGATATATATTTAGGTGGAACTTCCCTCCTAACTAGTGGTGTGTTGTTTGACCAATTTAAGAAAATTCCCAGCTTTTAGCACCGGCGAAAAGATAACCTATGACTGTGTTTTTTCTTATTTTTTGTTTTTTTAAAAAAATGAGAAAATCTCCATTTTATAAATGCCAACAATTACTTTTATTTTTGTTTTACCTTATCCCCCCAACGATGAGACATAATATGTATACATATGTATACACACACATATATATATATATATATATTGACTTCTTCACTTAATTGATTTTTTTTTCTCTTTTTTTTCAAAATCTATATGAAGATCTTACTTCTACGGGTCTAGTTTCTTCACTGCCACTCCGTTTGTCAGAGCGTATGTTTATCTCTCTCTCCTCTATTTGTAAAAACATTAATATTGTTAGATAACTGTTCAGTTAAATTTGAAGTTTATGATTTTCTTCTTGTTTGAATCAAATTAATAAATTAAGAATGAAGACATCGATAATGAGTGTCTGAAAACCAACAAAAGATTGTGCACCTTCCCCCCCTTGCGTAATCCAAAAAAAAAAAAAAAAAAAAAAAAAAAATCGCTTATTTTAATTAATCGCTTATTTTAATTAAACGTTTATTAGTGGGTTATTTTTGGAAAAAATACCTATTGGTAAAACATACAAAAGTGATAAAACTGAACATCCATATGGTATCATATTATACGTAGTGCCATTACTTGAACTTCACTACAAAATTAAAAAAAAATGAAACGAATACGTGTGTACCACTTTGACAATTCCAAGTGGAAGTACATTCGTTTATGTGATGTTATTCATATTGAGGTGGATTATTATATGGGGTGTGAATTATTTTACAAAAATAAAATAAAAAAAAAAATTCACTATTTATGGGTAAATGGGGAAAGCCATACAAATTATAGCATGATGCAAAACTAACCAGATGTATACTTAGTAACCATCTAACCAAACGGACACAAAAAGAGAGATCGAGAAAGAGAGAGAAAAAAAAAAAAAAAAAAAAAAAAAAAAAGTGGGAACAAGAAATGGGGATATGTTATAAAAGGAGAAATACACGATCCGTACCCCTTTTATGTTAGCAAACTCTGGTTCTGTCTTGAATGTTTCTCTCCTGCTTAAACGCTTCGATCCATTGATGAAATTTTTTATTAACATAGTGCGTCTTTTCGTTTTGCCCACGTTTTGCAGATAAATACTTACATCTATATTTCATTTTTTCCATGACGGAACAAAGGCAATCATTCCACTCTTTTAAAAGATTGTATTGGAGATTAATGCCACGATTCAAACTTGTAGTGTCTTGGAAGGAATTGCTATTAATTATTTCTTTTCTTGAACCTATGAAATCATCTAACGAATACTGAAATGGTATAAAGTAGTATGGGGCCGAGTTAATGTCGAAAACATTGAGAGAACTTCTTACCCTTTGGATATTAACATGATCCAGGTGTATGTCTTGAAAATTGTGCATAACAATGTTAGATTTTTCATTTTTTGAAATTTCAAAAATAAATTCATAACTATTTTTTCTTAATAGTATAGCTATCTGAAGGTTTGAAATTTTACTCATCTCAAAATAATCATCTTGAAAGAAGGCCAAAAAATAATTGCTGTAAGAGTCAGGCGCTTTTATTAAATTATGAACCAATTCTTTATCATATACCTTGCAATAGTGTTTATATATAAGATTATTTTTATATACAGTATTACTTTTTATGTTAAAAAAAATACAGTAATACTTTTTCCATTGTTCCCTTTTAATAAAAATAAATGTATATCCTTTTTTTATAATTTGTATGTCGTAAATGTCTGTTTCGTGTACTCTTCTGTTTATGCCATTCTTCATATGATAACTAATTTTCCCCATGTCCACATGTCTCAGCTGATCATTCTCTGTATTTCTCTTTGAACTCTTGCTATAGTCACTAGTTCTAGTTGTGGAATTCTTTGTACTCGTGGCAGTAGCGGTGATTGCAGTTGTAGCGATGGCTTTAGTTATGATGTTCTCTCCAGCATTGGCAGGTGCATCCAGGACAGAGAGAGAAGTGTCACCTATATCATTATGGGTAGCAGAACCAGTGAATGTTGTTCTCCCATCTACCTTCACACAAGTAGCATAATCTGGAAAGTTTTCCCTCATAGCTGCAAAAAATATATAATTCAACTTTTCAAGAAGTTTCATCTTCCGGGAACTTGAAACTTGATTTTCTTCTGTGAAAAGTGCATGCACAGATTCCAAATTTGTTTCATCTTGGTTAGACACTGTCGTACATCTGTTTAGCTTTTCATTCCAGTGATTCATTTCTGTCTGCATGTCACATTCCATTTGAGTGTTATCAAACTTATTTGCAACTTCTGCCATCATTTCTGGTGGATCCTTTGCTGTATAATCCCTTAGCACATGGATCTCTCTGGGGTAAAGTAGTCTCTTAACTTTGCTTATTTGGCTTGATACATTATGAAAAATGTTCAAGTATTTATTGTATGTACCGTTTAAAATCAGAAGGTCTTTTTCGTCCTTTTGTCTAGCTGCTCCAATGGAGTTATTTTCATAGTATCGGTTTCCTTCATTCACTTTACTCACTTCGTCCGATGGAGTTACATCCTTCAAGCAGATGTCGTACAGAAATATATATTCTGATCCATCTAACTCGACATTTTCTTTGTATGTCTGATTGAGCATTTCATTTAAATACGTGAATGTATCTCCATTGGTTTGGCATACGTTTTTTATCGTGTTAATTATCACCTTTTTGTTATTATCAAGATTATAATCACAGCACGAGTTACTTCCATGTTCCGATATGGGGATTTCTTTAAAAAAATTATTGTGTTTGTTATTATTATCTATGCATGCTATTTGCAATTCTCCCTTGATTGATTCTCTGTGCATTTCCTCATAATCCTCTACACCATATTCACAACTCTCCCTCCTCCCTGTTTCAGAACTTCGCACTTGGGCAGTATCCACCTGCTCAGCCTGTTGTTCTACTTTTTTTCGTTTATCAAATTCATTCACAGAATATCCATCACTTGTACTATGATTTCCACAGATGCTCATCAATTTCGACTCTTTCTTACTAGAGTTGTTTACCACATTGGACACAATAACTTTGCCGCTCCATTCTCCTCTAATGCCACTTGTATTATTGTTTGAATGAATTATATAATTTGAATTAATTCTTCCTAAAGCACAACTAGATGATGCTTTTTGTAGAATTTCCGTTGGAGAGCTCGGGCACCCTCGGTTGGATTGACCCTTGTTATTCTCAATGCCATTTCTGTTAGTTACGCTTTCTGTGTGAGTGATACTTTCGGTGTGAAGACTGTTTTCTGGGTTATGTATTATGCTTGCTCGATTTGTTTCATTCGTTCCTTTGATCTGGAACTCTTGGCTCTCTTCACTCCTCTCACTACTATTAGCCGTGCACGCTCTTTCCTCCCTTCCAAGTTGTGGTGAACTGTTGGCATAGGAACAAATTGTCTCGACACTAGAAATGCTCATCTTCCCTTTGTTCGGATTATTTTCCAACAATTTAATTGTAGGTCCATTGTATCCATCTGTGTGGAAGGGACGAATGGGAAAAAAACAGGGTAAGTAATCACGGAGGCGAACATGCGTATAGAGAAGAAGGCAATAATGTGGAATCTTGAATTACCACACACACGTTCACGCATGCACATTTAAGAAAATCGTTCATGTTAATGCAGCAGCATTTTGAGATATATAGCGAATAAGTGCACTTTGATAATTGAGGCAAAAGGATGAGTGTAGAATTTTTTTTATGTTGGTACAATGTGGCAAATAATGTGTTACTTCAAATATATATATCCTGTATTGTTCTATTATACAGAAAGTTAGCTATATGTGACAACATTAAATTGTCATAATTCAATAAGTAATATTGCACCATTTTTGCAACAGTTTAGATGTTAACTTTTGTGATGTATTTTTTTTTTTTTTTTTTTCTATGTTCTGTTTCTTTTGACTGGGTGAGGAAATAAAGGGGGAAAAAAAAAAAAAAAAAAAAAAAAAAAATTACCCCATTTTGATTACCTGAACGGAGAATATTTTTTTTTTTTTTTTTTTTTTTTTTTTCCCCCATCTTGGCTAGCTCGTTAAAACATTTGCGTTGCAGTTAGTTTTTTTAATATAACATTCTAATATAACATTTTAATATAACATTTTAGTGTACCATTTTAATATAACATTTTAGTGTACCATTTTGTGCATCATTTGGTGCATCATTTTGCGTGTCATTTTTTTTTGTATTGTTTTGACCCCTCGAACAGAGGTTATGTGTTACGTACACATGTTCTGTTTCGTGTAGACACTCTGTTTTTCTCATGCAATGTGTATGCATCCCTATTAGCAGAATACATATTCTTAATTGACACTCCATTTCACCAAAAAAATATGTACCAAATGGGGAAATGTGCAGAGAATGGTCCACTTCATTCGTGTGCATGTGTGCGAGCATGTGTGCAGGTATATATGCATATGTATATCTATGTATGCATGTGCAAGTATATATTCATTTGCATGTATACATTTTGTACGCAGTTGTCCGTGCGTGTAGAGCATAGACGTGCGGTACCAAAACTAAGAGAGGCTTAGTTTCATTTCCCTTTTTTTTTTTAAAATGCTGTGGCTAATTCTTTTGTATATGTATACAATAGTGAGTACAATATATGGAAAAAAGAAAAAACAAAACAAATACAATGGACAGGAGTGTTCATGCGCTGTGAAGGCTGTACGGATGTTTTTTTTTTTTTTTTTTTTTTTTTTTTATTCTCATTGTTGTTATTGTAATCATTCAACTATTATAATCATTACTACTATTGTAATCATCGTCGTTATCATTATTATGTTTTTCATTTTTTTTTTGTTACCTTTTGTGGATCGTTCGTGGTCGGGATGAACGGGCACAAAGTTCTCCGTCTGTGTTTTTTTCTCAGGGTTGACAAAAAGCATTTTATCAATTTTAAAAAAAAAAAAAAGTACAATGAAAATTAAAAAAGAAATTAAAAAAAACAAAAAGGGCCCAAAAAAATCCTGTAGAAAGATTTCCACAATGTACAAACAAGTCATTTATAGACTAAGTTGGTTGACTGATTTCATGAGTTTTTTATGTAGATACATCACGAAGTTGGGCTTGCATATTTGCAAGTACGTGTGCAGTTGTATGTGTAGGTGTACATGTGTGTGTGTGTATGGGTGGGATATATTTGCACATGGGCAGACACAAGGGAACATACATAAACATGCATGCGTGTATAAGTGGAAAAGTAAATGTTAACAAAACCAAATGCCAATCAGTAAACTCCTTACAGAACTGACACAAATGTTGTATACTCATCTATATTCACAACTGTGGGGTTGACGCCTTGTTCTGTTCAACTACATTTAATTACATATATATATATATATATATATATATATATAGATATAGATATGTGTGAAAATATTCAATGCAAAAACAACGCAAGGAGAAAACAATCACACGTATGCGACTTGTTCAAAATATTGAAAAATAAAAATAAAATAAAATAAAACATGATAAAATGAAACGGAATGTGGCATAAGGAAATGCAAAAAAGTGGCAGACCAAAAAGTGACGATTTGTTCATTTTCACCATACCGTTTATAGGTTGCATTTCAAGAACGTTTTTTTTTTTTTTTTTTCTTCTTACCATTTACATTTTATCTCTTTTTTTTTTTTTTTTTTTCTTCTTACCATTTACATTTTATCTCTTTTTTTTTTTTTTTTTTTTTTTACCATTTACACTTTATCCTTTTTTTTTTTTTTTTTTTTTTCTTCACTTTTTACCACCCATCTTCAATCCCTTTTTTTCTTTTTCTTTTTTTCTCACGCCATGCTATACTCCAATCTCTATGGTACGTTATTTTATAAATAAAAGTTGGTAGTGTAATTTCTATCAAGGATTTTTTTTTTTTTTTTTTTTAATGTTCTTCTGCATTAATTTGTTAACCTGTTAATCTATCGATTTTACCAATTTGCCAATTTTACTAATTTTCTGATTTGGTACAAGAAAACACGATTTGGCATCATTTAAAATAATTCCAATAATCTGTTGAAAATAGGAAAATTTTGCAGAATTCATTTCACCATCACGTTACTATATTTAGGTGTGGTTCCAAAGAAACAGAACAAAGTTGGAAGGTGAAAAAAAAAAAAAAAAAAAAAAAAACATAAAAAGGGAAAATCCATAAAAAAGATAAAACCATAAAAAGGAAAAACCATAAAAAAGGAAAAACCATAAAAAAGGAAAAAATCATAAAATGAGAAAGGACATTTTTGAATGTCAAGGGATTTATAGTTGCTTACAAAAAAGCAGTTTGCTCGTTATTGAAGACTTTTTCCTTTTATTTTCATTACCCTTTTTTACATATTTTCTTATCTCTTTATTTTTTTTTCCCTTTATTTTATTTCATTATATCTTTCACAATACACCCTCCTTTCACTTCCTATTCTCCGTTTTCCATCATTTTGCAAATTCCACACCTTTATTTTATTTTATTTTTTTTTTCCTATTATTCGCTTTTTACAATAGCATTCACATGATGCTTGTTCCACATTACTCAAGAGCGTAACAAAAAAGAAAAAAAATGAATAGAATAAAAAAAAAAAAAAAAAAAAAAAAAAAGCATCCCATCTATTTTGTGTTACAAAGGAGAATTTTTTTTTTTTTTTTTTTTTTCCTATTACTTCATTTTTTTCCTTTTTTTTCCTATTTTTTTTTCCTATTTTTTTTTCCCGCGTTAGAAGAGTTCTTTTCAGTGTAACTTCTCCCCCTCGTGTGTAAATTAAAAAAAAAAAAAAAAAAAAATTAATCCAAATAGTGAACTCATACGCTGGATTGAGTCCAAATATAAATGCCAGTTTAGTATGTCTTGTTGAAATGGGTGTAAAGTTAATGCCTTTTATTTTACTTTATTTTTTTCCATGACAACAAAACCAGTTGTTCATAATCTACAATGGGTGAAATGAATCTGTCAGTCTAAGTGCAGTTACGTATGCACACACATGTATGGTAATAGCATCCATATGAAGAATTTTATATCTATTAGCTTTTTTCTTTTGCTCTTATATTTTTTTTTTTGAAAGAGTCTACGAGACATACTTTTCCACAATTCAAGGGGTGAAGCATAAGCAGTACTGAAAAAAAAAAAAAAAAAAAAAAAATTCACCTTTACAAGTTAGCATGAAGCCAATGTTAACACAAAATGCCACGGCTCCTAGGGGAAAAATGCTTTAAAAATGTGATAAAAAAGTGGGCCAAAGGTAGAGACATAAAAGTTATAAAAAGGTGGTTATACGATGATGTATCCACAAAGGGAAGATGAAAAAAAAAAAAAAGTTGGTCAGGTTGTTGCAATACATAGGTCAAACAAAATGAGGATGAGGTGCTTAACTAAGTGTGATGGCTAAAGTCGCAAGGGAAAAAAAAAAAAAAAAAAAAAAAAAAAAAAAAAAGGTAAACAGGAAATCACGCATACGAGTAAAAAACTGAAATTATGCACAGGTATGTAAATAATATATATATATATATATATATATATATATATATATGTATATAAATATGTATACGTATGTATACGTAAGAGCCTGTTTATTTTGCTTGTAATCCCCAGCGTAGGAAGTGATTTGTGGCATGAGGCTCTTTTCAAATGTTTTTAAAAACGGCCATGAATGTTTTTTTTTTTTTTTTTTTTTTTTTTTTTTTTTTTTACATATTAGAAATAACTGCCTTAACTTGCTTAATACTGGGTGTTTGACGTAATTCCTACCGTTTGACTCATCTATCGTAAGGATTGTTCGTTGTCACTTCAATAGCTAAGGTGTTCAGATCATTTTTTTGAAAAAAAGTGCAATGCATATATACACACAAATAATGACAACACAGGAGAAAACAAACGTATACAGCAAGGAAATTTACAGTTCCTCATAGTAACCCATATATACATATATATATATATATATATTATTCCACTGCAAGGGGCAGAAGGGAGAGGAGGAGGGTCTTACCAAAGTAAGCTTCTTTTAAAAAAAAAAAAAAAACACGATCTTGTATCCTTCAAGAGGTACAAGTGAACAACACCTTAATTTGAGGTCTTAGGAAAGTTTGGGGAGGGTGGGGGACCATAGAAAAAAGAACACGACTTGATTTTCCAACGTCCTGGGATATGGACTCCATAAACTTGAACATTAAAATTCCACTGATTGAAAAAGTGGCAACAAATGTGAAGGAAATAATTTCACACATAAAACTGAACGATGGAGTATATTTTGACAAGAGTAAATATGACAAAGAAGAAATTCTCAATAATTTACAAAGCAATAATGTGCAGAAGAAAATAGAAGCGATGAAACACATTTTAATTGCACATGTATTGAAAGAAGATGTTTCTATTTTTTTTTTTCAAGTTTTAAACAATATATCTATTGATGATCTAACACTTAAAAAATTAATATATAATTATTTATCCTTATATGCTGATGGAAATCCTGATTTGACTATACTCACAATAAATTCATTTAAAAAAGATCTTAATAATAATAACTATCAAATCAGAGCTTACGCTTTGAGATCTATGTGTTCAATTCGATCTCTTGATATGATAAATGTAATTATTGATTCACTTAAAATTATGAGTAAAGATAAATCTCCATATGTTAGGAAAGCATCTGCTGATGTCATTCCATCTATATACCACATTGACCCAGATCAATTTGTTCTTTTAAGAAATGTTTTGATCGAGTTAATTGGTGACACTCAAATTACTGTTGTCTCGGCAGCCGTTGCATCTTTTTGCACTCTGTGTCTAGAGGCCATTCCTTTGAACGAGGAACTTGTGCAAAATGAAATGAAGCCTCAGATATGGGAAAATGGAAGAAGTGGAGAAAATATGGTTGATGGAGAAGATTCTCTTGATGGGAGAGATTTACTGCGCTTAAGTGAACCCAATGTGGAGGTTCCTCAAGGGAGAGAACAATTACGTAAATGCAGCAATGATAATTCTCAATCCAAAAAGGAAAGAAAAATAAAAGATACATCTTATGATGAAATAAAGAAGCAGAGTAGAAACATCAATGGAAATGAGCATTTTTACAACTCGCTATCATTTCTTCATCCACATTACTATAAATTGTGCAAGTATCTTCTTCTAATGCACCCTTTCCATCAATCTTATTTAATAGATTTGCTATTGAGATATTGTAAATTGTTTTACAAAGATCCTTTAAAAAATAATAAAATAAAATTAAAAGGATTAATGTCTTTCTTCAACTCTTCGGATAGTGCTAATAACACAGAGGAGAAAAATCAAGTAGATATGAATACATCTGATTATGATTTTCAATCCAGTTTGTACAAAGATGAAAATTCGACAGATGCAGAGAAATGTCGGACCGGGGACCTTGCTAATGGCTATGGTAGAGGAACCAAGAAAAGTAAGCCATATCATGTCCCCATTAGATCTAATTTGGTGAAATATTCATATGACGAAATGGATGATGATACATTTGATGAATTTCAGCATTACGAGGTAGATATAGAAATATTCATTGAGAAGCTTCTGCTTCTTCTAAGCTCTTGTAGCTACAGCATAATCATACAAGCCATTTCAGCATTGTATCATTTAACCAAGTTTACCTTTAAAGATAACATTATTAAAGCCATTATAGCATGTATAATAAAAAGCACCACAGAGAAAAATGACCTAGTATATGAAATTTTTCTAAAAAGTGTACAATCGATTATAATTTGTTTGAGGGAAGAATTTTGTGCATATATTTCCTTTTTCTATATTAGTTGTCTGGATAGTAATATGAAAAAATCGCTCAAGATAGACATGTTGTATATACTTACAAATGAGCATAACAGAATGATTGTTTTGGACGAATTGTTTCATGCACTTTTTCAACCAGGAAATAATGAATTTATAGTGAAGAAATTATTTAAGCATATTACTGCAATATCTTTAGCGGATTCATTATGCCTGTCCAAAGTCATGCATTATATCATGCTTATGTTAAATTCGGACATAAAACTGTATTCATATGAATCCATTTTATCCCTAAGGAAGCTTCTAAGACAGAGTGAAAGAAATCATATTGTACAAATTACCTTCTTCTTGATCAAAATTTTTTTTAAAATTAATTCGTATGAGGTTAAAATCTCTGTATTGTGGACTTTGGCAAAGTATCAGAATTGCATCGACCATTTATTGTTATTCGACATGGTTCGCATGTTAGCCAAATCTTTTAACAGCTTCGAGGACCCACTTAAGCTACAGGTTCTTCACTTTGTTTTCAAGGTGTGGATTTATCAGTACGCCTGTTGGTTTGTTAACGGGGGAGAAGTGGCAGAGGAAGAAGTTGCAGAGGAAGAAGTTGCAGAGGAAGAAGTTGCAGAGGAAGAAGTGGCAGAAGAAGAAGTGGCAGAAGAAGTGGCAAAAGAAGTGATGGAAGAGGGAAACGAAGGAGACTCGAGTTTGCGTGGGTGCCGAACCGATGTGCACCTCCCCTCGCAAGAAGAAACATGCCAAGCTAGGAAAATGAAATTATCTCCAATGAGGGATTACAGGAGAGAAGAAAATTCTGTGACAGCTACAAGTATATATCTGGAACAGCGGAGGGGTGATAGAGAAAAAGAGGGAATCAAAGGCATAAGGAGGAAAAGAAACAACAAGAGATGCTCAACTAGTATGACAAGACACATGGAAGACTTTGAAAAGTTTGAAATTCTGTGTAATGAATCGTTTCGACAAGGATCACAAGGTGATGAGCATTTTGATATTCAGGAGACGAGCAAATTTTACGCAACCATTATGCTAAGAATAAAACAGCTGAAAAAAGAAAAAAAAGAAGATCTTAATTGGACAATGTTGAAAAGGAATCTTTTCAAAGAACCAGTTAACAATTATACCTTGCCACTGTGTTATTTAAAATGTATTTTTCTCGATACTGGCATATCGGATATTCCTAACATTTCTGACATGTCTGATACGGTGCGTTTAAGCAGAGAGGAAATGCAGAAAATGTACAACTCGCCCTTTCTGGAATCAGAAAGAGAAGATGAACATGAAGATATCCAAATCGATTTGAAAAATCCAATCGTTCTTCAGTTAAACACTATATCAAGCATACTTAATAGAAAACTCCCAACTTATGTTGATTTACCCGATTTTGCTGAAAATGATTTATCAAAAAGTGCCCATATCACTAATAAGGATAAAAAAAAAAAGAAGGTGACCAGTATATCTTCAAAAGATATACACATGAGCTTCAATGCAAACATGATTAATGATCATATATTTTCCAATTTGGACGACTTTTACAGAGATGATAATGCTAAGCTCATGGAACACCAAATGAGGGGTTTAAAAAGCACACAAAGTACACACAAACCGACATATACGCAATCACAAGAAACTTCTAAAAATTTGCTAAACAATAAGGGAACCAGAATTCTTGGTGAAGACGACGAGTCCGATGACGAACAAAATGAGTCCTCATCCAAAATATGCGATGACATGGCCAATGCATATATAGACGAATTGCCTACTGTTGAAAATTTTCGAAAAATAAATGATCAGGAAATTAATGACATAGAAAATTTCTTCTTCAGTGATGAAGACTGAGAAAAGGTAGAGGAAAATGTCAACACATATCTGTGCGAGTAAAAAAAAAAAAAAAAAAAAAAAAATAGGAGTGCATGTGAAAATCTGTTTTGAGGGAAAAGACAGTATTGCACAATTTATCCCTTTTTTTTTTTTTTTTTTTTTTTATGTATGTTCATAAAAATTTGAGCACAAAAAAAAAAAAAAAATAAAATAAATAAATAAAATAAAATAATAATATTTTGTTCTATGAAAAACATTTTGGCTAGATTGTTCGTGTTTATAATTTTTATCGACTGAACGTTCATATTTTTTTTTTTTTTTTTTTATGCGTGTGCATGTACATGGGAGAATTATCTTCCTATCCTATTGGAGTATACATTTTCTTAAATTTTCAAAAGAAACCCGCTTAAGGAAAAAAAATTTCCAGTATGCTGTATTTCTCTCCGTTTTTCCAATATGTTAACAGTTTTAATTAAATACGTAATTACAAAAAAGAGTTAATTTAAGTGATTTATTATTTTTAGCAACCATTCTACAAGTTTTTGTGTATGCAGGTGGTGTACAGTTATCTTTGGTGTTACACATAACTGTGTATGTGTTCAATATGTTATGTGGAGTCATCTAAAATACAATGTACAAGGAATGTTCTTCTCCACGGAGGAGAGGAGTGGAGAATTCACACCCGGTTATGGTTCCTAATAAATGGCTGTAACAGAAAAATTGCGTTACTATAATTCTTTATGGAATATTTCCCCAGTGTTATCACATATCCAAATGTATGCACGTACATATATGCCCACGGATCGCTACAACCGTTCACCTTAATATTAGAAAAAATACATACATACATACATACATACATACATACATACATACATACATACATACATACATACATACATACATACATACATACATACATACATACATACATACATACATACATATATATATATATGTATACACCATAAAAAGTACCAAAAAAGATATATATTTCTTTTATTAAGTAATAGGAAACCTCTCGGCGTCATGTTTAAGAGCCCACAGGTCTATACCCTTTACAGGCATGCATTTGTTTGCCTTTTCCAAAATTGCTAGTTCGTTAAGAGACATGCGAATCCGTGAAAATTTAATAAACTTGCATTATGAAGCAATCCTCACAACAACAAACCCACGGCGCGAGCCCCTTCGGCTAGTGCCTCCACCTTCCCCGCATACTTAAATTTTCCTCTATCAAATCTTACCCTAAAAATACCCTTATTTAGAGCCTTCCTAGCAATATCTTTTCCAATTTCCCACCCAGATTTAATAGTCCTTCCATTATTTACAACTCTGTTCGTTGACTTCTTTCTGTATGTACCTAACACGCCAGAAAGTTTCGGGTCTCTTGAACCAGAAAAGCATAATATGTGTCTCCTATAATCATCAACTACCGTAGCATAAATATGATTTTGTGTGCTTTTAATCCTTAACCTTGGTATTCGTTTTCCTTCTAGTATTTCCTTATCGACATCCAAGTTCTCGGAGTCTGAGAATTCCCTCTTATTAACTTTTTCCACATGTTCGCGAAGGAGTTTTTCCAGAGCAATCTACGTAGCATAGCGAAAAAGGTAGAACAAAAAAATAAAAATAAGTGTCACTCAAAGTGGTCATACAACATATGGGAAATGTGGTAAACATTGTAAATGTTGTAAATGTGGAAAACGCGTCCAATGTGTCAAATAAAGTCTTGTAACAAATGGATTGAAGGAGAATTAATGGTATACATGTAACGTTCGTGAAAATATGTAGAGTATAACACATCTGTGTATGTGTGTGTTTTTTTTTTTTTTTTTCTTTTGGTTATTACACATTTTTTTTTTTTTTTTTTTTTTTTTCCCTTCAATTTATTGTCCTTTCCCTGGGAGACCTGTTGAGTTACGTTTTTTTTTTTTTTTTCGGATAATGAAAATAGCAAAAATTGGTTGCTTGGCAAAACCGTTCTGTTGATTACGAAGCATTCCAATACACCCAGGTAAATTAAAAGAAATGAAACAAATAAGGCGAAAATGTTCATATTAAACGCGCCATTTAATTGAGGATAAATGGAAACTCAGGAATTAACAAGAGGTTGCTTAAGGAACAACATAGGCCAAAAAAAAAAAAAAAAAAAAAAAAAAAAAAAAAAAAAAAAAAAAAAAAAAAAAAAAAAAAAAAAAAAAAAAAAAAAAAAAAAAAAAAAAAAAACCTAAAATGCAAAACTAACAAATGGCTTGAATAGTTCAAAAAAAAAAAAAAAAAAATTCCTTTTTAAAAAATGACACACTTCTAATGATAAGGTTTGCGAATTTCCGCCATTTGGACGTGTGATAACTTTGCTACAAGAAAAATGTATTTGCAAACGAAACCGTTGGTTAAATACAAGAGTATGGGAGATATGCATTTAAAACCAGGCAAGTTCCACCCAAGGGGCATAGTAACTCTACTTACACTTAGCATTATTACATGCATATGGATCATATGAATAAAGAAAAATACTTCCTTTTTTCTTTTACTTTGCTATGAATATGCCTCAAAAGTGTTACTAATAATTTGCAATATAAAAAAAAAAAAAAAAAAAAAAAAAAGAAACAGACATTTATATAGGAGATAACAGTTTCATATGAATCATTTTTCATTTACATAGAATTGTTTTGAAGTCACAAAATGTTTAGATTCTTTGTATTTTTTTTTTTTTTTTTTTTTGTCTCCACATTGCCCTTCCTCACATACTGTCGAATGGCTCAATTGGGGGAGACCTGATTCATAACTAAGCCTTTTTTTCTTGTAGTGAAAAAAAAAAAAAAAAAAAGTATAAAGAGAAAATGAACAAACTGCATGTTTGGAAAGGGTGATAATAAAACATTATGATTCAAATTAATGCAAAAAAGGTCTGACAAAATAATTGATAATTGAACGGTGTATAGCTAACGAAAAGTGCAAGTAGAGCAAAGAACTTGTTGCAAAATTGTTTGTGTGTGTGTGTACGCAGGTAGGGGCGATAAAAACATTGTAATGTTGTTTGGTTCAGATGAAGAACAAGTTGGTGGGTAGGTGTACAGCTAGCTATTTTGTATATATGTTTCCATGTGTATGTATTTTTTTTTTTTTTTTTTTTTTTTTGGATTTAAAAGGATGAATGTTCTTAAAATAGCTAGTTACCAATAAATGTGTGCGAATTATTTCCTCACATTTGTTAGCAACAGGATATTGAAAATCATTTTGTATGGCCTGTGGATCTTAAAGATGGTGTAAAAAGTATATAATTTTCCCGCTTTTCGAGTTTTTTGTACTTTTCGATCCATTTTATCCCATACTTGTTGAAACTATTTGTTCACATCCTATTGGTTTTTATTTGGTATGCACAATTCGGCACGCCTTTTTTTTTTTTTTTTTTTCTTTCTTTTTTTAATTTTATAAGTATTCTCAATAATGGCCCATTTTCACTTGTGTAGAATATGCGAAAAGAATTCCAAACTGATGGAAAGGGGTAGGAAGTTGCTACAGGGGAACTCAATTCGATACAAAACAAATCCCCTTAATTTAAATTATAACTGATGTGCAGTTTTAGGTGTGTCTATATATAGGATAATCATGGGAAATAATTCTACTAATTTTTTTTTTTTACCACTTTATCCTTTTGAGACGAATTTGTTAGTTTTCTTTCTTGGTTTGCATACCCAAGGTGTCTACCATTTCATGTGTTAAACCAGAACTAACTTTACGTGACCCACAGAGATTTAATTATATTACCATGCTCCTTTTTAGAAATTCTTTTTTTAAATGGTATGTTTACTGAGAAACAATGAACGAGTGTTTTTTTTTTCCCCACTTTTTTTAGCATATGAAAAGAAGAAATTAAAAAAAAATAAATAAAATAAAGAGAATGTTACCAATATATGACATTGTACACATGTGGAAGTGGTTCAATATCAGTATGCACCCCACATGCATACATTAAAAAAAAAAAAAAAAGAATTTATCGCACATGTACAATACATATACGTATGTATGCATGCATCCATGCATATGTGTTTATTTACATATATATGCATCCATGTATTTGTGTTTATTTACATGTCTATGCATTGTGTGGTTATACCGTTCTGTGCAATAGAAGGAAAACAAAATGAAAGTTGATGGTGTATTATTTCCCTTTTACCTCGCTTTCCCCCCAGTCCAACGTCGAATGGGGATCCCCTAAAAATATGTACAACCAGTATGGTGTATTAAAACGGTACAATGCGAATATAACATGAGTGACCTGTTAAGTGAATTATGCACATGGGATTACATGTACGGATTATTCCGCTTTAATGCTTATCCTAAAATGTGATAAGCTCAGAATATATAGAGACAGAAAAAAAAAAAAAAAAAAAAAAAAAAAAAACAGAAGAAGGACCATTTTTTGCTGCACAATTTTTATATGAGTCCTAGTGTTTATACTTTGTAACAGCTTTAGACTTTGCCAATGATTTAGACTTTGTAACAGGTTTATACTTTGTAAATGATTTAGACTTTGTAACAGGTTTATACTTTGTAAACTTTAATCTTTTATCTAGAGATGCACTTGCGCTCGTGCGTTAAAAGCTGTGGATTTGAAAAGGGGGGATAAAAAAAAAAAAAAAAAAAAAAAAAAGAAGCACTCTTTCTGATGCACCTTGAAGTGAGGAGTTCAATACATTACCTCATTTAGATTGCTTTGTGTGTTTTTCTCCAGTTTGGCTTTACCAGGAGAGGTCTCTCTTAGGATAGATGTGAATATATAGAAGAGTGTACCATTCAATCCTACACAATCATCTGAATCGGTGTGCCTCAAGCGCAAAAGTACAGAAGTGTGTAGAAGTGCAGAATGGAGCACCCTTCTGAGACTATGACATCTACAAGGATTCTGATCAACAATAAAGAAATAGATCAAGAAAAAGGACTAAGGAAATTCACAAAATGGATAAACGATTTTTTCAAAAATTCACCTACACAGAGTTCAACAAGTGATGCTTTTCCTTATAACAACAAGATTCTTAGGAACACATTTTGGTCTTCTCAAATAGTACGTGTTTGATGTTCTTGCCTTAAGGATGGTCTTCTAGACATTTCCCATCCTTCCGGGACCACAATACTTTTGTTGTTCTTTTCTCCAAATTATTTTACTATGTCATAGTACTAATATTATTCGACCAACTATATCTTCCTGTTGCTACTTCAATCTTCTACTAGGCTATTACATGTTGTAATGCATATCTGGATAAGGAAAAGATACCTCCGAAAAAAAACTACGCAAGCATGTATACAAACATTCAGATGCACCTCTTTCTATTTTCACCTTTACAGATTTACACAAGGATAATTCTGCTGGCTTGCTTTTTCTCTTTCGTTGTATCATGGAAACAGGTGAAGAAAAAAAAAAAAAAAAAAAAAAAAAAGGACAAATGCATTTCCTCGAAGGAAATTTGTGCATATCAGTGGATGGGAGGGAACCAAATAGGGGGAGAAGGAATCTCAAGAGAGATCTCACCCCAAACACTGAACTCCTGTCGTGGTGCATTTCTTACCCCTCCACCCGCTACCTTGCACACCTCACACGGTGCATCTCTCACTACCCTCACACTGAGCATTTCCTACCACTATACAGAACGTCGCATTGATTGGTGAGAATGGGCTAACCCCAGCAAAGGAACATGTGGAGAAAATATTCGAAAATCTCCGAAACGAAAGCACGTGGACAAAGTTTCAAAATTTCCATTCTCTCTTTTGGTTCCTTAGAACTACTGATTTTGTTATTAGTGTATTGCCTGCCATAGGTGGGTTCCTCTGAGATGTTAAGATATGAGATACGTTTTTTTTTTTTTTTTTTTTTTTTTTTTTTTTTTTTTTCTCCAGTATGTACTTACCACACCTTTATGTCTTTTCCGTTTATTCTACCTTGCATGGTGGAATGGACCAAAACGTGCATCGGTCCTTTTTTATCGCACCGTTTCTACCGCACCTTTTTTACTGCCCCTTTTTTACCGCACCTTTTTTACTGCCCCTTTTTTACGGCTTCCCTCTCTCTCCCTCTCAGGCATGGCGCTTAGCATGGGTGCCCTGTTGCTGAACCAAATCAACGTCCTAACCTTGCTTCCAATTTACATAATATTGCAATCGATTTACAGCATCGGGAATATATGGTTCAATTATGTCTTTGAAATAGAATTACTGGAGTTGTTTTTTTTGACCTTATTTTTAGTGCCGCTATGGAATAATCACCTGAAGCGCAGATATTCAAGTAGCTGTTTTATAAAATACACATGTCGATTCTTTGTTTTCAAAGTGTTACTAGGAACAGGTTTAATCCGTTTTAAGAATAGTGAATTATGGGGGAAATTGGAGGGAAAATATTACCTATATGAAACACAACCATTACCATCAATTATAGGATACTTTTTACATACAAATATGATAGTAAGTAAAATGGACAATTTATTTTGTATACTAACAGAATGTGTATTTTCATTTTTTCTTTTATTTCCTATAAGGTCGTTCAGAATAATAGGTGGTAGTTTCATACTGATATACTGCATATTAAATTTCTTAATGGGGAATTCTTATTTATTTTATTTTTTACTACTTGCCCCATTGGCCTTTTGTTTTGATGATGAAATTTTATTGCCATTTTTTTGTAAATACAAAAGGAATGAAATTTTGAGTGTCATACGAGACAAAGAAACGCAACTGAATCAGAATAAACAATACTTTCGAAGTTTCGATGTGTTATATTGCACTGGTTTAAATATAGAGGAAGTTAATAAGATACGAGAAGCATACTTCAGCATTGACTCAGTGCCGAATGATGATTGGAATGGGAACAATTGGAATGGGAACAATTGGAATGGAACAATGTCCTCATCAAATAGATCCGTGCCACCTAATGAAGAGGGATACCTCTTATCTAGAGATAAATCAATTCATGAAACAAAATTTTTCAAAAATGAAAATAAATTTGAGAGTATAAAGAACGATTTGTTTAATGCACTACATTGGATTTTTTCTCAAAAGGGGCTTAAATACATTATGACAAATTATAACATCCCGACAGAAGTAACTGTTCATGCAATGTGTATGGCTCTGATGATTATGTATAACAGTTGTATGTTTATTACTTATTCGTCTAGTTTTTCTATTTCTTTATTTTTTTTATACTTAATTCTTTTTATTGTGTATCTAATATATCTGTTTTTTTTTACGGTGAATATATTCCCTCTTTTTATTGGTCAGATGGGTTTACTCATTTCTGTTATATTCATATATACAAATAAAATATTTTTTTTAGGTTTTTCTGACATATATTACACGACCTTGTTTTGTATGCATCTTTTTGGATTATTAGTTTTATCCCTTTTTTATTTAAGCAATAAAAGATTCATCACCAAGTTCACATCCCAGTACTTTTATTTTGTTTTTTTCATCTATTTTGTATGCTTCTTTATGCAAAATATTTTGTCACCTCAGCAAATTATGAATGCAGAATATGGAAATTTCCAGATAATGAATGTCTATGGCTCTTTTGGAAAAATAAGGAATGTCAGACAAGAGATCATAGTGAAAGCGAGTGCATCTAATATTTCCATTTCATCCAAACAGAAGAGAAGTGGAGAGAAGGACAAGACGAAGAAGAATTATGATGAAGAATGGAATAATTACCAATTCAATTGCAAACCAGATAATGTGTATAAACCATTATGTACTCAATTCCGCTTTCTATTTAGTTTTTTACCGGTTCTATATGTAGATAGACTCGATTGGCAATTTAATAACTTAAGTGACTTTGGGGATGATGAAGATGTTTTGCAAACCCAATGGTTTCAACGATTCTTAACAAAACTGTCATTTAACGATAAAAATATACTTTCTCTCTTATATAGAACTCCTTCTTTTGTCGATGCATCTAATGAGGAAAACACCAATTCATCCACTCCTGTCTATCTTACAGTATCTAGTGCTGTCTATAAATTTTCTTCTCCATCAGAAAAAGATACCTGGTGGGATGTCGTCTCCTCTAGGGTTATACTAGATCAATGGCATCCTCTTTCGACAGAAAACAAGTTATATCACAAGCAAAGTAGGTATAACGACAGAGATAATTTTGATGATCATGGTGAATCAACAGATTATAACGATGAGAGAATTAATTTTCTCCGTTATAATAGCAGTTATCATCATTTCCCTAATGCGGTTCACACTTTACCAATCCCAGCTAGCCAAAATGCTCTCAGAGGAAGTGGAACAGAAAAGCTAGTAGAAGCAGTTCAAGGAGGGGATTACACATTTAAGGGCAAAAGAAACTCTCTTGCTAAGAGGCAAAGATTTCTTAACCAAGGAAAATTACAGGACGAGAAAAAACAAATGGAGAGGGTAAAAAATGAACATTCGTTGGAGAAGCAAGACGAGATGGAGAAACTGAAGACATTGCACGAAAAGATCGCTATGCAGAAAAATAAAAAACATATCAAAGAGAAAAAAAAATTTTTTAAAAACAAAAAAATACAAGAATTGCAGATGCAGGAGCTTGATATGCGAGATTTTCATGAGAACGAAAATAAACAATACGAAATAGATTTATGGCAGGGGGTGGAAAAGCAAGTGCTAAATTATCCAAAATCATTAGAAGATATAGGAGAGACGATAGATGATGAGCATGAACAATTAAAAGAAGAAGATGGTGGGGAAGACCAGAAAAAAAACGGGGCGAGAGAGGGAAGTGTAGCCATGTATGATGAATCTTCCAAATTGCAAAAGTTGAAGGGGCACGAAGAAATAACCGGTGCGTACAATGCTACCGAAAATGTATTTGAATGGATCCAGAAAATGGGAAAAGAGCAAAAATGGCTAGCTGAAGAAGCGACAACAGATGAAAATCTAGCCGATGAAGAGCTAACCGATGAAGTGATAACAGACGAGCCGCTTATCGACAAAAATGATTACAAAATTAATAATGATGAAACAGAATGGGGGAAAGACACAAAAAAGAAGATGCTGAAGAAAAGCAAAGAAAATGTTAACAATGTGACTAGAGAACCTTTTTATAAGTCTAAAAAATTTTCAGTGAACGAAAACGTAAAGAGAAAATTGGATGAAGCTATTAAAAATGCACACACAAAATATGGGCTATTACAAAAATTTTCAAATAAAATTAAAAAGTTAGGATTTTTTAATGGTGATCAGGGCAGAAGTAGGTATGCAGAAGTTAAGGAGTTAAACGCAAAAAAATAAAAGGAGAAATGATGGGGGTGGGGTGGGCGTGAGTCACAAAAAAAACGACAGAAGTAAGTCATCCGATGGGTCAGAAAAAAGTGTAGTTGTTGAATTATATACATTTATCCATATGTCACATAATTCCCTCGTTTTCTATCGTTTATATTAGACTTTTTTTTTTTTTTTTTTTTTTTTTTTTTTGGGTAGCCATTTCTTCGTCTGTTTCTGTATAGGTTAGCGTTTAAATATATATATATATATATATATATATATATTTATTTATTTTGTTTCTGAATAGTGTGCATATTTATGTGGCAACAATATTTCTGCAGATCTTCAAATGTTCCCCCACCTTTTGCCTTGCTTCAGTTAGATTTTTCTCTAATTGTTCCTTGCCAATACTTTTTCATAATTCTATAAATTTCATGGAAAAAATTCCATATTCGTTTCATCTATTTCAGTGTATGCCGGTGGTGTTATGTGCTTTAGGTTCATTTGGTTTTCTATGAGACTCGCTAAGATGTGTATACAGAGGGTAAACTTGGAATGGGTGTAAAATTGAAATATGAAGTGAAAAATTTAAGACACCCTGACAATCACAAGAACAAGTAGGAGGGCGTCCCTCTCGTTTCCCCAAAAAAAAAGAATTAAAAAATAAATATATATCGGTGGTGATGGCAACTAGTGAACCCTCAACATGGCAATAACAGCAACTGGGGAAACAACTGCAATAGTGGTAGTAGTGAAATATCCGAAAAGTGGAAGGTAACTATAAAATGGTCAATTTCCTTTATTTTGCTGTTGCTGAGATTTCAAGAGTTCCCTTTGCTTTCGACGATACTCATTGTTGTACGAATGGATTTGATTTTTTTCTTTGTCAATATTCAAGTAGCATAGACTGAATGTCGACAAGCCCAGAGGTATGAACGTTCCTGCGTTATGGGGTGGCAAATGATAGAGGACGAAGGAGATCTGAATTACACATTTTATTTGTTCATGTATATCTTATAAAAACACTGCAAAACTGTTCACAATGCTGTAATTTTCATTCTATTCATGTAAGGATGCAAAAATGTTCACAATGCTGTAATTTTTATTCTATTCATGTAAGGATGCAAAAATGTTCACAGTGCTGTAATTTTTATTCTATTCATGTAAGGATGAAAAAATAATTTTTTTTTTTCTTTTTTTTTTCTTTTTTGTGATTTTCTTTCTCACCCAAGATGATGAAGGCACACCAGTTAATGGCCTTCTTCATGTTTTTCATTTTTTCTTTGTTCGTTAATTATACACATTTAATCAAATTCACGAGATGACATGCATCGGAAAGAGATCTATATTCATCTTTTCTAGGTTTTTACTTTACATACAAGTCGTACCCCGCTCAACAGGAGAAAAAGAAAAAAAAAAAAAAACTATGCAAAATTGATTAGGGATTAAAAAAAAAATAACATGTTCCTCAGAGATATACGTGTGCTGTTTGCTGGGGACACAATTCAGTGCACATTTGTGAATGTTGTGCGATTGTTCTAATTGGAGTATATTTCCTTGCATTTTTTTTTTTTCTTTTTTTGTGAATACCCATTTTGTTTTCCTTTGCACCTGAATATTAAATTAGCAATAATGGATAGATAAATAAATATGGAAATATGCAGAATGCCTTATAATAATAGTAAGAATTTAAGCCCCGCTAATCTTTCCTTTTCAAAATTTTTTTCCTTTGACTTAAAATAGCATATCCCATTTTGTTGCCTTCTCCTACACATTTATAGCACATGCATCAATCTAGTCACATTTACATTTTTCTGAAAAAAAAAATCTTTGCAGTTCTTAATGTGAGCAGTAGAGATACATAGGAACGTGTTAAAAAAGAAAAGAAAAAAAAAAAATCAACATAAAATATAAATAAAATAAATAACATATAATGCCAATATGCCCCCATGCAGATTACTTAAAATAGGAAAAAAATTCAACACATCAAATTCATTTAATATATGCGAATTATATCTTAACAAAAAAAAAAAAAAAAAAAAAAAATGACCAAAAAGAAAGATGTATATTTCTGAACATTTATATATTCTCACACATGTGAAGCAGTTCTACTTTCATGTCAGATAAAATAATGGACACATTTCGTTCAACTGCTTTGACAAAAGCTAAGACAAAAAAAAAAAAAAAAAAAAAAGCCACTTTATTTTGTATTCACTGCTTTATTTGATGTTTTGGTTTGTTTACTTATTTGTTAATCTCTCTATTTTTTTGCTCATTTTTTTAGTTATGTTTTTATTTCTTCATCTTTTTATTTCTTCACATTTTTACTTCTTTAACTATTTTTTTTTTTTTTTTTTTTTTGTCTCTGTTCTTTTTTAGTGTGGCTTCATCATGTTACCATTTGGGGTGTAGTAATTATTGCTTTTCAAAACAAGCAAATAAAAAAAAAGAAGGTTAAAACAAAACAAAAGCACACCTATTGGTTGTCGTGTAAAGGAGGAGCGAGACAAAAAGCATTGATACAACCGTAGGGATGAAGCCGTATATTTCACTTGCGAAAGATTTGTATTCTATTCTCAAATATTTAAAAAACATATCCTAAAAATATATCAATCTATCTAACTATATATATATATATATATATATATAATATGCTTGCAAGCTTTGTCTGCTTGTGCACCTTATGAAAAAATCTATTTTGCCTCCTTTCCAAATTTTTTCCTCATGAACAACGTAAAGGGGAAAAGAATGCAGGCAAAAGGGTTAAAATAGAAAAAAAAAAAAAAAATCAAATCAAATAAAACGTCTAAATCGATGGTCTTTTTAGCATTTTTTTTTATTCATTTCTGGTTGCTGGATGTGTTAATTTTTGAATATAACAGTGAATCCTTTGTCTGATGGTGGAGAGAAAAGAAAAGAAAAAAAGTATAAAAAGGTGTTTATTCATATCCAAGCGGGGAATATGATGAGATGAGTAGTATTTTCACAATATAGGGAAAAGACGTATGGGATATATAATTAAGAAATCTTTTCTTTTTTTTTTTTTCTCAATTTCTTACGTTGCTAATTTGGAAGGTTGCATAAACCCCAATAAGAAATGCCATAATCAACGTAAGTGTAATCCTATAGTTATGGAATGGGTGATGAAAGCAAAAATGAAAAAATAATAAAATAAAACAAATGAAGATATAATGTAAAAAGGGGAAGAAAATGTACAATATGGGACAGGTTCTTTTACTGTGCAACTTATTGGATGATTTTTTTTTTCTTCCCTTTCTTTGTTCATAATATTATTTTAATTATTTTCCACGTCTTTTTATTTTATTTTAATTATTTTCCACGTCTTTTTATTTTACTTTTAATTTTTCTTAACTGGTCATACAAAAAACACTGTGGTCATCATAGCAATAGACGAAAACGTTGTAGCATAATTTTTTTTCATCTTCCTTTTGCACATGACAATTTAAAAAGAATAAGAATCGAATGTTACACATGAAATATATTTACAACAGTTCTATATCTCGTACTCAAAAGGTTTTGCTTACCATAATGTGACGTGAAATTGGATATTCTTCTGATTCTCATCGTACACTACACCTGACTGATAACAAGGGAAAGGAGGGGGAGGGAAAAAAAATAAAAAAAAAAAATAATAATCACAAATGAAAGATTACCTGAACGAGTCATAAATTTATTTACTCTTCTTTACTTTTTTATTATCACATTGTCGTGTTTATGTAATGAACGGGTAATTAACTCCCCTTCACTCACTATTTTTTTTTTTTTTTTTTTTTTTTTTTTTCCTTTCCTTTTCTTTCTTCTTTTTTTTTTTAAAATTTAACATTTTTCATTTTTTTTTTTTTTTTTTTTTTTTTTTTTTTTTTTTTTCTTCACTTTTTTGCAATGCTGATTAAGTTGATAGATCAATTGTTTACTCATTTATGTTCATAAATTTGTCAATTTTTTTTTTTTTTTTTTTTTTTTTTTTTTTTTTTGTGGAATGGTATTTTTCTTTNNGGAAAGGAGGGGGGGGGAAAAAAAAAAAAAAAAAAAAAAAAATAAAAAAAGAAAGATTACCTGAACGAGTAATAAATTTATTTACTCTTCTTTACTTTTTTATTATCACATTGTCGTGTTTATGTAATGAACGGGTAATTAACTCCCCTTCACTCACTATTTTTTTTTTTTTTTTTTTTTTTTTCTTCCTTACCTGTGCTTCGACAAAATACAAGCTAAGAAAAGCACTTAAAACAACAAAAAACTTCATTTTCTTTTTACACGTGTTTTCTCAAAGAGTTATTTCTTACTCAGGTCCAATTTACAATAAGGAAAAAAAAAAAAAAAAAATAGTATTGTTTTCTCCACGTGATGGGTAATTTCGTGTGAAATTATTTACCTCCTTGTTCATCATATGGTTTGAATTCAAGTGTGAGAAATACTCTTTTGTAAGTATTCACTTGCTCCCTCTTGTTTGTTTTTTTTTTTTTTTTTTTTTTTTTTTTTTTTTCTTTTTTTTCAATTCTTTTTAAGTTTTTAGATCAATTTTTTACTCTTTTTTTTTCATAAATTTTTCAATTTTTTTTTTTTTTTTTTTTTTTTTTTTTTTTTTTTTTTTTTTTTTTTTTTTTTATTTTTTTTTTTTTTTTTTTTTTTTTATTTTTTTTTTTTTTTTTTTTTTTTTTTTTTTTTTTTTTTTTTTTTGTGGAATGGTAATTTCGCTAGTTCATACTTCTTTTGCGCTATTCCTTGCATTTCTTTTGCTTCCTCTTTTGCGTCCCTTTTTGTTTCCCTTTTTGCTTCCTTTTTTGCTTCCTCTTTTACTTCCTCTTTTGCGTCCCTTTTTGTTTCCCTTTTTACTTCCTCTTTTGCTTCCTCTTTTGCGTCCCTTTTTGTTTCCCTTTTTGCTTCCTTTTTTGCTTCCTTTTTTGCTTCCTCTTTTGCTTCCTCTTTTGCTTCCTTTTTTGCTTTTTTTGTTTTTCACCCGTTCTCACTGTTATCACTTTTAACGTGCGCGAATTGCATACAATGCAGAAACGAGAACGCAAAAATAAAAAAAAAATAAAATAAAAAGACTCTCCATCCCTCAAGTCATAACAAGTCCATATGAAAGCAAACCAAATTGAAATAAAACAAAGCAAAAGGTATACACATTCTTCAACATCCTTTTTGTCTTAAAAAATGAAAAATATATAGGTGCTCAGTATAAAATAAAAGTGATCCATTTGGTAAGTACTGTTTTTTTTTTTTTTTTTTTTTTCCATTTTGACCATATGAACAATGTTTCATAATTTATTGTAGATATGCTTCTTACCTTACTATTTATATAAGAATGAGAAACTTTCCTAAGGTTATGGAAAGGGAAAAAAAAAAAAAAAAAAAAAAAAAAAAAATTACCTGTTCGGTCTTTTCTTAATTTTTTTTTTTTTTTTCCATATTATGGAAACATAAATGCCCATGATATCGTCCTCACCACCTCTGTGTGTTTCATCAGTATTGCGTTGTAAAACACCCCTTCTGCAATTTTTTGATAATCCAAGAAGTTATCCTTTATATGGATACAATATGTTCACCTTTGAAAAGGAAAAAAAAAAAAAAAAGCAAATGTGTAATACCACAATGCTTTTTCTGGCCTTACGAATTGCCCATAGCAAACATAACGGAATATATGTCTTAGATGAACGAACGCAAGGAAAATAAATCCAATGTGATGAAAATTAATTTTGTTTTATCAACATGATTACTGTTTTGTCTTTACCCATTTCGTGTTGCCATGGTTTAAATATTTTTGATAATAGAGTTATTTATTCTTCATGAAAATGCACATTTTCCCCTCTTAACAAAAATGATCACAAACGTGTGATGAATGACAACCGAAATTATCTTTGAGAATGGAACAAATTTAAAGGAGGGTCTTACATATATACACATATGCATATATGTGCACATACATATATGTGCATATACATATTTGTGTATTTTTCCATTCCTTTCCATGCTAACGGATGTGGTCGTGATACCAAGTCGGGCCCCATCTAATCACGCAATGAACCATAATACCTGTTCTGAACATGTACATGCAAATTAGAATGCGAAATATAGGCGCACATGCACAGAAATATTCAGAAAAAATAAATAACATTATAACGTTCGTAGTGTACACATACATAGTGGAAGTGATAAACTGGTCAGGTGAAACGAGATAATGATAAGGTAACGAAGCTGATTGATAAGATGAAGGTGTGCTGCTGCATAAGTATCCATAATTAGGTGAAAATTTCGAGGATTATGTGTTATGCGCACACATCAGTAAGGGTATGGACGGAATATATATATATAAAATAAACATGGCCAGAGTGGCAAAATATGGAAATCGCACATGTTTGCATCTTTTGATATGCTCCTATGTGTGTAGGGGTAGGTAAGGAAGCAACAAAATAACGCGTCAAAGAAAGGAACAAGATGAAAAGAAATAAATTTAAGCTAAGTATTTTGGCTTGAGGAAATAAAAAGATAAGGAAAAAAAAAATAAAATATAACTTCCCCTTACCACTGCACTAGCATAAGTGGCTATTTTTCCTTTTTTCCATTTTTTTTCTCATCTTTTTATTGCCTTGAGTTAGAGTTTCCCCTGATGAGCATCACCCCTTTTCCACCCCTTCAGTAGCTCAAAAAAAAAAAAAAAAAAAAAAAAAGCTTTTGTATTTACGGCGTTATATATATTGGGATAGAAATACTTGCAATATTTACAAACAAAAAAATAAAATAAATAATTTTTCATGGATTGAAGTTTCATCTTAATGGGTAAATATATAAATAAAACAGCAAGCACACACCCGTGATGTTTTGACATTCTACAACATGTAGAGATTTTCTGAAGCCACGACATTCGAGGGGTACATATTGGTATGTCATCATAATAAAATAACGGTTTATGAGAAAAAGTTCTACATTATCACCTGTTTAAGCTTTTTTATTATTATTATTATTTTATTTTTTTTTTTTTTGTGAGAATATGTGTATTTTTATTTGCTTGGACGAATAAATAAAAAAATCAAAAGAAAAAAATTTTAAATTATTACGATTATTGTAGTAAAAATGAAGAAATGTGCAAAAAACATGCGAAAAAATGTAAAAGAAGCGTAAGAAAAAAAAATATACAAAGCATAAGCAATGCATAATTAAAACATAAGCAAAAAAATAAAGAAAAAGTATAAAAAAAAAAAAAATAATAAAAAAACAAACAAAAAAACGGGTGAACAAACAAACGAATGAACAAACAAACGAATGAACAAACAAACGAATGAACAAACAAACGAATGAACAAACAAACGAATGAACAAACAAACGAATGAACAAACAAACGAATGAACAAACAAACGAATGAACAAACAAACGAATGAACAAGCAAACGAATGAACAAACAAACGAACCAAACAAACCTGTGTACACGAACACTACAAAACATCGAATGAACACCATTAAGGGATTCACGAAAGAGAAAGAAAACTCCTTTACTTATAGTGTAAATAAAAGCGTGTGTGACGAGTGAATTGCTAATAAAATGAAATACGCTGCTTTTAAGAATTCCATGAGGTATGCCTTGAGAATGTGGACGATACATATAAAGTGAAGAAGGGGATGGGATGAGGGGAGTGGGGAAAAGAGCAGCCCTTTCTAATGTTCCTTTTCACAAACAAAGGAGGCAGACACATTTGCATGCAAGTGTACATGCAATTGTGTATGAAAGTGTACATGTAAGGTTGTACACATATATGATGATTTCACCTGCATTCGCGTGTAAACACACATGCACAAGCATATTGCACTTAAGGTGCGCACTTGTGTATGACAACTCTCTTCATTCTGTGATCTCCACATCCACCTTTAGATTCGCTGCGAGGTTTTACAATGGCAATAATTACAAGCTTTACATGAACAGCGTTCCTCATTTTTCCACCTTCACCTTTGGAAAGCACTTAAAAACGTGAGTTAAAAAACAGTTTGATATAGTGTATACAAGTGTTTGTGCCCACATATATGCTAATATGGTGCATTCTCTTATTTTTATGTTTGATTTTGTGGTTGTACTTGTGTATCGCCCCAGGATGTGTTACATGTGTTGAATCAGTTACATATGAACACATCGTGTACGCATTATTCCCTTGCTCAAGAGGGACTACATGATTCGTTATGCAATATAAAGATGGAGAGATAGATGGATGGTGGGATAGATGTCTGATCTGATAGATGGATGAGCCGATTGCACGTTGATTTCGTGTGCAGATTTACTCACGTTTCTTCATGTCCATTTTCTTCCCTGCTCTCCCAAAAATAGAAACCCCCTGACCAATAGACTTGACGATTTGCTGAAACGGAATTCCACGTTGATCAGCACAATTAGTATTAATGGATTGGACGACTTAATTACACAATCGTCAAAAATTGGTGAGTTATTTTTGCATAACTTGATTAAACAAAATGTCACGTCGGCATTATATGCCAGTGTACTAAAGAGGTATACACAAGAGCATGCGAAAATGATACAGTACACGCATGTGCTCCTTATGTTTTTATTGGGAGAATGGAATTGTATTGTCTACCCTCATGACAAGAGAGTTTTTTTTTTTTTTTTTTTTTTTTTTTCCATCTTCCACACAAGCGGTATACATATGTATATATGCATAATGTACATTCTCAACTTACATTTCAGCACTTTTCTCCCCTTTTGTTCCATCTTCAGAATCGGTTTCAATTGCAGATTGGTTGATTAACCTTGTGGAAGAATATCAATGTATGATAAAATTACAGCAGTACGAAAAAAAAGAAAAAAAAAGAAAAAAAAAAGAAAAAAAAACATAAATATAAATGTAAACACGTGCACGCGTAAGCGTATGTGTAGATTTTCATGTATATGAAAGCATGTATACGTGCACCTGAATAAAGTGCGCTTGAGTTATTATTACACATCCATCATTATTCCTCTGTTTTTGTATGTTTTTTTTTTTTTTTTTTTTTTTTTTTTTTTCCTTTTTTTTTCCCCTCTTCAGCCCAAGATAGATGTATATATTTTATGATGCGTTTGTAACACATGCCATTAAAAAGAGTGTATCTGCAATTGTACGTCACATAAATGATCATGAATACAGAGCTAATTTTTATTTTACATTACCATTTTGCTTCACCATTTTGTGTTATTATTTTATTCTTTTTTTTTTTTTTTTTTTTTTTTTTTTTTTTTGAGTATATATACGTTTGTTCTACAAGAATGATTATTATTATTATTATGTGCTTATGCAATTTTGTGTGTATTTCCTTTGCAGAGAGAATATTAAATATATACATAAGTCTTTAACATAATAGATTTAATTATTTTTTTCAATCCACATTGCACATTTCTTCGAGCATCCAATTGTTTATCCATCCCCCTCCAATGGCATATTCGTCCACGCATTCGATTATGCAAAATTTTGTGAAATAATTCATGTTTTTCATGTTGTTCATTCTGTGCCTGTGTTTCTGTGTGTGGATATGCAATGTTCCATTCTGCATTTGGGAATTTTTTTTTTTTTTTTTTTTTTCACTGCTGAGTTGATCTAGTTGGACGAGTAAGTAGATGTGCCACTTTTGAAAAAAGTGAGAATTCCATGTGGTAAGCACTGTTCTCGTGGAACTGCATACCTGAGTCTGCAACTTTGCATACATTCGTAGGTATATGAACGTGCGCACATTTACATACTTGCACATTTGCCCATTTACATACTTGCACATTTGCACATTTACATACTTGCACATTTGCACATTTACATATTTGCATATTTTCCCATTTACATACTTGCACATTTGCACATTTACGTACTTGCATATTTTCCCATTTACATACTTGCACATTTGCACATTTGCACATTTACGTACTTGCATATTTTCCCATTTACATACTTGCACATTTGCACATTTGCACATTTACGTACTTGCATATTTTCCCATTTACATACTTGCATATTTTCCCATTTACATACTTGCACATTTGCACATTTACATATACATTCTTCTTTTTTTTTTTTCCCAATTTTACGTAGTAATTCTATCACGTGTAAATATGACCACAATAAGGTTAACATTTTAAAGCATTTTCAAATGAGAAAAGTGAACAATGTCCATTTCGAGAGCAGCTTTTACAAACACTGCTGACACCTTTTTTATTATTCTTCTACCACATGAGCACTTGGATGTGTGATTGTGTGTATGTGTCTGCATGGATGTGTACATATAACCACACACAATTTGTACACAAGAATGCATTTGTGCATCTGTGCTTAAGTGTATACTTTTATGCATGTCATATTTTTGTCCTGTATCATCTGAAGCACCTTATATTTTACTTTATTTTGCTTTATTATATTTTTTTTTATCTTTTCTCCTTGTACATAATTGATTTTTAACATATCTTTTCCTTTCCTTGCTTTTAACTTTTTTTTTTTTTTTTTTTTTTTTTTTATATGTATATGCAAATATATGCACTAATGAAGCAGTTGGTTTTCCATTAGGAGCATTAATGAGTTGTCAACTTGAATTTTTTTTCATAAATAAAGAAAGTGTAGTGAATTACAAATACAAGATTATCACCCCATGAGGCGCAAAAAAAAAAAAAAAAAAAGTAAAATAAATAAATAAAATAAATAAATGAATGAGTAAATAAATGAATGAGTAAATAAATAAATAAATGATTGATTTGAATGAATGAAATGCTAGTATATATTCATGCAGACAATTTATAACAGACACAGAACAACGAACATTTCCCACCGGCCACTGAAGTCAATAAGATTGTTATCCCATCATTTCGATCTCACATGTGGTTTATATTTTTTCAATGAAACACCACTTCACTTTCATGTGAATGCTGCTTTAATTTTGCATAAATGTATTAATTACATTTAAATACCATTTTTCCCTCCATTTTTTCACCATCTTCTTGCCACCTATATCACAGTGTATCGTTATTGTTTACACATACTCCAAGTGGTATGAAGATATTTAGGAAGAGACAAACCTTGGCACCCTCTTTTGTTTGTTGTGCGTGGCATGTGAGAATTATATGCACATCCTTTATTTTGTTCTTGTGTAATATCAAATGTCCAAGTGGTGCATGTGCAAAATTTTGTTGTCTGTGTTGTATTCATTCACTGGAGGTCCATTTTGGATATGACCTATGATACAAAACAGTATTCTGTGGGTCCCTTTGAAAACATGGAAAATAATTTCAATTTTGAAATTATTGAAATTATTGAAATTATTGAAAATACTGAAAATATTAAAAATATTGAAAACACGTGCATATGTAATGTGGCAAGGAGGGGGGGAATATGTACATTCCACTAATACCACTTTTATTGTACGCTAATACAATACAATTATGTATATTATATATACGCATTTGTGTGTGCCATTTTTTTTTTTTTTTTTTTTTTTTTATTCTGATAGGTCACTTTTCACAAGAAATTTGGTTATGACCATTCAAACCTTAGCATATATATATATATATATATATATAACAATATATTTTTCATTGTGTCCCCCAAGCAGCATAACTTTTTTAATATATATATATTTTTTTTTTTATCTAGACTGTTCCATGTGGAAAAACCATTAAAAACATATCACTTTAGAGAATTATATACACACAAAACATTTCTGCGCACACACTATATATATACTGTGCATAACATATTTTCTGTACCTTTTTTTTTTCACCCTTTTCATTTGCTGAAGTTTATAGAAAGTGGGAAATGAACATATTCCACACGCGTGAATATTTTGCACACACGTTTTGGACATCTTTTCCACCCACTTTTTTGACATTTTCTTTTGTATACTTTTTATGCACAGATAAGTGGTGTCCGGGTCCGGGGGTACCCCCATTTTTCTTCCAAAGTATTGCTTTTTTTTTTTTTTTTTTTTTTTTTAAACATAAATCATTTGGCTTGCCCAGAGGAATATCTCAAAGTCGTTCACAAGAAAGGGTTGATGATCGTACGTTTGTGGGTAGGCACAAATTTGCAAAATTAGATAAACATAGAAAAAAGTTGTATGCAAAAATGGGGAAAAATGCGTTGTAGGCAGAGAGGGGGAAAAACCAAATTGTCAAAAAAAAAAAAAAAAAAAAAAACACTTTTGAATCAACCCCTAGGGGAGCGAAATTGGCATATCCGAATTAATATAAGTTTTTTCATTGCACACAAAATTGTCAGCAATGGAACGATCAAAATGTGGGTGCCCACCCCCCCTTTTTTTCTCATGGATTGATGAAAAAATTTTGCAGAAAATGGATAATGGTGAAAAGTTGATGTAAACGGTTTATAACACGGTTAGCCAAAAAAAAAAAAAATAGGGCCAGTTTTTTTGTCAAAAAAATTGATACGAAAAAAAAAAAAAAAAAAAAAAAAAAATTGAGCTTTAAAATGGCTAGTTTGCCTGAACATGCAATATTTTTTTCTCAACTTTTTCTTATCTTTTCCTACTTCTTATCCTTTCTCAGCTTTTTCTTATCTTTTCCTACTTCTTATCCTTTCTCAGCTTTTTCTTATCTTTTCCTACTTCTTATCCTTTCTCAGCTTTTTCTTATCTTTTCCTACTTCTTATCCTTTCTCAGCTTTTTCTTATCTTTTCCTACTTCTTATCCTTTCTCAGCTTTTTCTTATCTTTTCCTACTTCTTATCCTTTCTCAGCTTTTTCTTATCTTTTCCTACTTTTTATCCTTTCCTGCGTCTTACCTCATCTTGGGCACAGAGAAATGGTTAGACTAGACCAAGACAAGGGGTCAGCGCCTGGAGGTCTTTCCTATGGATCTCTTGCCTGAAAACAAATGGCGAGGCTTTTTGGATGGAATGGATCGATCGGCCTCTCCCTTGGCACCCTTCTGAATTTTTCTATACGCAACTTTGTTTAATTTGTAAGCTTTTATCCTTTGTAACTCAGTTGAAGTACTTTCAAAAATTTTGGATTTCCTGGTTGGATCTGAGTATATGTTATCCTTAATTTGTTTCTTTTTACATATGTCTTTTTTGATTTTGTGTTTGTTAAGAATACTCTTAGCTGTGTTGTTCATGCTCTTGGAGGTACGGGTCGTGATGGTTCCGTCCAGGATACCCTTTCTTCTTGCTCGTTCTGTCATGCTGTTGAGTATCTTTTCTTTATCCAGATTCAGGTTATCCAATTTTTTACTCATCTCTTCAATAGTTTTGTTTTTTTTATGATAAATTGGTTGTTTCTCTTCATTTAACTTGGCACTCAATTTCATTCTTTTCAGTCGTAAGGCCATTTTTTCTAAAATTCCCTTTGTTTTAAACCACATGGGATCTATTTCTGCATCTTCCTCAAAAAGTTCTTCTTCTTCCTTTTCCAGTTCGAGTAATTTCTGTTCAATATCCAAGTCCACAAAATCACAAACATTTTTTCCATTGTAAATTTCAGGTATAACATCATATTTGTATTCCTCCTTTATGTCATACACACTTCTCACGTCAACTGAGTACACTCCTGCACCTCCCTTTTCATTTTGGATATCAATTTGAAGAACTCTATCATCTTTTCTATTGCTTAGGTAACTCTGTCTGCTTTTATTTTTTTTTTTCAATTTTTCTTCTCTCATTGTTGGGGCGTTCTTTGGGTTCATCAACTTATGCTTCTCAGTTTGGATTAACTCTCCATTGGGTATATCATCATTGCCAATTGTTGTTACTTCTGCTGATGTGATAATTTCTTCTTTGTTGATATCTTGCATGGCCTTCTTTTTCTCCTCCTCTTCCTGTTCTTTCTTCTTTCTAATTTTTTCCTGAATGACAGAAAAGGGAATGCATGGTGGTCTCTCACGATTAACTTTATAATTTCCTAGCTTTACATTCAGTAAATTTTCCCGATCTATATGAAATTCTGATGTGGAATCAATTTTGAGTAAATCACATGCAGTTGCTTTTGCTTGCTCTACTCCAATTCCAGTTAAGGTACTGAAGGAACAGAACTTAATTTGTACTTTTGCATTGTCGATGATTTGTTTAATAATAACTTTATTATCAACGGATAGGTTATCCAAACTTGCTTTATCAATTTTGTTAAATCCAATAACAACTGGTTTATTTTGAAAAAGGGTTCTTATTGAATGAAAAAGTTTCACTTGTTCTTTAATTGACATTCCACATTCTTCACTAATGTCTATGAGAAAAAGTATAACCCCGTTTATATGTGCCAATGCTGTTATCGTAGTCATTTCTACTGTGTTTCTATCTTCAAGTGATCTATCTAACAATCCTGGAGTATCTATAATTTGGAATCTGTTCAAGTTATAATCAAAATGTCCAACATACAAATTGGTGGTTGTGAAAGAGTATGGTTGCACTTCGACATTAGCACGTGAAACAACATTAATAAATGAAGACTTTCCAACATTAGGAGCACCAGCAAGAAGTATAGTTTTTTTATGGGGATTTATTGATGGAAGTCTAGCTAAATTTTGTCTTACTTCTTCTAAATATACTAAACTTGGTTGTAACTTTTTCACCATTTTGCACATACGACCCAGTGCACTTATCTTAAGCATCTTACATTTGTACAAAGATGTGCTAAACTTTAACAATTTAATATAATCATGACATATTCTTACAACTGATTTACTCACATAGCTACATTGTCCAAGAGCTAATTTATAATGATCTCGATCATATAAAATATTTGCTAAATCTGAGTAAAATGGATGAATATCATCTAATTTTGGGAAATCATTTATTATCATTTGTAATTTTTCTTTGAATAGCTCTTGACACATTTTCACTTTTCGCATGTAGAAGTTCCTTATCCTTGTTATTTTAAACCCTTTGTGGATTTCTGTCGGTGTTTTCCTCTGTGTCCTCGACAGAACAACATCCACAAGTTCCTTGGCATTCACCACCGGTTTTATGTCCTTGAATCGGTACAGACTCGCTTCCTTCATCTTGGCTGTTTGGCAATTCAGCGGCTACACAATAAATTGGCTAGATGATATCTCACACGTAACAATGTTGAGTAGTCCTCTTATCTTCAACCTCTGAGGTGATGGATGGATACTACTGTGTCGAGAGTTCACTACTTAACAGTGGGGAAGGGGTGAAGATGCCAGATGGAAATGCTGGGGAATTTTTTGATCGATCCTGTTTTCTTTCCTTTTTTTCTGTCGTCTTCTGTGGTTCGCTATAACCTGTTAAGTCATCACTTATACGTGTCAGAACGTGTGTTTCCTGTGCAGTGTGGGAAGGTTGGTCTCACGCACGACACTTCAAATTGATATGTCAAAAGGAGAGTTGAATCCGGTGAAGGTTGAACATGAAAATGAGCATGAACATGAAAATGAGCATGAACATGAAAATGAACATGAAAATGAAAAAAACGCAACAACTGTAATTCCGTTTAGCTTTTTTTGCTCAAAAAATTGAGTACGCATTTATTGATGTAATTGCTTCCACTCCCTTTCTCAATTTCTTCCTCTCAGCATGAGAAGAGAAGAAATGAAAAAATGAAATCGATCCCATTCATATGAAGAGGTGAGGTGAGGCGAGGCGAGGCGGAGACGCTAGAACAAAATAGGTTCATCAAAGTTCGATTAAAAAATTAAAATGAGCACAAACAAATTTTACAAATCTTGTTGATAGCCTTTCCAGAGGAGAAGCTACATGTTGTATGGGCGAAGGTACCGATTGGAGTGGAAGAGAACTGGTGTGGAATCGAATTGGAAGAGGTATATCTATTAACTTATATAATATGTATCTTTGCACGTTTGTGTTTTATATGCATTTACATACTGAAATTTTTTTATCTTCCCCTCCTTCCCTTTCTTTATAATATGTTCCTCTTTGAACATGCAATAAATGGAAAATAAAATAAAGTAAAAAAAAAAATTAAAGTAAAAAAAAAAAAATTAACGCTGAAGAAAAGGGAGGCACTAAACCCACTCCACTTCCCTTTATCTTAACGTGGGGGAGGAATAACAAGATTGGCGAGTTTTTTTTTTTTTTCTCCTTTTTTTTTTTTTTTTGCCACGTTCTTTAAAAATAAATATGTAAACAGGTGGATATATAAATAAATAGATAAATAAACAAATAAGTAAACAATAAGTAAAAAAAAAAATATGTAAAAAAAATAAATACTAGGACTGTCGAAGATAAAAAAAAAAAAAAAAATGTATATTTAAATAAATACCATGAAGGGATAGGATAAATAAATAAATACTCGAGCAAGGGAAAATAAATAAGTAAATATCGGGAAGAGGGGAGGGAAAAAAATGTGACAATTTAAAATTTTCAAAGGCTTTTCCTACCACAGAAAAGTATAGAAGAGAAAGATTTTTTTTTTTTTTTTTTATTTTCCAAACGCCCTCACATGGGAAGCCTTGGCAGTGGCCATATCCCGTATGTACATATATATATATATATATATATATATCTATATATACATACGTACCATCCAATTTTCCATCAGATTACAGTTGGATCTTCCATATCTGAGGTCGTTTTTTTTTTTTTTTTTTTTTTCCCTAACTCATTGACTCAGACAATGTGCACGCGAAGAAGAGGCAAAAGAAGAGGAGTGTAAAAATGAAAACAATTTTTTTAAAGATTAATGTAACTAAGAAAAAAAAACAAAATGGTGCTTCAAGGAGAGAAAAGCATAAGTAAAATTAAATTTGTGCATATTTTTTTTCTCATACCTTTCAAGGGTGCTATTATACTGAACGAGGTTATGCCCGAAACAGGCCGCAGAAAAAATAAGAAGAAGTAGCAATTCCTCAAATAGTGGATACCGTGATATACATTTGCATTTTTTAAATTTAATTGCGAGTCTCTCTCTTCACGCCCCACCAACCCCAATTTCAGTGTTTGAAAATTTTTATTTTTCACCTACCCTATGCTTATATATATATATATATATATATATATATATATATATATGTACAATATATGAATACATAAATAAATACATATGCACAACATGAAAGATGGTGATTGGTATTGCAACATTGTTTTGCCAAGGCGTGATGTAATTTTGTATAATTCCTGTTTATCCCGAACATGCTGTTTTTCCTCTTCTTTTTTTTTTTTTTTCTCCACCTGGGTACCGAGTAGATTGAAAGAAATGCATGAACACAACTGAATAGAAAAGAAAATCAAAAAGGCCAAAAAATGAAAAAATCCAAAATGGGAGATGAAAATGAAAAGTAATAAAAAATATAATGAGTTCAAACAACGAAACGTTGAAGGAAAAAAGAAAAAAAAAAAAAAAAAAAAAACAAAAAGAAAAAAAAAAAAAAAAAAAAAAAAAAAAAAAAAAAATATAAAAAAAAGAAACGTTGAAGGAAAAAAAAAAAAAAAAAAAAAAAAAAAAAATAATAATAAAATAAAAAAATAATAATAAAATAAAAAAATAATAATGTAAAAAAAATGATAAAGTAAAAAAATAATAAAGTAAAAAAATAATAAGGTAAAAAAAATAAAACAAAATAAAGACGAGAGGGGCTAGTTTTCTTTTTTGTCAATTGTACAAATTGAAACAAACCCGGCCCTCATATCCCCCTCCCTTGTGTAATAAATATTGTTGGAAATTCATTAGAATTAAGCAAAGACGGTTCATTTCACTTATCTAAAGAACGTGATTATATAATTGTGTATGGATATTCAGGTATGCCTAGTAAATCAAGGGTTTTAAGAGAAAAAAAACAACACCCCACTTGGTACCATTTATAGCAAAGTGAATGTATAATTTTTCGCGAGTAGAAAAAAATTAAACTAGTATTTTTGCCCTTATTTTTGCCCCTATTTTTGCCCCTATTTTTGCCCCTATTTTTGCCCCTATTTTTGCCCCTATTTTTGCCCCTATTTTTGCCCCTATTTTTGCCCCTATTTTTGCCCCTATTTTTGCCCCTATTTTTGCCCCTATTTTTGCCCCTATTTTTGCCCTTATTTTTGCCCTTATTTTTACTGTATTAAATTTTTTTTTAATTCTCATTCGGAAAGGTATCCCTTTCTGAGCTGACACACAGGAGGGATGCAAAAATAAAGCAACAAAAAAAAAGGGAAGGGGAAAATAAGGGATTTAAAAATAACAAAGGGACGATGAAAAACTAAAGGGAATGAAGCCTCTTCTATTTTCTTACATAACAACGGAGCGTGGGATCTAAGGGACTGTCAGTCTCAGATGCTGAGGAGGCATGGTGGTGGTTATCGAAAGGGGTTGGGGGATTGTTATGGTTCATCACATGCTAAGCAAATGTTTCCATTTATGCCCATTTAAAGTTGTATAGAAAATAAATAAAAAAAAAAAAAAAAAAAATCACACCAAATAGGGTACACATACACATCATGCGTAAGTGCGTACGTACGTACGTAAATATGTGGTACTTTTTTTTTTCTTTTTCACACTCGAACAAGTGGGCAAGATTTTACAACCACAGTTAAACCTCATTTGTGGGTACCCAAATTTGAGACTGACAAAACCCCACCTTATGATAAACATAAAAAAACCACCAGAAGGTCTATCGCACTTTATATTTCTGTTTTTATTCATTTCATTTTTGTTAAACTTGCCCTTATAAAAAAAAAAAAGGAATTTATAAGAAATGTGAAATTGATAGTAGGGGGAAAAGTGGGAATATTTTATTATTTTTTTTTTTTTTTAACTTGTTTTTTAACCTATTTTTTAACCTGTTTTTTAACCTATTTTTTAATTTACTTTTTAATTTACTTGTTAATTTGCTGTTTAATTTACCTCTAATTTGCTGTTTAATTTACCTCTAATTTGCTGAATAATTTCCTTTTCACTAGTTTATTTATTTTTTTTTTCCCCACTTTTTCATCCCACCCCGTTTACTTATTGAGGCGAATTAGCTGATCTTTTTTTTTTTTTTTTTTTTTTTTTTTTTTTTTTTTTTGTGTGTGTGTTCTTCAAAACTTGTTCATGTTCTTTTTCCGTTTTCCTCGTACGCCTAAAGGTGTGGCTATCTCGGAAGTTTTCCAGCGCCCAAATTTGTATTAGTTCCATATGCATATCTGTCAGACCACTCCATTAGCATGAGACATGCAATACGCTGCAGAAATGTGAGGAACGGGAGAGAAGAATCAAAATGATGAGGGTAGTAGCCCAGTTGTCATTTCTTCAGATTGTTCTTTTCCAAATTTTGCTGATACCACGCTACCCTGTGCAGAAGGAAGCCCAATTTTTTCTCCCTGTTAAAGAGAATCAAGAACCTGGTTCTTTCAATATGACAAATGAGAAAAGCAAAGTGTGTGATTTTTCGAGCGGATCACTAAGCGTTTTTGGCAGAGATAATCCAGTATCATCACGGGAAGACAAGTTTGGAACCAAATTGGATGTCGATAAGAAAGAAGAACCCACAGGTTCCTGGATTAGTAACAATGACAGTAATGATAATGAGGTGAAACATTGTGTGCATTTCACAAAAGGATTAGAAGTGCTAACTTTTATATGTCCCAAGAGAAACGGTAATAATTATAAAGGGATAGAAGTGAGGCCATTCAACTGTTTTGAGGAGGTTAGGGTTCAACATGTAAATATCAAAAGATTCAGCAATATTCTGAAGGGCGTGTATTATGAAAGCAAAGAAACGGATATTCTGACAATAAGGAAAGTTTTCATTCCTCCCACAATTTATGAAGATACCATTTTCGAATGCACATGTGACAATAGCCTTACATTTCAAAATGGCATGATGGGTTCAAGCGGAGGAAACCCGACTAGAGAAGAAGCAGGCCCGACTAGCGGGGCGATCGGCTCAAGGGGCATTATGAGGGTTCATTTAAAAAAAAATTTCATTTTTGGATGTGACTTTGACCACACTGGTAGTAGTGATGGTGGGCACTCCATCATTGATAATAGGAGGAAAGAAGGAGAGTCTATTGGAGAAGATGAATTTTCTCAAGAAAAAAAATCAGCATTTTCTAAATTTTATACTCCAAGTGAAATAAATAATCTCAAGGAGAAAGGTATCATACACAATGTTAAAATTACAAAACGGGAAGTGTACTTAGGGTTGATATGCCCACCAGGATATTATATTTACCCTTCTAATTGTTTCGAAAATGTGCTTTATGAAAATAACATTGTAAAGTTAAAAGAATTGGTTTCTCATGACATTAAATTTCATATCGACAATAAGAGAAGGATGTCCTTTGCTACTTTTACTTTAAAGAAAAATGAAAATCCACGAGGATTCACATGTCTTTGTGTTAGTATGAACACTACTCTTCACAATCAGCAACAACCTCTTCAGGTCAATTTCGAGTATAACAACTATGAATCTTTTGCATTCTCAGTTCATATGGGTTATTTACTTATTGTTCTTTTGTTCATGATTCTCTGCTTTTGATCATGAATTAGGAGCGTGTTTGCATAGCTTTGATTTTTTTTTTTTTTTTTTTTTTTTTTTTTTTTTTATGCGTATTTGTTATGGCACATGTCCATACCATATAACATTCGAAACCCAAAATGAGTGGAAAGGAAATTCTGATTTCTCCTCAGCATGCACATCTAACTATCTCGTACTGCTTACCCTAGCTTAGTTCTCCATCACTCTTTTTTGCAGATTGGAGTTTAATTTTTTTTTTTTTTCCCTTTTTTTTTCCATGCCTTTGGTGAACTCTTCGCTCTTCACCCGACTAAGTGCATTAATAAGTACACGTTTGCTTTTCTGCTTCTTTATTTTTCTGCTTCTTTACTTTTCTGCTTCTTTACTTTTCTGCTTCGTTCCCTTTTCTCTCGCTGGTTAAACACAGCTGCAATTGTGCATAAAATAACCAAAAGGGGGAAAAGCGAACAATTCGTTGTCATGCGCATGTGCAGAAAAAATTGCAATAATTCATTTTTTCTAAATGTGAAAAGTGTTAGCACCTGCATGTGTGAGAAAAGATTAATAAATGATTTGTATGGTATGAGATGATGGGAGATGGTGGCAATTATTTTCCTCACGTATTTTCACATTTTTGCACTCCCTCATTTTTGTCCCCTCCCATTTTTGTCCCCTCGCATTTTTGTATCCTCCCATTTTTGTATCCTCCCATTTTTGTATCCTCCCATTTTTGTATCCTCCCATTTTTGTATCCTCCCATTTTTGTATCCTCCCATTTTTGTCCTCTCCCATTTTTGTATCCTCCCATTTTTGTCCTCTCCCATTTTTGTATCCTCCCATTTTTGTCCTCTCCAATTTTCACCTTTTTTGCAATTATGCACAAAGACTTTCGTACGAGGGTCCCGAAGTGTCTAGGTGAACGTGTCGTGCAAATTCTCGACCCTTCCCCCTCTTCCTACTTCTAGTTGTGCACCCCATTGCAAAAAGGAACTAAATTGGCTAAACTGATTATTGATCTATTGAGGTGTATGTGTTTGGCTTGGAAAGACTTGACTGAGTCATCAATATTCTCGATCTGGTGTACCCAGAGAATATTTTTCCAAAAAAATGAAATGAAAAAGGGACAAAAAAAAAAAAAAAAAAAAAAAAAAAAAAAAAAAAAAAAAAAAAAAAAAAAAAAAAAAAAATTAAAAAAATAAAAATAATACCTCCGAGTTGTGCATGCACGTGGATGGAAGTGTTCGCACATAAGCGTGTATTTAACGCGAGAACAGGAGCGTACATATACATACACACACATATATATATGAACATACATATGCACACTTAATATACACACCTAACACACATATACACACTTAGTATACACACCCATATACAAACTTAATATACGTAACACGCACGTACAGCATGGGCAAGCTAAAAGGATCCCTGTGTGTACAGCTGCTGATTTGGTGGCTAGCCAACTTAGTAAATGGGTTCACACACATATGTGATTTCAACGATGATTTCAGCTTAGAGTTCGGGGATACACAAGTAAAAGGTAAAGAAAAAGTATGCACACTGAAGCCGGGACTTCTGGACAAGGTAGTAATAAGATGTGGAAGTGATAATTTAAATTATAAGTTATATCCACCCAAATGCTTTGAACAAGTATATACATCTAAAACGATGGAGAATCCAGAGACGCTAACCAAATGGGCATATGGTGTATCTGAAAAGAAGGACAGACCAGAAGAGATAACCAAATGGGTATATGGTGTATCTACCGTGATGAAAAGGAAATATCATGAAGATAACTCAGATCCCAAAAAAAAAAATTTTGATGATGTTTCCTTTAGAGTACCACCAAATACTGAAAATGATGAAAAGGCAGTATACTGCTTCTGTGAAAATAAAATAAAAATTAAAGTTCAGAAAACAAATGAAGAAATATATGAAAAAGAAATTTTCAATATAGGTATTGCTGAAATAATTTTACCAAATCACTCACGGAAAATTGATGGTTGTGATTTTACTCAAAACAATTCCCCTATATTTACAAAAGGCTATGATACAGATTTTTATAATAAAAAAAATAATGAAAATAAGAATGATGTTATTTGCAAAATACGTGTTAGGGAAAATCAATTTATTGGTTTTAAATGTCCTAAGGATTATAACATCGAACCAGAAGAATGTTTTCTTAAAGGTTTTAACTTGGAAGGACAAGTTGAAAATTTTCAACATACTCTTCAACTTGGAGAATTAATAATGGATCATTATAACAAAATATTTTACGCTCGTGTTCCTGAGAGAATATATCAAAACACGCAACTATTTTGTTCATGTATAAAAGATGATCAGAGACTTACAGCACATTTTGAATTTACCAGGAAGATAGATAACTCACAACTTTCGCACGACACACCAGACACAAATGTTTTGCAGAGCCGAAATGGAAGCTCTTCCCCGGGCATTGCAACCACTTTCCTTATCTTCCTCTTCTCCAGCATCATCTATCTTTCAATGTAGCTGCTGGAGGCTAATGGATTGGAGCTCTTGTCGGGCGATATCTGAGAGAGGGGGATGGGCGTGCGTGCTGCTTTTGTTTTTTGTAGAATGTAAGGATGTGATTACTCTTTCGCGTGGCGCTTCAATATGTGGTTCTTCGTTTATGTGATATCCATGCGTGATGAACCCTCTATTGAGGGATTCCCCTGTATATGGACACCACGCCTCCTCTTAAGCGTTTTTCTTTTTTCTTTTTTCCTTCTTCTTTCTTCATTCTTCTTTCTTCTTTCTTCTTTCTTCTTTCTTGTTTTTTTTTTTTTTTTTTTTTTTTTTTTTTTTCTGAATAAAAGTGGGACAACGCACGCTACTACCTGAGCGGAGCGTCACTATGCATATGGTTCATTTGGCCTTTTAAAATTTTTTAAATTTTTAAAATTTGACAATTTGAAACTTTGACAGTTGTGAGACTTCCCAATTTTAAGCTTAAGGGAAGAAGTTTCAACCAAATCAGTTTTAAGCGCAGCAATAATGAGCTTTCCCAATTTTAAGTTTTGTTGTGTTGCTTCAATTGACTCACATGGAGTGGGGAATTCTTTTGATCACTCCGTGTGGGTGCTCCCTTAGATAAGGGGATAACTTTGCGACTTTAGGTCTTCTTCACAATAAGGATAAAAATGAATGTACTGGAAATTTTCCGCACCTCGGAACTATTGAGAAGTTTCGTCTCACAGCAGTACAGTGCATCACAATGAGCTCGCGGTAGTTTTTCCCCCCGGCATTACTTCGTTTCAACACTTTTTTTTTTTCTTTTTTTTTTTTTTTTTCCTTTCGCCCTCATTCTACGTTTATTCTATCTGCAATTTTTAGAAAATCAACGTAGAATCAGGGCAAAAGAAAGAAAAAAAAAAAAAATTAAGCAGGATTTGCACAAACATCCAGAACCCGTTTGGAATAGAACAATAGCCAGTATGTGACATGGGGAAGGGGGTCAAAACAAAACAATAATGTTTTGTTTTTCCATAGTTGGTTTTACATCAATTCATAGAGGAGGCATTATTAATTATAAGGTAAATGAAGATGTGAGTAGAAATGAAAGCAGAAATAGCTAATTTGCACCTACATATGTATATGCATATAAATATATATGTACAAACATACACGTGCAACATGTATGTGCAACATGTATGTGCAACATGTATGTGCAACATGAATGAACAACTCTTTATATCCAGCAGAAACGAAAATTAGCGAAGAGAGAGAGAAATCGGGAGCTGCATGAAAAAAACAAGAATCCCTTTTCTTTTTTATTAGAAGGAAGAAAATATATGATCAGGAAAAAAATAACAGATAAAAATAAAGTATAAAATACCTGAATATTTTGAAAGGTTGACAATATGGAGCGTGTTCTAAGAATGATGTGCGAAGAATGTGAAGAAGAGAAAGCATGCATGCTAAAACCATCGAATAGGAAAAAACTGTGCAAGAAATGTTTCATAGAAATATTCGAGGATGAGGTACATGATACAATTTTGAAAAAAAAAATGTTTCAAGATATGGACAAAATTTGCATTGCTGTTTCAGGTGGAAAAGACTCCAGTGTTTTAGCACATCTACTTGTTCATATAAAAAAAAAGTATCATTACAAATGGGATTTATTTCTGCTAGCCATCGATGAAGGTATTAAAGGATATCGTGATGATTCCCTAAAAATAGTGTATAAATTACAAAAAAAATATAATTTACCTCTGAAAGTTTTAAAATTCGAAGATATATTTACATACACTATGGATACTGTTGTTCGCTTTATCGGGAAAAAAAATAATTGCACCGTTTGTGGTGTTTTTAGGAGACAGGCAATGGAAAAAGGTGCACTATTATTCAATGCAACCAAACTAGTAACTGGCCACAATGCAGACGATTTAGCGGAAACCATTCTTATGAACATGTGCAGAGGAGATCTTGAAAAGCTAGCCAAAGGGATTAACCAAATTCCCAACAATGGACAAGGTCATACGCAAGGTGAACCCTTATGTTGTTCAGGTGAAAACAGAATGATTGGAGAAAAAGCAGTAGTAGTAGGTACAGATACAGATACCACGAAGGGTGATAACAACACTTGCTGTAGAAACAGAAAGGAATCCAAAAAGGGTATCATCATGGATTGTGATGAACCTATAGATGACCATCCATTTTTTATACCCCGATTAAAACCTCTGATGTGGTCTTACGAAAAAGAAATTGTTCTTTATGCATTTCATTTGAAGTTGGATTATTTTAGCACAGAATGTACCTATTCCCCTAATTCATTTCGAGGAAATTTAAGAAGTTTTATTAAGGACATTGAAATGATAAACCCGCAATTTATATTAAATATAATTCATTCAGCTGAATTTTTTTATCATAATAGTAACAACAAGAAGATACTTCAGGTTTGTGAAGAATGTGGTGCCTATACATCTAACAAAGTATGCAAGGCTTGCCTTATCGTGAAAGGGTTACGTACTTACAAAGACAATTCATTTCTCTATGCAAATAAGAAGAAAAAGGAGAAGAATAGAATTCCCATAAGGTACGACTAATGGGGAAAAGGGAGATTATACCTATTCAGCTTCTTTATGTCAACGATAAATTATAATGCATCTCTATTTTAAATTTGGATCACTCATAATACGTATTGCAAAAACGTGTACATAGTGTGTAATGCTTCTTTTTTTTTTTTTTTTTTTTTTCGCTTACACGTATAGTAGAAATAATTTGTGTGTATATTTCCCCAATTACATAATAGAGACTTTTCTTTTTGTTTTTTATGCGACCGGGTTATATATGCCAATGGGGGTGGTGATGTCAGTTACAGTCCTATATTTCGACCGACACACACATAAGACTCCTAGTGAACAACAGTTAGGTTGCATTTTTGCAATCGACGATGCATGGTTTAGCGCAAGCTTTTTTTCGTTTTCGTTTTCGCTTTCTTTTTCGTTTTTTTTTTTTTTTTTTTTTTTTGTGTATGTACATTCGTCCCTAATTTTTAATCCCTGAAGTAACTACTAATCTTCCCTTTTTTAAGGTTCCCTTTAAATTGTTCCAATCATTGAGAAAGCGTAAGAAGATTAAAATGGGTTGAAGAGTCTCATGTCGGTTTAGACCAATTTTGTGGGGAAGTAAAAGTTGTTCTTTCGTTCCCCTTTTGCTTTCTATAAGTTTGTAAAATTTTTTTTTTTTTTTTTTTTTGCGGAATTGTCAACATTGGCTAGTTCGAAAAAAGTTTGTCCAGTTTTATAAACATCCCCATATTCACTTTTTTTTTTTTTTTTTTCCCAGCTAGCTAATTTAATAATAATTATTATTTTCTATAAAAAGCAGTTGTCATAATTTTGAAACTGTTCTGTATGCTAATTTTGTGTACGTCTGTCTTTTATTTACTCTCATTTCCTCGATACCATTGCACTTTTGAGTTATTTTTTGATTTCTTTACTTGTCCGCTGTGAGTGAATTGTTTTTCCTCTCACCGTGGATTGTGCAGAATTTGCTAAGAACTATTGTGCTTCACCTCTTCCTGTTCTTCTTCTTCTTCTTCTTCTTCTGCTCCTCCCCTTGAGCAACACAAATACTTATTGCAAATGCAACAGAAAATCAAAATGAGTAAAAATTGCGAAGCAGAAAACGCCGTTGAGGAAATTTACCTGTCCTCGATCAGGAAAGCACAAGAAAATATAGAAATTAGTAAACACCATTTAAAAGGTGACAAGAGTAAAAAAATAAGTTTCAAGGACTGCGAATTTGCAATTAAAAATCACACAAATGAAATGACCAAGCTCGTGAAGGAGGCTAGTTTAATAAGGGGTGCAACAAGTAACAGCATTAAAGATTATTACGATTGGCTAGTTAAATGTGATGGGCTTATTAGAAATTTATCATACGATGATATAAATAAAAAGATACATGAAATGTTCAACGCAGTTATTGTCGAGATAAATAGTAGGTGCAAACCTGTACTTTTGTAATTTTGTAACTTTTCAAACCTGCACTTTTGTAATTTTGTAACTTTGCAATTTTGTAACTTTGCAATCTTGTAACTTTGCAATTTTGTAACTTTGCAATTTTGTAACTTTGCAATCTTGTAACTTTGCAATCTTGTAACTTTGCAATCTTGTAACTTTGCAATCTTGTAATTTTGCAATTTTGTAACTTTGCAATTTTGCATGTGTGGTGTCAAGTCCGAGTTGTGTGTTTTAAAACTTCTTCCATTAGTTCTGATATATGTTAATGAATACTTCCTTTTGCTTTTCCCACTTGGAGAAATGGAGTACTTAAAGTGCCAAATATAAATTTTTCGTGTTACTTTTTTGGACAGCTATTTGTAACTTTTGTAACTTTTGTAATTTTCGTAATTTTCCATAACTTTCGTAATTTTGTAACTTTCATATTTTAAAACTTCTATCATCCACACACACACATGACTAAGAAGAACGGAAAATAAATGCACATGGAAACATGCCGAATGACCCGTTTATCAAGAATGCGTGATGTGCAAGTAAAGACGCAAACTCTGAAGTCAAGCTGTTTTCCCATTGGAGCGTTTCAAAATTCTGGATTATGTCAGCTTTGTTCTCCCTTTGTGTACATTTTTTTGCCTGAACACAATGCACACTGCAAGGGATATGTTGATTAGACAAAAACAGTTTTAAAAAAAAAAAAAAAACAAATGAAAAAAACATGTCAAGTTGGATCCACGTAAGCTCCAGTGTGCGAAACAAGTTACTACAAACAATTCGAATTGAGTTGTTTCTACTTATACATGTGACGGTAGACATCCAGAATGTATCTGCGCTTAGCCGTACTTCTCTTAAAACTTTTCTGCGGCTCCATGGCTGGGTATTTCTCCTTAAAGTGAATATGATTTGTTGTTATCACCTTGCTGTTCATAATTTTTTTACTAAAATATTCATCAGCCAACTGGAAAATTTTTAAGAATATTTTATGCTCATGCTCATTTATGCATTCCTGAAAGGTTGTCGTTATGTTAAATTTTCTTTCATTTGGTAAATTATTCACACCAATACATAGTTGTAAAAAATTGTTATTCAATAAATTGTTTATTATGTCGGCGTTTAATATGTTATAAAAATCAGCACCTAATTTTTTATAAATTTTCGTATAATTTTTATATTTAAATTTTCCAACTAACCTATACATGTCAGGTACAATTATGCAAACATTTTTTAGGTCTTTACAATTTAAATAATGCAAAATATTTTTTATAACCATTCCACTATTTTGTGATATGCATTTTACAGGTTTAATTAAAATTATGTCATTTTTCTCTGCTACGTAGGAATTAATGTTACTTATGTGATGCCATTCATCCATGTTATATTTCTTGTTCAAAAAGTCCAAGTACATTCTGCTTACGTCTCCTTTGCACAAATTCGGAGAAATTCCTTTTTTTATTTCGTTTCCCAATCCTATTAAAATTTTCGTTCTGTTTCCCATTTCCCTGACTTGGTTCATGTGAAAATAGACCCCTGTGTGCATGGGATGGATGATTCAGACTGTTCCTTAGTAGTGATATCTGCTTCATTTCCCTACATTCCTCTAAGTCAGGTTATGCTTGTTGCATATCCCATTCTATTACATTAACGACGAGCTTTTATTTCGTCTTTCACACTGTATGGATGTGGTCAAGGATGCTGTATGTATTTGTATGTGTTTTTTTTTTTTTTTTTTTTTTTTAAAATTCACCTTGCGAATGCATCCCAAACGCATGACCCTGGCAGCTGGCTAGCTGATGATCTGACTGTTGGCTTGCCCTTTTACCAATGGACCTTATGTGCACCCTCCCGATGTTTTTCATATAAACCTACTAAAAGAGTAAATCAGCTACGTTTTATGGAGATAGAAGAGGATGTAGAAAGGTAAGGCAGATTAAGAATTCAGACAGAGAAACAACCCCACACTCAGGAATGACAAGCCAATCACAGACTTAAAAGTGAAGGCCTTATTAAAAATTATTATTTCAGTGAGGAATGTGAAAAAAAAAGAAATGACGTTACAAAGTGGCATAACTAAAGAAATATCTGAATGGCCTAACAAGTAATAATAAAGTAAAGACCCTAATTGGTTTAATAAATATGGTATTACAATGTGCCAATTATGGAGCATACAAATCATTTCTTTAAGTAGTCCTTTTTCTCCTTTTTTTTCTGAACATCCCTTTTTCAAGTATGCATTTGTGCATCCCCACAAAAATCCAACACAAAGGTAAAGGGTGAGCTGCATGTTTAATAGGCCATTTCAGAGAAATGATGTAATCGTTGTGTTTCCCGACCAGCTTCCTCAAACGTTCATATATATATGTATATATATGTGTATATATATATGTATATGCATGCATATGTTGCAACATTTCACGTGGTTACTGCAGGCAAAGGAAAAAAATTGGAATAAGCCCCTACTTCGCCTTAATGCTTTTCTTTTGCCTGAACATTGGTAATATTTTTTTTTTTTTTTTTTTTTTTTTGGTACATATGCCTGGGAAAAAAATATGAATTTGTATGCACGCATTATTAAGAGGTTGCCCTATTTTTGTGTGTATCTCCTACTCGTTTTTGTGTTTTTTTTTTTTTTTTTTTTTTTTTTTTTTTTTTTTTTTTTTTTTATTTTTTTTTTTTTTTTTTTTTTTTTTGGTACATATGCCTGGGAAAAAAATATGAATTTGTATGCACGCATTATTAAGAGGTTGCCCTATTTTTGTGTGTATCTCCTACTCGTTTTTGTGTTTCTTTTGTATATTTTTTTTTTTTTTTTTGTCATATTTTGTTTGTTTCTTTGTTTTTTTGTTTTTTTTGTCATATTTCCTTTTTGTCCCATTTTTTTGTGCGCAAAGAAAAAAAAAAAAAAATGCACGCATTTATTTGGTCGATGAGTTGCATTCCCTCGTGCATGCATACAACTGTGTTTTTTTTTTTTTCTTTTTTTTTAATAATTTGTTTGCAATTGTTTTACATTTTTTTATTGATTACAAATCGGAACTGAATATTTGTAACGCGTCAAGTGACTCCAAAGGAGAAAATGGCAAACATTGTGTCTTTTTAACTTTTATAGTGAAACAATCATATTTTTGTCATGATCAATTTGGGTATAACCCTTTCCTAAATTGTGTATTCCCTGCGTGTGTGCTTTTTTCGGTGCAAGGTAACTTTATTTTTAAAGGAAATATCTTATTATTTTATTATATTTTTTTTTTTTTTGTACAATTGTGTGTATCCACCCGCTATCATAATTTTTTGTCGTACTCATTTTTGTAAGTGTATACATGCACACGCATATACGACATGTGCCTTACTGCAATATGTCTGTAAATACCAGTAACCCATGAGTTAACGCTTTAATTGTGCAATCAGCAAAGCTGTTGTGAAATGTGTTACAGTGTCTACTGGCTAGCTGGCCCGGTAGGTGTTCTCTTGATTATTTCAAGCGGGAAAACGAATACGAGCACGAATCTGAATGCATATACAAATGCCAGTGCAAATACAAATACAAATACAAATGCAAATGCGAATGTAGTGGAAGAAAGCTAAGCCTTACTGCAACTGCATTGAACTCTGATTTTTTATGGGCATTGTCTCCTCAGCAAAACTAGCATCCACCTAATCGCAACCCAGCCCAGAGCCACTACATAGTGGAGATAACAGGGAGAGGGTAGACAGGATGCTGCTTGATCTATCGAATTGCAACCTGAAAAGTTTGGAAGACTCGGATATAATTCTAGAAAAGTTAATAGAGTTAAACTCTGGATACACAAGCGTAACATACCTAGATGTATCAAACAATTATATCACATCATTGAAAGGACTTCGTTGTTTTGAAAATTTGAAAATATTGAACATATCAAATAATGGGTTGCTATCATTAGATGGAGATTACATACCATCGTCGACAGAAAAAATAATTGCACACCATAACAATCTGAGTGATATCTGTTTTAAGGGAATTAAGAAGTTATCTGGATGTAGGGAAGAAAAAGACAATAAAAACGAGTTAGTAGGATTTGAAAAAAGAAGATATGATGATAAACATAATGGGGAAATAAAGAATACATTAAAAAAACAGCTAGAAGATGATTCATTAAATTCATCATTTTATGACACATTTAGCAATAATATGATAAATGAACATATTTTATATACAAACAAAAATTTACCACTAAATAAATTAGTATATCTAGATGTAAGTTTTAACAATATAAAGAAATTTACCACATTTGAAAGATATTTGCATATCATAAATAAAAAAAAGACAGATAGAACCCATGAAGGATACTCAGATGATGCACATATAAAAAATTTCATCACGAATAAAACGGAACAAGATGTTATGATTTTATTTTTTAATTCTTTAGAAACGCTATATCTAAGAGGAAATAAATTAACCAATTTAAAAGGTCTAAGTGTCTTTAAAAATCTTAAGATACTTGACCTCCGTTCCAATCTTATTAATCATCCTGTTCAATTATTTTACCTTCTCGACAATAAAAACTGGTTAAAACAATATAATGAAAAAAATTTCAAGAAAAAAAACATCTCGAATAGTTACTATGCCTATTTTCTCTGCATACTTCAGAAATATAAAGATCTAAAATGTTTGCAGAATTTGTTTTTGAAAGGGAATCAACACGTTCTAAAGCCTAAGCACCTGTTCCTCAGTGTCTATAATGTGCTCAGATGTGCCAATACGCGAGGGGGGTTCACGACAGATGTTGTCGTGGAGACGGAAAAGATGGATGAGGAGGTAGAAGCTGAGGAGGTAGAAGCTGAGGAGGTAGAAGCTGAGGAGGTAGAAGCTGAGGAGGTAGAAGCTGAGGAGGTAGAAGCTGAGGAGGTAGAAGCTGAGGAAGTGGAGTCTGAGGAAGAGGAATCTGAGGAGGTAGAAGCTGAGGAGGTAGAAGCTGAGGAGGTAGAAGCTGAGGAAGTGGAATCTGAGGAAGTAGAAGCTGAGGAAGTAGAAGCTGAGGAAGTAGAAGCTGAGGAAGTGGAGTCTGAGGAAGTAGAAGCTGAGGAAGTGGAGTCTAAGGAAGTGGAGTCCGAGAAAGTGGAAGTCGAAGAAGAGGAGTCTGATGAAGCTGAGGCGGAAGAAAGGGAAACACGAGAGGAACTTGAAGAGGACTTGTCAAACAAGTCGAAGAAAAATATTCTACGCGATTTTATGAACAACTTTCTGAACGATTTTCCAAATGTTATGACCCACCGAGACTCAGCCCCTTCCACAAAGAGTCTCATAATGGGGAAGCAATCGGAAGAAGCTGATTCGACAGACGGGGCTGAGTTGGACGAAACTGCGTCAGACCGAACTGTGTCAGACGGAACTGCGTCAGACAATATGATATCAGGTGAAAACCAGTTGGATGATTCTGATATGAAGAACAGCTATTTGGACATGTATTTCGATAGCGAAGAAGTAGAAGATGTTCCAGAGGAACTAAGATGCGGATTCCAGAGAAGTTGGTACAGGTTAGAGGAGTTCCTGAAACAAGGGAATGGCTGTGTGTCAAGGGCACGTGATGAAAGGGGTGCCCGGAAGTATAGACGAAGGTCACCTCTGGAACAGAATCAAACAAAGGCTCGGACAGGAGGGCGGATGGGGTCTGAGACAGGAACGAAGATAGGATCTGAGAAAGGAACGAAGATAGAATCTGAGACAGGAACGAAGATAGAATCTGAGAAAGGAACGAAGATAGAATCTGAGAAAGGAACGAAGATAGAATCTGAGAAAGGAACGAAGATAGAATCTGAGAAAGGAACGAAAATAGAATCTGAGAAAGGAACGAAGATAGAATCTGAGAAAGGAACGAAGATAGAATCTGAGAAAGGAACGAAGATAGAATCTGAGAAAGGAACGAAGATAGAATCTGAGACGAGAACCAAGATAGAATCTGAGACGAGAACCAATATAAACACTCAGAAAAAAGTTCAAGTGGAAAGTCAGAAAAGAGCCCCGGTGGAAACTCAAATGGTAATCGGGACTGAGTTCATGGATAAAGAAAATAAAAAACTAATGAAAAGCAAAGAAAGAAACGAGAGGAAAGTACATGGAAAGGATAATGGAACAAGAGGCCTCATGAAGAAAGCAACAAATTCTAGTGAAACATATGTATTGGAGGACACCAGCTCGTATCACTATTTAAAAGAAGGGATGAAACAAAACAAAGGAATTGATAATAAGTATAAGAATCATCTCTCTGTTCATGAGAAATGTATGATCCAACCAGGTAAATTTGCCGCAGGGAGATATAAGCAAATGGAAGAGCAAAACAGGGAAAGTGATGAAAGGGGAGAATCGGAAGAAATGGAAGAAATAGAAAAATTGGAAGAATCGGAAGAAATGGAAAAATTGGAAGAATCGGAAGAAATGGAAGAAATGGACATATTGGAAAAATCGGAAGAAATGGAAGAAATGGACATATTGGAAGAAATGGAAAAATTGGAAGAAAGGTTGGGCAAAAAATCGGGTGAAAAGTTGGATAAAGAAATGAACAAGGAATTGATCGAAAAATCGGATGAAGAATGGGAGAAGCAATCAGATGAAGAATTGGACGGACAATCAGATGAACTGGACGGACAATCAGATGAAGAAGTTGACATGGACGTAACAGCGGGAAAAATCGAAAAAATAATTAAGAACATTAGCAGAAACATGTCTAAGAAATCGTCCAAGTTAGTATCATCTCTTTATAGTAAGCTAAGGAACAGCATGGATGAGCTCAGGAATCATTCGAAAGAAACGCCCGCAGTGGAGGGGAATGAAGAACATATGATTAATGGAGCACGAAAATATCAGTTGGAGAGAGTTACAAACAGAGGAAATAAAAATGGGTTCCCATCTGAATTAGAATCCGTCGACAAGAATCCAAAACGAGGAATCGACGTTGGATTGGGGTTGAAGAATGGGTACATTGTGGGGGATGAAGTGGACAAGTATGAACGGGATGAGTGGAACGGAGATTTGTTTGTCGAGGAGGAGAAATGTGATGATGAGACTGCAGATGAAGAGGTTACAGATGAAGAGGCAGCAAATGATGAGGTAGCAAATGATGAGGTAGCAAATGAAGAGGCAGCAAATGATGAGGTAGCAAATGAAGAGGTAGCACATGATGAGGAGACAGATGAAGAGGTATCAAATAATGAGGTAGCAAATGATGTGGTAGCACATGATGAGGTGACAGATGCAGAGGTGACAGATGCAGAGGTGACAGATGCAGAGGTGACAGATGCAGAGGTAACAGATGCAGAGGTAACAGATGAAGAAGTAGAAAAACCTGCAGAACGTGAACGATTCGTCTTACACACAAGGAACACTGAAATTTTAAAACAAATCAATGAAAAGAGCGAAAAGAGTAATACTTGCATCGACAGATTCCCTGATGAAAGTAATAGGAGGCACCCGGTTCAGATGCACACAGGCATAAGAGAAATGAATGTAGAGGAAAATGAAACCAGTTGCTCCTTTTCTTCTGTTGTAAAAACAAAGCAAAAGAACAGTGCACTTAAGGAAATACTAACTAACATTAAAAGTTTTGAAATATGTGGTTCTACAAACTCATCTTCTGTGGAAAGCGACTTTTTCCGTGATTCTTCAGATGAGGAAATTGTTCCAGGTGGGAGATATGCAAGTGAAAACGGGAGTGAAAACGGGAGTGAAAAATTGAGCGAAAATATAAGTAAAAATGTGACTAAAAATGTGACTAAAAATGTGAGTAAAAATGTGAGTGAAAATTCTTGTGGAGAATCCCCAAATGAAGAGAAAATTAAGGATAACTGTGTTATGGCCAAAGGTGACTATGAAGAAGAAAATTTGCATTCCGAAAAAGAAGAGCCAAAAGAAAATAAAACAGAAGAAATCAATCGACGTGGTCCTCTGAATTCGTCCTCATTTAAAGGATCTATCTTAAACAGTGAAAATGAATGTAAGAATAAAAAAGTAAAATGCTTTTCGTGGAAAGAAAATTCAAATGATGTAGTTTTTATTGATGGCGTCAGTACAACAGGAGCGGAGGGAAAAAGAATCAGTTACAATAAAGCAAGTGGAAATGGTACAAAACTTAAATCGATTCGTAAGCTAGCCATGGGTCAGAGGAAAGAAATAACTGAAACAAGGCAAAAGAACCACTCGACAGAAATAAAGCAAGTGACCGAAAGAGACGAAGCAGATGAAGCAGGAGAAGAAGAAGAAGAAGACGAAGAAGACGAAGAAGACGAAGCAGACGAAGCAGACGAAGCAGACAGAGCAAAAGAAATCCTTTGTAAAGGCTCAACAAGTGGAATAGATGAAAAAGATGCAGAAAATGATAAACCAAAGGAAAAAAAAAATGAGAAAGAATTAAGTGATATCAAGACGGAAGAAGATAACAAAAAACTTCTGATGAATTCATTGAAATTAAATTTACATAAAAATGAAAAAGAAAAAAGTTTCGAGGAAGAAAAGAAAACGAATACATCACATCTTTACTATTCGAAGATTAAAAATTTTCCCCATTATTCTGCCTCTCTTAAATCAGAATCTACAGATGTAACCGAAAGGGATTTACATAAGTATGACATCAAATGGGAAAAAGGGGTTCTGAAAAAATATGTACAGAATAGTGAACTTGATGGGGAAAACAGATTTAATGGGTTTTATAAATGGAGGGATAATATCATCTGTGCATATCCTGTTCGTGTACAGGAAGTTAGGGTTCGGGAAATTGGAGGAAGGAGCGAGAGGGAGGAGATTCAAAGGGAAGACAGTGAAAGAGATGAGAGCGAGAGGGAAGAGAGCATGAGAGAAGACAGTGAAAGAGATGAGAACGAGATGGAAAAGAGCATGAGAGAAGACAGTGAAAGAGATGAGAACGAGATGGAAAAGAGCATGAGAGAAAACAGTGAAAGAGATGAGAACGAGATGGAAAAGAGCATAAGAGAAGACAGTGCAAGAGATGAGAGCAAGATGGAAGAGAGCGAACGAGAAGACAGTGAAAGAGATGAGAGCGAGAGGGAAGAGAGCGAACGAGAAGACAGTGAAAGAGATGAGAGCGAGAGGGAAGAGAGCGAACGAGAAATCGAAGGTAACGAAAGAACAAACATTGATGAAGAAGGTCTAGACAATAGACGATGCCTCAGTAATAAGGGAACAAGCACTAGTATGAAAATGAAGGTCGCGAAAGAATTCAGAACTGGTAAGGAGGTCTTGGTCGATTGCAAAACCAGTAGAAGCAAAGAAAACCTGAAGGGGTTGAAAACACGGGGGTGCACAGAAAGTGGCACAGACCTTTTGAAAAAGCTGAACTGTCTTCAAACATCAAGCAAGATAGATTCAAATATGAGCAACAACCTAGTTTTTTATCTTAAGGAAGTCTGCTTGATGCTAGGAAAAGAAAAACAACACAATAATATTCTACTAAAGGAAAATAGAAAACTTGAAAAGGAAGTAAAGTTATTAAAAAATAATAAAGAAAAACTACAAAAGAAAATTAAAAATTTAGAAAAAAATTACAATGAAAAATGCACAATTACCAAGAGATATCAAAATATGCAACAAAGGTTCAAATTATCAGAACGGGACCAGATGGATATGCCAGACGATGACATAGAACAACAGAATAAATACATTGAAAACGCCATGGAACACCTATATGTAAATTATTCAAACGTGTTTATGTGAAGTCCCTATGCATAGACTCATGCAAAGACACGAGCAAAAATATATATTTATTATGCATGTGATAAATTATTCCCTGTGGTAAACATGGGGTGGAGGTGGGGGAAAAATATAAAATAATTTTCATATATTTTTTTTTTTTTTTAATTCTGCAGAATATATTCTCTGATGTATTAGGGGAAGAGCATGTAATAACTAAGAGGTAACGAGGAGTGTATATCAAAACAAAAAAAAAATTCTACCTGCCCACGTGTTATGCTTGGCGAAATTTTTGCACACCTTACATTGGGTATGTATACATACACATATATGTACGCATGTATGTATATGCATTTTATGTTTTTTTTTTTTTTTTCCTTTGTGCAGAATAGAAAACTTAGCCAACGTGTACATAAAAAAAGAGAAGAAAGTGGAAATTTATATGATCTCCAAGAGAAAGGTTAGGAGAGAGAGCAACCAACTGAAAAAAGAAAAAAAAAAAAAAAAAAGAGAAAATAATAAAACCAAATAAAATAGGTTAAACTGAAAGTACGACAAAATATAGTCAAAAATATAACGAAATGGTTGAATAAAAGTTTGGGAATAGACACAAAAAAGGAATTCATCCCATTCCCTTTTAACCGTTGCAGGAACTGGATCTGCTCAAAGACGTAGAGGAAATTGTCAAAAAAAAAAACGAATATTACAAGGAGTTGCAAAAAAAGAATGAAATTATTAACAGGTATAAGCTTACGCATGATTGTGCAGTTATGCAATGATATGTAACATTGTGTATTGTTACATAATAATTCTTAATGCTGTCGTTCGGAGATGATACATTAACAAATTTTAACCGTCCTTTCAAAACCCAACCCATGTGTTCAATTTACCCCCTCTTGTGTGTAGCTTAAATAGCAATCTGAGCAAAATAACAAAAAGCGTATCAGACATGAAGAGTGGCATTCTTGAAAATGAAAAAAAGACAAAAGACTTGTTGACTCAATTGTCAAAGAAGGATTCTTTGATAAAGGAGCTGGAGAAAAAAAACAACGAAATGGTGGTAAGACATACATGCATTGTTTTGCTCAAGTTGCCAGCGTGTATCAGCTAGCTAAAAAACTTAAAAATACCTGCACTGTTCAGAATATTCATTCTGTTTGGCTGTTTTTTTTTTTTTTTTTTTTTTTTTTTTTTGTTCTGAACAATTCAGGACGAAAGAGAGAAAATATTTCAGAAGGAACGATCACAATTATTGGACTTACTCAATAATAAAGGTATCAGAAGTGAAAGTATTTTATTTTATTGTTTTTTCTTTTTTTTTTTTTTTTTTTCTTCCCCCTTGTTTTGCAAATTCAAAGTGGGGAATATAATGAATCATTTTGTTTATTTTCACAAAGCTTTCTCCATCACCCACAACACACACCCATCTTTATTACACATTTAAAAAAACGCTTTTTCTCTCTCATTATATTTCGCTCATTTTCTCCCACTTCGTCTCTTTTTTTTTTTTTTTTTTTTTATCTTTTCCTTAAGACGAAAATGTAAAAAGTGTAAAACACTACAAAGAAGAAATAAAAAACCTGGAAGACAAATTGAAAAAATACTTGGACCGTAATGTGCACAAGATACATGATAAGAATTACGAAATAATGGTGGATAAATTGCATGATGAACAAATAAAAATACATTCATTGCTAACGGAAAAGGAAAAAATTATAAATCAAAAAAATATACAAATTGAAAGCTTAGAGTCTCAGTTGCAATCCTGGGCCGATGAGGCAACGAATTGGGTTGTCGTGGCAGACAAGCACACCAAGCTCATAACGAATCATAACATACTCAAGGTAACTGCAAAAAAAGAGCAAAATGGAAAAGTGACAAAATGGGAAAGAAATTACATATAAGTCAAAAAAAAACTATGACACAGGAAAACGGGCAAAAGGACAAGCCTTATAAGACATGTGCATGTATGTGTGTATTTTTTTTCCATGCCCACTTTGCATTTTTCCCCCATTTCTTTTTCGTCCCTTCCGCAGAAAAACTACGAAGAACTCAAGTTCAAGTACATTATGGACATGAAGTATGTCCAAACAAGCAAAAACGAGAAAGTTAAAGAACTTATAAAAAGATATTCATGATGGTATTTTCCCCACAGAAAAACATTCATACTGACAATTTAACTACATCATTCCAGGTGGTGCCTACTTGTCCACATGTGTAGACCCATCGATATGCCCACCCCTTCAATTTTGTCACATTTGTCTATTTTTTAAAGTGGGAATAGGAAGACAAGCATTTCTACCCCTTTCATTATTTTATTTTTTTGTATACAAAAATTTGTACAAAGTTCTTTGGGTGTTATATGATCCATAATTAATTGTCAAGGAATATAACCAACACGTTTTACACACCACTTACATTCTTTTTCCACCGATAAAATGTGCATTCTCCCCTTTCCCCTCTCTTTGGACACACATTTAAAATGCTTTTTTTTTTTTTTTCTTTTTTCCTCCGTTTTGGTCCCTTCAACAAATTATATGTGTGCAATGGTTCCAGCGTTTTTTCCATTTTTTCCATTTTTTCCATTTTTTCCATTTTTTCCATTTTTTCCACTTTTTCCACTTTTTCCACTTTTTCCACTTTTTCCACTTTTTCCACTTTTTCCACTTTTTCCACTTTTAGATTTTTCTGAATTTTTACAGTTTACATTTTTTTCAATTCTTACAGCATTTACGACATTCACAGTTTTTGCAGTTTTTACAGTTTTTGCAATTTTTACAGTTTTTACAGCTTTTATAATTTTTACGATTTTTTCAAATTTGCCTTGGTGTGCCATTTCTACTATCCTTTTTTTGTAAGCACAGCGCTGTGCCCAACACATATTTGCATATACCTATGCAAATGTATGGCTATATGTATGCACGCATCTGTGAACCCACCTCTCCATCTATAAGCATACACATCACATACAGAGAAACTTGTTCCTTAAGGGACGTATTTTTAGCCACGGTTTCACACTCCCCCATTTAAGTACGACTTAACATAAGAAAAATAATATCAAAGGAAATCAAACAAAAGAATAAATTACCCTTTTATGGACATGGTATATTTTTACAAATGTGTTTTATTTACATATCAAAACGATGTATTTATTCATTTTTTCATTCGTGTGTATATGGTTTTTGTTTCTCTCTCAAGAAATTTTCAGCTTGTGCTTTCCCCCATGAGTTAAAAGATGGCACTGGTGAATATTCATTTGTGAATGGAGGAAGTGGGAGGCATATAGATTAGGCAATGTTACATACATTTTACCCTATTGTTCCTTACATGTGTATTCTCTTTTCTCCAAAGAATTAATGACAGAAATGGAGAGATCAAAATTTTTCAAATCAAAGTGCATAATGTGGGTGCGTGGGTGGGGTGAAGGAAAGATGAGAGCAGCTTGGTAGGGTTATCCAGTTTTTCTGAACGAACTCAGCTTATCATATGGAAGGATGAAAAATGTGAAAGAGAAGAAGGAATACGTCTACAAGGGAGGGGGGAAGGAGTGGGGATGAGCTACCTTGACATGCACAGATACATCGGTATGTACTTGTGCAGCACAACATGTGACATAACAAGCTAAATTCCCTCATGAAACCCTAAACCCATCCCCACTCTCAACCTCCTCGTCACAGAATTCCTTTTTCGCCCTTCCAAAAATTAGGGGGCCCAAGCGGTGCAACTTTCATTTTCACGTATCCTTTAAAATTGGCCATAGGGATAGCATGAGTAGCAGCAGAGGTCGGTGGTGGAGAAGCATAATATAATTTTTTTTTTCATGTTTGGGTAATTTATCACCCAATAACATGTATTCATACAATAATCGCATGTAATATATAAAAAATGATGTTTATGGATAATGTACATTTTTGCGAAATATTATCTTTTTTTTTTTTTCTTTTTTTTTTTTTTCAGGCACGGTTCCCCACCGACACGCCACACTTTCTTGGACTCTACAATTTGAATAGGTGATTTGGCGAAATGTATGGAAAAGGCATTGATCTGATTCTTTCGTAGCACAAAAAATGGAACACTTTGAAAAAAGTTTTTTTTTTTTTTTTTTTTTTTTTTTTTTTTTTCTCGATTCTCATTTGAATTCGTCGGTGGAAGAATTGGCTCATTCTAACCTTCATTTTTATCCCACTTTACATCCTATTTTTCCTTGCTACTTTTCATCCAATTTTTCACTATAATTTTAATTTCGCCTTTTTTTTTTTTTTTTTTTTTTTTTTTTTTTTTCTATTTTTTTTTTTTTTTTTTATTTTTTTTTTTTTTTTTTTTTTTTTTTTTTTTATTTTATCTGACTTTGTTTTCTTATTTTTACCCATTTATTCGTATACATACATATACATATATATATATATATATATTTTTTTTATGCGGATTTGAAAGCATCTCCTTTTTTATTCATGTGCTTGACACGCCTTTACATATTAACCCAATTGCTTATAGCATATGATAAGTAGTGAGTTGTTCATACTTTGTTTTAGGGTACCCATTCCTTTGTGCGAATATCCACCCATTTTCACTGCGTAAAGTTTCTGTTCCATTATAATCAGTATAATCAGTACAATCAGTACAATCAGTACAGTCAGTACAATCAGTACAATCAGTTTTGCGATATTTAATCAGGAGACGTGGCCTTTTCTTTTTGAGAATACTTTATTCTCGATTTCACAGCTCGACGGGGGAATTACCCAGAAGAGAGGGGGAAGGGAACACTCCTGAGGAGTTCGGCAGAGTAGCCCATCAGATCGGTTCATCTAGCCACGCCATCAACGAACCTGACCAGACCGGACCAGGCCAGACCTGACCAACCAATTTGACAAACTAATCTGACCTGACCTGACCAACCAATTTGACAACCTAATCTGACCTGACCTGACCAACCAATTTGACAACCTAATCTGACCTGACCATGGCCGAGCATGGGAACACCGAAAACAACTTCACAGAAGAGACGCCCGTGAGCTTTGAGGAGGAAGTGGAAACATTTCTGATAAACCTGCACGATTTTGTGTATCATAGAAATGCTGAGGCTATAAAGAAGTTATTTGATACTGATTTTTATGCAATATCAGAAATATATTTTAAGAATATTCGATGGCCATCGATAAAATTGGTTGACATATTTTACAAGCAGAAGAATCGATTCCACAACTTGATTCATTCTCTGTATGAGGAGCTATATTACCGTCATGTGTTCATAATAAATGATGTGACATTAGAAGATCGTAAGAATGCATGGGATAATTACAAATGTTTATTAAATTTCATATCTAGTATCTGCTCCGATTCATCAGGTGAGACAAATGATAATGTGTTAGTAATGCCAAATGTATGGATATATGATTTTTTATCAGAATATGTATATCAATATCAATCCATGTGCCACTTTAAAATAAAGTTACTAAAAGAACCAGAAGAAAATATGGAAGGTATTGACTTTTTAATAAAAAATTCAGATGTATTTGAAAGTAGCATAGTGTTAGAAGTATTACATAGTTTATTATTAAAAGCAGAATTTTCAACTTTACCAGAAGAGGAAAAAAATATTTTTGTTCATAATTATTTCCACATAAATAATGAAGAATTAACAAGTAAATATCAATTTGCATACTTTGCATGTTGTATATTATTAAGAGTTTATGTACTCATGGGAGATTATTACACAGCTCTAAAAATTATTTCATGTATTGAATTAAGTCATAAGGCATTATATTGGAAAGTAACCCTATGTCATATAAATATTTTTTATAATGTAGCTTTTTGCTATATGATGTTAAGGAGATATAATGATTGTATTAAAATTTTATCTCAGATTTTAATTTATTTATCGAAACAGAAGGTCCATATTTCAAACCAGCAAAGATATCAACAGAGTTTAATTAATAAATTAATTGATAAAATGTATCTCATTGTTATTATTTGCCACACTTTAACCAATACCAGACTTGATGAAACAGTACTTCAAAATATAAAAGAAAATTATTCAGGAAAATTTTATGCTCTTTTACAGTCAACAAATGAACAGGCTTATGCTGATCTTTTTTATAAAGTTGCTCCAAAATTTATTGATCCTTTATCCAACATTAGTTTTCAATTACTAGCCAATTTTGAAAATGTGCAGAATCAGACATATAATTCAGATCCCACAACAACGCAGTTAAATATTTTTTTAAAAGATGTTTCTTACCAGAAAAAAGCATTCCATTTTATTTCCTACGCAAAATTGTATCATAATATACAACTTAAGAAATTGAGTAGTCTCATGAATTATGGAGATCGACACCAGGTGAGAAATGGACATCTGGTTGCTGATCAAGCCGAAGGAGACACAGCCAAACTGACAGATGAACACGTAGATGCAGCAAACGAAGAGAAGAACCCTCTGAATGAGCAGCTTGTCTCTGCAGATATCATGTGTGTGAAAGTTTCTGGAAGACAACTGGTGTGGAAAGATGGTCCTTTGTACAAGGGAGAAGTTGTTACATCTATTTTCGGATCAACCTTCGACTTTTACATCGATATGGATATCCTAAACATCAAGACACGGGCCCAGCAGAAAATTTTTATTGACTATTTCGTGCACCAAATAAATATGTGTAAGAACCTGAGCAACAATTTGCAGGGAATTGGTGGCCCACACGTCTACAAGCCCAAGTATGACAACTTCAGGCGGAAGAACAAGAACAAGACGAGGGGAAAACAATCCTAGGGAGGCAGTGAAATTGTGATGAAGTGGAGAGAAGTGAAGAGAAGTGGAGAGAAGTGGAGAGAAGTGAAGAGAAGTGAAGAGAAGTGAAGAGAAGTGGAGAGAAGTGAAGAGAAGTGAAGAGAAGTGGAGAGAAGTGAAGAGAAGTGAAGAGAAGTGGAGAGAAGTGAAGAGAAGTGAAGAGAAGTGAAGAGAAGTGAAGAGAAATGGAGAGAAGTGGAGAGACGTGATGAAGTCAACCGGTGGTACCAGCATCATGCACCCTGTGGTATGGCAGGGAGAAGTTTGTCCCTGGATACATGACTAGAAAATTACCTACGTACTATAGAACTAAACCAAATTCAGTACATGCTTCACGAGATACACATCCTTTGTGAAGCTTTCTTTTTTTCTCAGTTCCCTTGGTGTCCCTTCCTGACACACCTCGCCTCTCCCTCACATTACCCATTTGTAGAACGAATATGTAAAAACTGCATGTTTTTGTGTATTCATTGGATGTATTTACAATACGCATGTGCGAAAAAGCAATTCCATTTTAAGTGAACTTTTATGTGTTTTCACCATTTTTTGAACCGTGTCACTATTTTATCACCATTTTAGCCCCCGCTTTATCTCTCTTGTTGCCCCAATTTTTTTTTTTTTTTTTTTTTTTTTTTTATTATTATTATTATTTTCTTTATTTTGTTTTTCCCCTCCATTTTAGTGAACATAATTTTAAACAAAAAAATTAAAATGAAAGAAAGCTTATATTATTTTTTGAGAAAATGAACGAATTTTAAAAAATGTTATTATATTTAGCTTCGTGCATCTTTTTGCTGGAACAGGTCAAATCAAAGCATTTTTCCCAGGTGGAAAAAAAAAAAAAAAAAAAAAAAAAATCAAGCCAATTCTGCAGCATATTTTTTTTTTTTTTTTTTTTTTTTTTTTTCCCTTTTTTTTTTTTTTTTTTTTTTTTTTTTTTTTTTTTTTTTTTTTTTTCTCTTATTTTATTTTTTTTTTTTTTTTTTTTTTTTTTTTTGTTCATTTTCAATATACCTCTTCCAAAGTTATGCAAAAGTGTACCCATTTAAAAGTTAACGGAACACATCCAAATGCACGATACACATATTTTATGAAAACACTTGTTGTGTGGCTAGAGAATGTGTTAGTAAAGCAAAAGTGATGAACGAAAAAAATGCCACATGGTTCCTCCATTTGAGTAAATGTCGGTTATATTTTGCTTCCATAAGTGTAATTCTAACGATGTTTAAATATTTTTTATTTTAGAACGAAACGCAGATGAAATTTCTTGACAGTTTATTTAAAAAAAAATAACAAAAAATAAAAAAAATGAGTACATTTGGACATGCTTCCCATCCACCACCCGAACCTGATTTCTGGATCTATTTTGCCAACTACTTGAGAAATGCGTGGGTTCAGGTAAAAGGCCCAAATGGGTACCGCGTGGTCATTCGTGATCCTATATCCTCATGCCTAGAAGCGTGATTATAATGTGCTCTATATAGATGTAATAAACATACATATATATATATGCATAAGTAAAAAGACTTAGCAGAAAAAAATGAGTTTCCCCTTTTTTTTTTCCTCACCCAATGACACCTTACTCTTCTTCTACAGTGGGCCATAGTTTTCATTCCTTTCTTTATGTTCGCCCTTTATCTCAAATTAACCATGCGTATGATAAAATGGACCAAGTGGAAGAAAAGAATAAGCAAAATGACATGGCAAATGACATGGCAAATGACATGACAAATGACATGACAAATGACATGACAAATGACATGACAAATAACATGGCAAATTCCATCTTGTTCGCGCGCAAGACAAACATGTACTAATATTACACTTGTTACATTCTTCACCTTTTTATAGCGGTTACTCCAACAAATGAAAAAGAACACCCAGGGGAAGAGGCTCATTTTGAAGAAAAAAAACGAGACAGAAAAAGGAAGAGTATGTAAAAGACGATGAAAGACAGTTTATATAATGTTATTTAACATTTACTTTTCCAGTATTTTGGTTCACTCATTTGTGCGAAGTACTTGGGCTTGGTTTTTTTTTTTTTTTTTTTTTTTTCCCTTTCTTTTGCTTGAGCTTTTTTTTTCTATATTGTATTTATATACCCTTGATGAACGAGAATATTTTTTAATTAAAACATGGAATTATAAATCAATAAGCGTTTTTTTTTTTTTTTTTTTTTTTTTTTTCTTCCCTGTATGATTCATGTACCACTGTTGCATACATGCAAAAATGCACATTTATGCATGTGTACTCCAATGTCATAACGGGTAGATGATCCTCACTACTCGATTTGAAAAAAGTTCTTCAATGTATTAGCATGTAACGGTAAAAAAAAAAAACCAAGCAGGTAGGCAGGACGGACGTGAATAAACATACTTTTTTCTTTTTTTTTTTATTTTTCACAAAACTGGATCCACGTGTGTGTATGATACACATATGCACAGTCGACGTAGTAGCAAACTGTTATGCCTGTACATGTACATATATATATATATATATATATATATATATGTATGCATACAAATGTGTGTACTTTTTTGCATCAGTCCTGATGGGACGATTCTCTCCTGATTCACTGATATCTCGAATGGGGTTATGTGTTAGGTACCTTTTACCTCCAATTTGACATACTTTTCTTCTGGCGAAATTTTGAAATCTGCAAGTGAGAATAAGAAGTGAAAAACGTGTGAAAAGTGTTCGGAGCTTCGAGTTGATCAACCAAGGCACAACACCAGGAAATATTGCGTAAGTCTCAAAGAAGACGAAGAAAAAAAAAAAAAAAAAAGGGAAAACAAAATGCAAACACAAAGCAAACACAATGCGAACGAAATACAAACAAAATGCAAACATAATGCAAGCGAAATTCAAACAAAAAACTGTATTGGGATAGTTTCAGAAATTAGCCTGCCCGTAACATCCCCCTGGAAGTATTTTGCTACGTTTCTCCAGAATAGTTAAAGTTAGAAAAAGAAAAAAAACAAAATAAGGAATGTACTCCTCTCTTATTTTTAATTACCACCGTGGAAAATCTTTCTTTCAAATTATCAATTTTCGCTATGCAATTATCCGGTCCATATGGTGGTTTAATCCTGACTTCTCCATTCAGAACCAAAATATCTCTATTGCTCCAAGTGCAATCTGGATGTCTGACGAGATAGATGAAATTTTTATATTTATACATATGTTCATATTTAAAGGAAGTGAAGACATGCACATATAATGGAAAATGTGCATGTAACAATTGTTCCTTTTGCTGCACATGGGGCGTGGTCTAATGTGTAGAAGTGAAGCATTGAGCATCTCTCCCACTGTTTGTTTCGTAATGAAGACTATTCTTCTTCACATTTTTTCGCATTCTTCTACACATTTTCTACACATTTTCTACACATTTTCTACAAACTTTTCTACACATTTTCTACACATTTTCTACACATTTTCTACAAACTTTTCTACACATTTTCTACACATTTTCTACACATTTTCTACACATTTTCTACAAACTTTTCTACACATTTTCTACACATTTTCTACACATTTTC